CGTTTTAATACGATTAAATCCCGATTTTTTTTAAGATTCCTGAGTCATGAAAATATTGCTTGATAACTTCCCATAGACGATCCATTACCAGAAATGGTACATTATGCTGTACAAACCCAAAAACTATTTTAATTTTTACCGTTTTTATTCCAACTGAATCTTTGACATTTTCTAAGAACTTGTCAAACTAAAAAACAAAAAGTTTTTGCTTGTTTTGATAAGAGATAGTTTTTAGAGATGGCAAACCTTTGAGCAGCATAGTCAAGATGAATATAATGGCTTTTGTTCTCATTTCACCCGGTAGTTTAAAAACCAACTGTTTAAAACTTTATATTCACTACACCACACTATAAGCAAAAGCAATCGTATCAAGTAAATTCGATAATATTTTTTTATTGATTATTTTAGATTAATCAAATATTTTGGATTTTTTAACGATACTTATTATATTCGATTAGTCGTAAAAATCGATTAATCGAAAATAATCGATAACTAGAAAATAATCGATTATTAAAAAAAATCGATTAATCAAAAAGAATCGATTAATAAAAAATATTCGATTAATCGAAATTAATCGTTTTTTAAAAAATCGATCTATCGAAGAAATCGATTAATCGAAAAATCGATTAATCGAAAATATCGAATAATGTAAAAAATCAAATAATCGACAAGAATAGATTAATCGAAACAAATCGATTAATCTAAAATAATCAATTAATGAAAATAATCCATTAATCGAAAAATTAAAACCTATCAAGTAAACGAAAAAAAATAATCGAAGAGTCGATTATTCGAAGAGAATCGAATCGAAAAGAATCGATTATCTCAAATAATCGATGATTGAATATTTATTTTGGTTTTAGTAATCATTTTTAGCAACACTATTATTTAAAAATAAAATTTTATTTGAGTAATTGGAATTTTTTATTAATTGAATAGATATCTACTAAAATCTAAAAAAAAATGTCTACTAAAACTAGCCAAAAAAGCTGAAAATCTAAAAAAGCAAATATCTACTAAATGTGGCAACGCTGTATCAAAGACCCCCAGTCAGACTGACCTTGACCAAATGCAACGAATAGTCGTTGGATCAAGCGAACTTAACTGTCCCTCCCTTTTTAACTTCAGGCATTCGTTGAAACCTCTCGCGTTCAATCAGCATATTGCACCAACAGACGCGACCAGCCAGAGTGCAGTGAGGTATCAAATAAAGTAGAGATTAACACCAACGAGAATATTAAATATATTAAAATTGAAATTATATTTTTAAGTTATTTATGTAATTTTAAAATAATGTGTTTTAACGAAATTAAATGAACCAATGGAAAAACCGCTCCTGATTTTGATTAAGCTTGAAAATTGTTTGAATTTGCACACAATGTATTCAATAAAATGTATGACCTTTTCCTCTTAATCCGAAACATGTAAAATATATGAACCCTCGCTTTAAGTCTTTCCATATAAAACTATTTGGTTCCTTTACTTCTTAAGTCTGCCCATTTAAAAATATTTTGTTCTTTATCCCTTAAGCCTGCGAATATCAAAATAATTGATTCCTTTACTACTTACATCTGTCCATGTAGAAATATTGGTTCCCCGAGTTCCATTCTAGAGTTCGTTAAAACTTGTGCAAAGTCATCGATACTTCAACATGTATATTATTCCACAACTTAAAACAACTATTTTCATCTATAACTTACATCCTTCAAAAGACATTTAGCAAACTTAAATAATTTACTTTACTCTTAAAAATGACAGCAATATAGAAATAAGTATGTAATTTCACAGTTGACAAGCATGAATAATCTAGTGAAATCAGTAAATAAGCTTCATTAGAAATGCATTGCAATTTTAAATCATTTAAATTTAAATCACAAAGGTTAAACTGAACATTCTTAAAATAAATAGGGCTCTCAGCTGGTAAAAATTATCAAATAAAAAAGTTGAGTGGCACTTTTGTTTTAGTTATCGTACTGGCGCACGAACATACGTAAATACGCATACACAGACGACCAAACGAATTTTTTTACATTTTCGCACTTAGAGTGGTTGGAAACGTAAAGGAAAGTGTTCAAAATTGAGGACGTGATTTTTTTTCTTCCTTCGAATGTTAAACAGGGCCACATATTTAGGAGGCCTCATTAAAATCAGATCAACGGCTACCCTATTCTTATTAACAGTCATGCTGTGGCTGCTAAGAACAAAGTATTTTTTTCTGAACTGAACGAATATATTTCATATCCATTCTAGGTAATGAGAATACTGCAAAAAAATTAAATCCACCAATCACAGTTTATTATTTGGTCACCCAACAACTATTATTTTTAAAATTTTAAATAAGTGACAATTCTTTCAAACTAATTATCAGTATATTCTTTAGTTATTGAGATTAAACATACATTAAAATGGGTTATTCTTATGTAGGATCAATAAATAATAGCATTTTTGTTTTTATTTCATCTATAATTATAAATAATTTGTTAATTTAAATAAAACTATATGAAGTCAATTTAATTACGAATATTATAGGAACAAAAATAAAAGAATAGGTGGTCCTGTGGTTAGTGTTCTTGCCTTTTACACGGAACTTCGATTCTCGGATGGGGAAAAATGAAATGAACTTTTTTTGTTCATTTCATTTTAAAAATTATTCAGAAATTATTTTAAAATCAGTTATTTTGTTTTAATAACCTAAAATATTTTTTTTTTGTAAATTTTTGTTAGTGGAACTTAGAAAAAATATACTGTACAACTCGAAAGGATTGTTCACATCGCACTCAGACGATTGAGCACTCCGCCAATGGCGTCGTGCTCAAATTTCGTCTTCGTGCGGTATAGCCATCATATCCACTCTTGTTGAATAAACTACTATTTCCACTTGCTTGATTTACGACACTCGCCTAACGGTTCGTGCCCAAAATTCTGCGCTCGTGGGAAAAGGATCGCTTTCTAATAATTATAAAACAACAGCACAAACTTAAATCAATTGACGTAAATAAATAAAAATACTTTTGACCGTATGTTACACAATTTGACAATTACACCATGATAACAGTATAATGATAATATTGACCTTTTGATCTGTCTCCGTATTTATAAAACTTATTAAAATGTATTAAAATGATTCGAAAATTAGTCGCTAACTTTTAACGTTAATTATACTTGTAGATACTCACAGTAGTTTAAAACAGGTTCTGTTTCATGTTTTTTTTTGTAACGAAACCCCAGATGAATAATTAAGTGTAAGTTAAATTTTAATTAACGTAAATTAATAGATTAGTAGAAAGCTTTTAAAACATTAAAATAATTGAATTGCTTATTGTTGAAAGGATGAAAGGAGACAAGCCACATTTTGCAACTTCTGAGGAAAACGCAAAAAACTATTTTAAGTTACACTGTGTTGTTTTAAATTAGATTTCTTGTTTAAACTTAAACGAATGTTTATAAATAGGTACGTCAGTGCAAAACAAAGTCGAAAATATATATATTTTTTTAATAAATTATTGTTGCTTTTTCAAATGTCACAGCCTCTTTCAGCAACTTAAAAAATAAAATGATTTGTGTTTATTAGGAAATAATTTCAAAACAAATAAAAAGAATACTGTTTATGTTTAGTTTTTGGTTGGCCAGTTAACATAAAATAATGATATATGGTTTTCCGGAATATATTTTATCTTATAATATGGTTTATTTTAGTTTCCTTTATCCAAATCTTTCTTTGATAAATTTTATTTCGTGACAATCTTAAGATACATCCATTAGGCCTTATTAAATGAAAAGAGTGTGTATTAAAAGGACTATTAATAAAGGGGAAAGCAGTATATGCGGATTTAGAGGCATCATGCTTAATGTGATGAAACATATTTAGTAACATTTTGTAACATATTTAGTAGCATATTTAGTAACATATTAAGTAACATTTAGTAACATATTTAGTAACATATTTAGTAACATATTTAGTAACATATTTAGTAACATATTTAGTAACATATTTAGTAACATATTTAGTAACATATTTAGTAACATATTTAGTAACATATTTAGTAACATATTTAGTAACATATTTAGTAACATATTTAGTAACATATTTAGTAACATATTTAGTAACATATTTAGTAACATATTTAGTAACATATTTAGTAACATATTTAGTAACATATTTAGTAACATATTTAGTAACATATTTAGTAACATATTTAGTAACATATTTAGTAACATATTTAGTAACATAATTAGTAACATATTTAGTAACATATTTAGTAACATATTTAGTAACATATTTAGTAACATATTTAGTAACATATTTAGTAACATATTTAGTAACATATTTAGTAACATATTTAGTAACATATTTAGTAACATATTTATTAACATATTTAATAACATATTTAGTAACATATTTAGTAACATATTTAATAACATATTTAGTAATATTTTGACACAAAAATAATGGTAACAGCGTCTGCTCCGAAATAGCAAACACTTTCAATGGCCTACGATTTTAATTTAGTGAGGATCTTAGGCCATTTTCACAAAATATTTGTGTTGTTAATAATTGGGTAGTTATGAAGTAATTATAATTTAAAATTACAACACAAAGTATTACCGACATGTTAACTCAAACCTTTGGTAACTTACGAGGTAGTTGTTTTTACTACCAGCTCTCGAAGTATGGGGCATACATATCATGTCAAATTTTAAATTTTTATACCGACTGGTTGCTCAGTTTATGCCAACTAAAAATTCATACGATATTCATAAAACACCCTATATCTAGGTAATGAGATATTCCGTAATAATGGAGATTATTCCACGCCTGTAGTTAACGCATGTTCATTTGATTCTGGAACACTTTGTATAGTACAAAATTCGCATTGTAAAATAATTACGCAAAAGCCATTATGGTTCTTTTTTACTTGCACAAAATTTGATTGATATACTCATAATATACTATACATATATAAATTCATCTTTAACAAAAATTTTACTTTTTCTTTCAGACATATGTTGAAAACAGACTAAAAGGAAAACATCATGACGAGGGGAATCTTAAGTCTGCACAGCTCGAAAAAACACGTCAGCAATGTCACATATATCCTCACCAAATGGCAACAAATACCAAAATCAAAATCGTACATCACTCAATTTGAAAATGCTGGCAAACGTAATTTTTCTACTGGTAAGAAGCTAAATAAAGAAACAAAAGAAGCCGCAGAAGTTAAAGGAACTCCATACAAAAAATTAACCATTGGAATACCGAAAGAAACATGGAAAAATGAAAGAAGGTAAGAGTTTTTTAATTTATTTTAAAGGCGGTTCCCAATTTTTTTACCGGTGCAATAATGGTAGCAACATTTAAAGATTCATGATGATTCCAGGTGATCTTGAGAGATAAAGACACCAAGTTTATAAGCACTAGACACGTAGGAATGTTTTTTAGAGACTTTACAGGAGATCAAATTGTTAATAGGTCATTATGTCAAGATCATTAAAAATAGCACTTTTTTTCACCTTTCGGGCACCCTTCTACTCCCCATGAGGGGTTCCGACAGATCTCTCCATTCAGGCTTGTGTCCAGCCTGGCTCCTCTTACTCAGGTTTTTGATCCAGCCTGATTCTGTCTTCTGGGATTCACATGGCAAAACTAAAGCTTAGATGTCTTATTGTACTCCCATTTGGATGTCCTACTTCTTCCCATTCATTCGACTCATGTATTCTTCCATTCATGGCGAAACTGAAGCTTAGATGTCTTATTATACCACCATTTTGGTGTCTTACTTTTTCCCATTTATACGACCCATGTATTCTTCCATTCGTTCTACGATCTAAATGGGCCCCAAACTGAAAAAGTAGCACCTTTGCTTTTTGCTTTCATTATCGTTGGTAGAGATTGGTTTTTGGTTGTGTCATGGACTAATTGATAAGATTCGAGATATAAAGATATTTTTGATTTTGTGTGTAAAAGAAAGCAAAAAATGTGAAAATAACGAAAGCCTGCACATATTTTATGGTATTGACCGGAATAATCCAGTTTATGTTCATAAATTCTAGACTATTCCAAAATGTTTTGCAAAAACAGGTTACTCCTAACACAATCCAACATTACTGAATATATTTTATTTGAAAATATCGTTTCTTTATATCTGGGGGCATATTTCATAAAACTCTGCAACTTTTAGCTTCGCATTAAGCAAATTTACGATTTTTTGTTTCAAAAAATAATATCGTTAACTTTGCATATTATTAATTTTTCATTTTAACTTTGTGAAACTCTTTTACTTGTCAAATTTCTCTTTAATGAAACATAAATTTACTCAAATCTACAAAGTGCAAAGTAGTTTTATGGTACTATTTATAAATATAATTTTATTTCAGAGTTTCAGTCACACCAGCAGTCACAGAAATTTTGGTAAAAAAAGGATTTAATATTAATATTGAAGAAGATGCTGGAGTTTTATCTAAATTTAGAAATCAAGAATACGAAAAAGCTGGTGCTAATATCGTAGACACTCATAATGCTTTCTCTACAGGTAAACATATAACTCCACAGCTATTTTCTTTTCAAAATCAATAATTATTGAATACATTTTTTTATAAATAAAGAGAGGAGAAACCAAAGATGTTTTTCATTCTCATCTATGTTTAATTAAGACATACTAATTTATTTTCCATCAGACATAAGGTGTTTGTTGTTAATTTTTTGAATTTATTTTTTTAGACATTATTTTAAAGGTGAGGCAACCGTTAGAACAGGAAGTTAACAAATTTAGAGAAGACTCGACACTGATTTCCTTTTTGTTTCCTGGTCTCAATAAAAATCTGATTGATGAGCTGGCCACCAGGAAAATTAACGCATTTGGTAAGTAACAAATATATTAAATTAACAATTTAAATAGTTATATATAGGTATTAAAAATTAAGGAAAAATTAAGGTCCTTTGAATGTCATAAAGGGATCCTCTAATGCAATCTGTTTTTTTTTTTAGAATAGATTAGATTTGAAAGAAGTTGGACACTATTTGTCCATAATTTTTACTTATACATATTCCTTTATAAATTTTTTGTATTCACAGCAATGGATTGCATTCCACGTATTACCAGAGCCCAAGTTTTTGACGCGCTTAGCTCTATGGCCAATATCACTGGATACAGAGCAGTTATTGAAGCAGCTAATCATTTTCCACGATTTTTCTCAGGTATTTAATCAAATAAATGGAATTTTGCGATTTTAAAAACGAGATTATTTCAGGTCAAATAACCGCAGCTGGTAAAGTGCCGCCAGCAAAAATTTTAATAATTGGAGGCGGAGTAGCGGGTTTAGCTGCCATTGGTCAAGCTAAAAGCATGGGAGCCATCGTTAGAGCTTTCGATACCAGGTCAGCCGTTAAAGAACAAGTAGAATCTCTGGGTGCTGAATTTTTAACAATTGACATACAGGTAAGAACCCAAACAATCTTTTTTGCTTTGAATTACTAGGGGAGGTAATATTTAAATAAATGTATTTTTTAGGAAGAGGGAGGCACTGCTGCTGGATACAGTAAAGAAATGTCTAAAGCATTTATAGACGCTGAACATGCTTTGTTCGCAAAGCAATGTAAGGAAGTTGATATTATAATTTCAACTGCCTTAATACCTGGTAAAAAGGCACCAGTATTGATATTAAAGGTATAAATTATTTTGTTGCGCAACTCGAGATTTTTTACTAATTGTTTTTTATTTTTAAGGAACATATAGAATCAATGAAACCAGGTAGCGTGGTGGTGGACTTGGCTGCTGAAACCGGTGGTAATATTGAGACCACAAAACCTGGAACTATCTACAGTTACAACGACGTAGTACACGTCGGTATTACAGATTTTCCCAGTTTGTTGCCCACCCAAAGTTCCACCTTGTACGCCAACAATATCTCGAAATTTTTGCTGTCTATGGGTAATACTTTCTTTTATAAGTAATACATTTATAATCTCTTGTACGAAGAGCATTGCTAAAGTTAGAGAATAAAATGTAATAATTTGAAATTCTTTAAATAGTGGTATACAAGCATGGGCGTCGTTACACAATTCTATAGGGAGGGGCAAAATTTTGAAAAAATTTAGAATATTTATTTGTTGGAAAACAAAGAAAATGAAAAATAGAAGAGTATTTTCTTATAATGGATTTAATTATTCTGTGACGTCATGGCTTACTTCCCGTTTTTCCAGAAATAACAGAAAATCGCAATTTATTTTTATTTTTAAATGAAAACCCTTTTTCTTATTGAAAATTTGAATTTCTGGGATATTTTTGTATAAGAAACGTGTATTGAAAATTATCTGTCAGTAACATATTAAAAAACATATTTTTCAATATAATGGTCATATAATTAATTTAAACGTTGATCTTCCACGCTTGAATTCTGTGAACTATTTGTAAACAGTATTTTTGGATGGTGCTTCAACCCCAAAATAACGAATCAAATTTTTGTACACATTACTGTTTATTCAGTCGAAAATCGTGATTCAAAATTAATCTGTTAAAATGAAACTGCTTGGTTTAAAATCGAACTCCTAACTGAATTATAGGTGTATAGCCCAATAAAGGAAGAAGAAGAAGAAGAAGAATTATAGGTTAAAAACGTAAAAATTTACAAATATGACAATTACAGAATGCTGCCATTACAAGAAATACTTGATTCGGTCAACTTTAGCGATGCTCCTCGTATACTAAAGATTTTGTTTTACCGATAATATTATTATTGGATTGTTTTAGGTGAAAAGAACCACTTCAACATCAATTTAGAAGACGAAGTTGTTCGTGGAAGCATCATTTTAGAGAAAGGGAAGTTAATGTGGCCTCCACCACCACCTAAAGTATCTCTTACCCCCGCTACTGCTACTAAAAAAGATGAAGTTCTTAAAGCTACTATTAAAGAAATTTCACCATTTAAGGCTAATTTAAATAAATCTCTGATGCTTACTACAGGTAAATTTTTATTTTCTATTAATATTAAATACAGGTGTTGAAATATATTCAATATACATTCAGAATTACTGATTCCCGAACAATATTAACCCCTTCAACCCTATCTGTAGTTAGTAATATCTCAGCCGGTAAGAAAATTATCTAACAGATAAATACGTCACGCGCGTCAGCCACTCCTCATTGGTTAAAAACCATGGAGGTAGAAGGTAGGGAGACGCTATCAGCATCTTTTTCAAACATTCAAAACGGTATCACTTAGTCGTGGTGACAGTCATTCCAATATGGCCGTTCTGCCAGGGCCGGACTATTGCTAATGCAACTCAAACCCTAATTTGCTTTTTTAATTAATTTTAAGTTTTAAATTAATTGTCATAAAACGGATAATTATTAACAGTTTTAATAAAAGTATTAAGAAATTATTAAAATGCAAGTAAAAGGAGATAGTTAAAAAAAAAATAAATAAAAATTCCTCATTTCATTTTATATGTCACGGTTTATCAGTTACGGTTTAACATAAAATAATCAAACAGTTGTTAAGGTAATAATAGAAAATATAATACGGCAAAATCAATATCCAATATAAAAATTATGTTTATTGCCCTTAAACAATACAATTTTATTATTGTGATGTCTTATGCTATCACATTTTTTTATTTTACTTTTAATAAGGTAACACATCCTAATGTTTGTGTATTTGGTAGCTAAAGCTTTTATTAACAGAACTCTATGGTTATCCAATGGATCCTGATCAAAACCGTGGGCTATCAAATTTGCAAATATATTTTTATTTATAAATGACTTTAACACTGAAGATACAATAGAGTCTACAGAATTAAGATGATAATTTGAACAGTTCTCTTTTTGAGTATTTCTTGACATCCAGAGAGGGATAACTGTAGGCTCTTTTTATTTTTTTTGTCTATAAATGAAAATATTTGTAGGTCTTTCTGGTCTGCACATAAAGAATTTACGCATTCCTCATAAATAAGCTTTTTTTTAAAGAGAATACAGTATAGCCAGCAATATACGTTACAATATATTTTGTAAATTCCGATAGCGTAGGGTTTGGTAAATAATCATGATCATGCTCAGTGTTATCTAGCACACTGTAGTAATTTTCTGATAAACCAAGAGCCCTGTAGTCTCTTGAAGATTCATTAATTTGTTGAACGGGACATTTTAAAATTCGGAGTTCTTCTAGCGGAATACAATTTCCACGAAAACTTTCACGTACTTCGACATGTACTAATATTTTCTTATAAGCTGCCTGAAATTGTCGGGCGGTGGGGTTATTGTTGTGGCCTCCATGTGAGCGAATGCAGCTAAAGAATAATCCTATGTGGTCTTGAGATATTTTATACATTGGTAAAAACTGTAGAGTGTTAGAAGAAATATACTTATCCATGTCATTTAAAGAAGTTTCTTTACTTTCATATTTTTTTAAAGACAAATGCTTTTTATAATGAAACTGAAGTAAATTTATAGAATTTAAGATAACAAAGAGAATATTTATGATTATTTTAAATCCAATTTTTGCAATATATATAGTTTGCAAACGACATAAAAATTGAAAACCCGTTGATTGAAACCACGATTAGCTGTTTGAAGTATTTGTCAATCTAATATGGCGGAAGTGAACCCGTCTTGGACCACGTGACAGCGTCTCCCTACCTTCTACCTCCATGTTAAAAACACAGGTCCACAAAAAAAAAGTGGTCTGTGCTGGGTGTTCGACAAAGATTTTCCGAGCGTATTTTTTACCGCTGAACACGAATCTGAAGTCAAAATTGGGGGTCAAACTGCAAAAAAACGGAGAAAAACTAAAAAAACCGATAAGATCCGTTATTGATTTTATCGGTTATTTTAATTTTTCTCCGTTTTTTGCAGTTTGACTCAATTTTGATAAAATGTAGTCAATCCAGCTTAAGTAATACATTTCCAAGAAATAATGTAATTTTATATAATGTAAAAAGTAGCTTAGTTGTTACCAATGTCCCAGCAAGGGCGGCTTCAAGACGAATTTTCGAGGGGGGAGGGCGCATTGCCTTTAGCCATTCCCTTTTTAGCATATTTTTTTGAATAAAAGGCCCATAAAACGTAAAAATTTTCATCTCAGGGGAGCATGGCCCCCCCCTGGAGCCGCCCTTGTGTCCCAGTGTTATTTCTATCTACAAGCTTTATTTATCCTTTATTTTTCCAAACAATATAGGCATTTTTAACAAGCCCATAACAACTAACAACTACTGACCAAACGTATTGAAAACCATTCTAGTCTGTCTTCTGATAGGCTATGATGAATACTGTTCCATTTTAGTTCAGTAAATAATCCTTGTATTTTTGTTACAAAGTTAATGCTATTTATGTTTTATTATTTTTTGTATATGGATTCTGCTTTTTAAGTAAATATTATTATTACAACTATGGACTCGGGACCTACTATTTTACGTCTAATCCCAATACTTTTCTTAACTTCGTTTGCTTTCCTCCTATGATTTTCTTCTATCGTTTAATGAGCGTAACATACTTTCTTTTGAAAACACTAGAGATATTCTAGATAGTCATATTAGAGAAGGAGCCATTTCCTTGAACACAGGGAGATTTCGCGGGGTGTTTTCTTAGACATAGAAGGCGCGTACATCAGTCTATGTTTGCTTCTATTGAAAGAAGAAGAATCGACAAACTCACACCTGTAATTTAATCAAAAGTATGCTTGCAAACCCGATCATCATTTCATCACTGCAGGTCACTTTCACGTCTACCAGGAGATGTCCACAGTGCTGCATATTTTCACCCCTAGTGTGGACCTTTCTGGTGAATAATCTGCTTGACGATGTCTCTCGGCAGGCAGTGAATTTACAATGCTATGCGAGTGATCTGGTTATCTTATTTAGGGGGAAATACGAATAGGTGATATCCAACATCCTTCAAGAAGCCCAAAATACTATTAACTGAAGGTGCGAGATGGAACAGATGTCTGTTAACCCTAGAAAACTGTTATTGTCCCTTCTAGATAAGAAACTCATCTGGAACCTCCAATTGAAAAAAGCTAACAACAAAGCCAGATTATCCCTCTGGGCCCTTAGAAGGATATACGGCAAAGCGTGGAGGGTCAGCTCTCTACTGATCTACTGGATTTACTAAATCTTGGTAAAATCCATGGTTACATACGACTCCGTCGTCTGGTGGGCCAAGGGAATTCAATGAACGGCCAGAGCAAAGCTGGTGGGAATCCAGCAGCTTGTGTGCTTCGCTATCCCTGGGACAATGTCAATCACTCCGACAGGAGCCATGGAAACCATGCTGGATCTACATTTTGTTGGAAAGAGAGGCCGGGATGGTCTATAGATTCCTAAAGGTGGATAGTCAATGAATTGAAGAGCTGTGATCGGACAGGAGGGAACTGATGAGTGAGAATAACTACTACATCCTCGGCATGGGCTCAGACTCGCTAGTTCCCGATAACACCTAGAAAAGTCATACAACATCCTCATTCCTCAGGGGAAAGCAGGGGAATACAATAGACCCAAGAGGCCGCAATGTTCTGGGCCAAACCTAACCCTACCTGCTTATAATCGACAGATAAAGATCCTCATTGGAGAGAAACGTATGGAGCAGTAGGGATAACAACCCTCTTCCAGGCTGATTATGCGCTGTACACGGACGGCTCCCAAACTGAAAAAGGAGTAGGAGCGGCATTTTTCAGCTAGAAGCCAAAAGTTGACATATAAATAAGCTCTGGTAAAACGATCTTCCAAGTAGAACTTATTGCTATAGAATTGGACGTGAGGGATTTGATTAGTTTTCTCCCCACTAACAAGACTATGAAGATTTTTTTAAATAGCCAGGCAGCTCTCAAGGCCCTGAGCACCAATCGAGTCAACTTAAAGAGGACCATAATCTGAGTTCATAGGACCAGAATCAACCTGTGCATTGCAAAGAGCACTGCCAAAAGAATTATTTCAAAATGGAAGGAGGGTGCAATACTCACAAACTGGAATTATACCACAGGGCGTTTATAACCAACCCTTCTTCCATGAATGCCTCTGCTTAGATCTGGAAATGGAGTAGGAAAGATCTACCCATTTCCACAGGAATGATGACAGCAAACAGCGGACTGTCGATTTTGTAACCTGTCAGATGAATCTGCACATTCTATCGACCTGTTCCACTTTGGAAAGAACTAGTTTCAGATTTTCAGATTCACCCATATCGACTTTAAGCAGCTCAATTCAACCATAATCTTTATCTAAAGATGTGGCTTGCACGGTGAACTATAAGTTAGACATAAACCATAATAGATCTATTTGGGTCACAGTGGAAGGAAATCATTTTCAACCTAACCTAACTTCCGTTGATTTTGTTGTAGAATACAGGCAAGCATTGATGCTATGGTTTTCTGGCTTAACGGGTCAATCTGTAATATAATCTGTGGCCTAGCTTAACGCGTGTCCCCTTTCGCGAAAGGATATAACAGACACTAAATACAATGAATCTGTCGTTAAATTACAAAATATAGGGATTTTTTTCCTACCAGTTTTATAATTACATGTGTACATGCCAAACTATAAATAGATAAATACAAATAATTTAAAGGAACGTATGCATTTAAATTATTCTAATTCCTTTATTTTTTAGGCGTTGGATCCATACTTGGTTTGGGAATGGTATCCCCAAATCCAGCGTTTACATCTATGTTGACCGTTTTGGGTCTGTCCGGCATCGTAGGGTACCACACGGTGTGGGGAGTTACTCCAGCCCTGCATTCACCCTTAATGTCAGTCACTAACGCTATTTCTGGTATAACAGCAGTTGGGGGGCTGCTGTTAATGAATGGAGGATACTACCCAACCAATTCTGTAGAGGTAATTTCTTCGATTTATTGATAATATTTAATCATTACTGATCTATATAATGTTTTTAGGGGTTGGCAGCTGCAGCAGCGTTCGTGTCGTTCATAAACGTATTTGGTGGATTTCTAGTCACCAAAAGGATGTTGGATATGTTCAGAAGGTAAAAATATACGATTTAAATATAACATGTTTATTTAATTACATTTCATATTTCAAAATTTCGAAATCGATAGTGGTAAGTGGGTTTTTGTAGACTTTTGAAAATTGATTCAAAAATGTATCGAAATTATAATAGAATGCAATTGTGCAGTATTAAAAATAAGACGCTGGAAGGTCTGTGAGCACGCCTACCGTCTATAAGTTCAATCTGGTTTCTGTGCATTGTAAAGTAATGTACTCTTCGGATAGTAATCAAGCTCTATATTTACTTACTACTTATACTGCTTAACATTTTATACGGTATTTTCATATTTTAATTTTCGATACATTTTCTGATAAAATTTTTATTTGGTAGTTAGAATAATTGATAGATTTTACACGGATTTACAATCAATAAAATTTTAGACCAACTGATCCTAAAGAATACAACGCTCTCTACGGAATCCCAGCAGCAGCGTTCATGGGCGCTTATGGTTGGGCTGCCATGAATGGTTTAGCCGAAGTGCATCAAGCCGCATATTTGGCAGCCTCTTTATGTTGCGTAGGAGCCTTAGCTGGCCTTAGCTCTCAAGCCACGTCGAGATTAGGCAATAATTTAGGAATAGTAAGTACAAATTTGCTTTTTTAATTTTTTCATATATGCTACTTTTAAAACTTGTCTTTTCTTCTTCTTAGAACAAGTCCCGACCTTATTTGTCTATAATTTCATGTCTTTGATATTACAGTAGGTATATTTTAATAAATATACATAAATGGTAATTACCTAGAAAAGTATTCCAATTCCACATTTACTTTATAATATGTACCTACTATTTTTTTTAAGTATTTTACTTGGTCCAATGGGATTGAATTATATTTTTTGATTTCAGATAGGCGTGTCTGCGGGTATAGCAGCCACTTTAGGTCAAATTGCTCCTAGCAACGAGGTACTTGCTCAAATGGCTGCCTGCGTTATAGCAGGTGGCGGTATCGGTACACTTATTGCTAAAAGAATCCAAATTTCGGACTTACCTCAACTTGTGGCTGGTTTCCACAGGTAAATATTTCTTGGTTGCAATTTTTTTAATAATGGTGACAGTGTTAAAGCGGAAATTCATTTTTAATGGCATTTATATTTTTAGTTTGGTAGGTTTGGCTGCAGTATTAACTTGTGTATCGACATTCCTTCACGATTTTCCAACTTTTGCTACAGATCCAGCAGCTGAAGTAGTTAAAACAGCTCTATTCTTAGGAACGTATATCGGAGGAGTGACTTTCAGGTAAAAATTAAAAATATTTTGGAACGAAATTATTTACTAAATTATATTTAAACAATAAAATCATGTATCATAAATTCGTCAATGATATGCGAATATTTAAGGTTGCGAATCTAAATGAAAAATAAACTATACTCTAAACTAATTTATTTTTGGTTTGTATTCTTCTGTAATTTTCTGTTTTTATTTTTTACTAAAAAACGACACTTAACAGAAAAACAACTCAAAAGTGCTCTTATGTTCCAAATTGAACTGGAAATTCAAAAACAATTTTTATTTGTGAAAAACCATTGGCGCACCATTTTTTAATTAAAAAATATCGAAGTGTTAAAGCTAAAAGCTAGTCTATTTTTATGTATGAGAGAGTATTAAAATAATAAAGCGTTCGTAATCCATAGGCGTACTACTACTTTTAGTAGGCAGTTAAAACATTTTTTGAAGTTATTCCTCGAGTATGCACTTATATTTTCACCTAATTAACCTGCTTATAACTTCTAAACAGCTGAAGGTAAAAAAGTGCAATTTTTTCTAAAATGTTTTATTTTTCCACAAGGTATGTTAAGAACATTGTGTCAAACGGGTTATGTAGGTATAAGGGTTTAAACTTTGACTTTTAAACAACGTTACGTTCGTAAATAATAATTTTAATATAAAAACTACTTCTTACCTACAAATCCAAATCAGAATCGAAATCAGAAGATGAACTGTCGCAACCAATATTTACAATGAGTGGCTCGATCATTTCATCAGTAATATTGTCCAACTTCCACATTTTCTCTTCTTCTTTAATCGTATGATTTACTGCCTTTTCCCAGTTTTCAGGCTTCACATTATTTACAGCCTCCAAAAACAACTGTTTAACATCACTCATTTTAGAAGAATTATTTTTTCTTGAAACTTCTCCCTTTATCTGTGCCCATATCTTGTTCAATCGGGTTTACTTCGCAATGATATGGTGGTGATCTAACCACCGTCATCCCGATTTTTTGCAATTTCGTCAATTTCATATTTTTTGAATTTCTCTTTATGAAGGGAACACAAATGATACAGTTCTTTTCTCACAGAACCGAGATGGAACTTAATATTCTTTGAACTTAGCCAATTCTGTAAATCTTTTTTTAACCACTTTGTTGTGGGCATTTTTTCTATAAGTCTCGAGTGATAACTATTATACAGTTCTGAGGAAAAAGATCTATAATTTGTTCGAACCACTCTTTAAAGACATCAGCATTCATGTCCTCATGGTAGTCACCGGTACGAGTAGATTCAAAAGTCAATAAACCACCTTTAACAAAACCGTTTGAACTACCGATGTGTACTATTATTAATCTGCGCCCCTTTCCTGATGGTGGATTTAAACCAGTAGATAAATTATTTAAAAAAGCCTGTCTTCGACTTGTAACAGTTTCATCTTACCAAAATTTATTTGGTTTATGTTTCTCGTTGATCCATGTTTCATCTAAATAAAATATATTTCTTCTTTGGTTTCTCATTTCTTTTATAGTCCTTAGGTAATTTCTTCTCCATACTACAATATCGCTTCTTTCTATTAAAATAGACTTTCTGGAATGCTTTTTCCATAGAAAACCTATTTCTTTTAAAAGTTTCCATAGTGTGCTTCGACTCATTTCAGGGTAATCCTTATCATCTCGAACCGTGGCAAGAACTTTGTCTACTGTCGGAAATTCTTTTCTAATGAAGAACGCATGCACTTTCCTTCGAAGTCTTTCTTTCAAAAGATTTTCTAATTGAAATTTTGGTTTTCCTGGAGCTTTGCGTACTGTTTGAAACTCGCCACATTTCTCTTCTTTAACAACTCTGTAAATCGTAGATTTCCCAACACCAAGCGTACTACTAACTAATTCCACTTTTATATAAATGTTTGTCTGTAAATGATTTAAAACAATTGAATATTAATGTTTTTTCATTAACTGTTAATTTTCCATGATCACATTAGAATTCACACTGCACCTTGTAAGTTGCAACTAAACGACATTTAGTAAACTGTCAAGAATACACAACTTGGACCTCCTTACTAAATGGAAAACCTATAATCGCATTTTCGGTGAAATTTGTTGGGAAGGTATTTATCTACTTATAATTCGATTACTGTAAGAAATTCTTGGAATTAAAATAAAACAAAATTGGCAAATAGGTACTTATTGAAAATAATATTAAGATACGGCTATGTAATCTTTAATACACAGGGCTTTTGGCCTGTCCAAACCTTTTTCTATTATTCTGTACAGCTTATGTTTATAAAGGACCAATAAAAGACCCAAAACTTGTAATAGCTCAGGTACATTTATTACAATTTTAGGAAATATTTAGATTAATCTGTAAAAATATTTAAAATGACCGTACTAAGTTTTGCATTAGAAATGCTGTTTTATTACTCATACATAAAAATAGACTATAGTGTTGTAATGAGAAATATACACTTTTAATAATCGTCACTGCGTACTAAATATCACTGAAATTTCTCAAGTGGTTTCGAAAATATTAATTAATTTTCTTTTCTTTTTTCCTATTAAGCACTACGTTTTTTCGTAATGGAACATTTTTTGACTATAATAGTTTATAAAGCAAACTATCATTAATTATTTATGTAGATTCACACCTTTAAATATTTGAATATTATTAAGGAACATCCTGGTGATAGAAAATACAGGGTGGTCAATTTAAAAAAAAAATGAGAAAATTATGTATCTTAGTTTTGACTCACCTTGTACAGATTTTTTACTAATTGAAGAAAGTAATGCATCGGCATAAAACCTTTTACCGTAAAAAAAATCGGTTTCCAATTGTTTCTTTTGCTTTATACAGGTCATTGAAATCAATACGGTTTTCATATGAAACTGGCTGTTTCGTGTAAAATACCTTGTATAATTTCATACTATTTGGTATTGTTACGGAAAAAGCGAAGGCAATTCAAATATAAAATAAAATATAGGGTGTCCCATTTAAAAAAATCTAACTTTGATATCTATCACTTTCTTGAATTTTTTTTTAAATTATTGATTTTTTCCTCCCCAAACCGAGGCGTTACTGGTGGCCCACCCTGTATATTTCCGAATCATTTTAAAATAAATTAATAAAACTTTTTTATGTCTGAACATTGACGTCCCCTTTAAAGGTATTTCGCCTTTCAACTTTTTTTGTTTAAAAATATTACATACATTTTTAATTTAAATTATATTTTTCTTTTGTTTTCATTAATTTTATTATGTTATATTTCTTTAATTCTATACCGCTCTGATTTTGATACTCAATATTTTTTAATATTATTAATAGATGTTATGTTATATTGGCAATGGGGTGTTAATACACTGTACCTAAAAGATATATTGTGCCCCTTTCTGTAGCTAATGCAGCAAGGATATGTCCTGATGCTTATAATGATCCTTCCAATCCTATCTTCTCAAGGAAGTGTAGGATTTGGAGTGGAGGTAATAGATACATCATTTTAATATAAAGTTTAAAACGTTTAGAAAATAATAATTTAAACTTATATTCAGATGAATAAAGTTTGCATAGCATTTCTGACCATATTTGATGCTGTAAGTAGAAGTTAAGAATACTATTTTAGAAACACCTTGTATACCAAACTCAAGATTAAGTCAACATGTTTTGGTCTAATCAAAAAATAACACATAGGTACGATAAAGGTATTTCTATGATGACGTTTTAGCGGTTCCTTGGTAGCTTATGGAAAACTCCAAGGAATATTAAAATCTAACCCACTTCATCTACCTGGACGACATGCGTTAAATGCTAGCCTTTTATTGGCTAACATTGGCGCTGGAGGTTACTTATTCTATGATCCCACATTAATGGGAGGTCTTGGAGCTCTTGGCACCACCGCGGCTTTAGCTTCTGTCATGGGTGTCACGTTAACAGCTGCGATTGGCGGTAAGAAAAAAACCTAATACTTTACTAATTATAAAATTATCAAAATCAATATTTACTTATTTTTATCATTTTATAGGTGCCGATATGCCCGTTGTCATTACGGTTTTGAACAGTTATTCAGGTTGGGCTCTATGTGCAGAAGGTTTCATGCTCAACAACAACCTGATGACAATTGTAGGCGCACTTATTGGATCATCTGGAGCTATTTTGTCTTACATTATGTGTAAAGTAAGTGTAAATTTTCTATGCTAAATAAACATGCATGTTTAATACCATCCATTAAAAATGAAATGAATTTTAATCATTTGAAAAAATGCTGATACTTTTTCGTTTAACATTTTACTTTATATCCATAAATTTATATTGTAATTTATTCAGTGTGTAAATAGATTGAGTGCAAATATTGTATCCCACAAAAAAAACCTTATTTTTCATGTGACTTTCTTTTATTGCAATCCTATATAGGCTCTATTTTAGGTTCATGCATACAATCCATTCACATATTCTTGCGAAGGTTATGGTTGAGTTTGGTGATACTTTTTTAAAGTCTGTAAGCCCTAATTGGATGATTTTGAATTTTTGAATGTCAAGGATCAATTTTGTAGTATTGTCAGTCCAATGTTTGTTGTAGACCTATCTTTATATTTATCTTTGTTGGTTATAAGCAGGTAGGATTAGGTTTGGCCCAGAACTCTGTGGCATCTTGGGTCATTCCTCTGCTTTCCCCGTATTTAGGTACTATCTTGGGAATAGTCCTGTTCCAAGGGCGTTCTTTCCGATTCTAGCTTGTGGTTTCTTGGACGAAAGTGTCCTGCCATCAAACCCATAAAGATTCATAAATCGTCATTCTTTTCAATTCCAGAGTCTGAGCAAAGGCGTTCATAGAAAGATTAAAAGTATTTTGCCCTCTCTTCCCAGTTAGATAATTTCTTTAGCAGTACTCTTTATACTGTCAAGAATTTGTTTTGGTTCGATTCCTACTTTAGCGAGATATGTGCTCACTCCACTGTAACCTGGCACCCAGATCAAAATAAGTTTGTTCCGAGGACCATAATTCTTTAAAGCTTTGTGTGTAATGTCAATCAGCTTTGAACCAACAGAGTTGTTGCCACTGACCATAGTTGGAGCTAAGGGCTATCCACAACAACCATCTTAAAAATACATTACGGATGACTTGCTCGGAGAATTTCTTTGTTTCTACTTTATCATATCGTTTACATTTTATAAATAATTTTCAATCTATTCATTATTCTTTAGGCTATGAACAGATCACTTCCAAACGTAATATTAGGCGGTTACGGAACCTCCAGTACTGGCACTGGAAAACCTATGGAGATAACCGGTACTCACACTGAAATCAACATTGATGGAGCTGTAGAAGCCATTAAAAATGCCAGAAATATAATAATAGTACCTGGTTATGGTCTTTGCGTAGCCAAAGCCCAATACCCCATTGCAGAAATGGTCAGCAAGTTGAAACAAGCAGGAAAGAATGTTCGATTCGCCATTCATCCAGTTGCAGGTACGATAAAGTTAATCACGAAATATTATTGGGTTTTATTTTTAAATTTTGTTCTTTGTTCTAGGTCGTATGCCTGGTCAACTCAACGTTCTCTTAGCCGAGGCAGGTGTTCCCTATGATGACGTACTCGAAATGGATGAAATCAACGAAGACTTTCCACAAACTGATCTCGTCTTGGTCATAGGTGCCAATGATACAGTCAACAGTGCTTCTCTCGAAGACCCCAACTCTCCCATCGCAGGTATTATATTTATTATAGTAATAATACATTCTTTATTGACCAATAGAAAATCTCCATTTACAAGACAATGTAAATACAATGCAGTAATACATAGGTATAGATATAATCAATACAATCAATTAGCCAAAACTTACAATATATACATAAGAAGAAAACGCAAACTTTATTTAGTTGATTTTTTAAAATGTAGGTAAAAAAAATATAATATATTAGTAAATGAAAAATATTATTCCATTTATTTTATAACAAATAAAGTATTAGAATATTCTACATTAATTCTGAAAGTAAATTAAATAAAAATATTGACTTTAATATTGTGGAAAGATCATTAATAAATAATAAAAACAGCAAAGGTCTCAAATTAGACCCTTGAAGGACACTTGATGCAGGGCAATACATTCTAGAACAGAAACCTTGTTTTATAAATATGATTTTTTTAATGTAGTGAGAGAAGTACTAAAACAAACATTTTTTTTTATCTTATCTATTAATATTTTGTAGTCAATCCTGTCAAAGGCATTGGAGAAATCAGTGTATATGACATAAATCTGTTGTTTACTGTCCATATCTTCAACTAATATACTGAGTAATTTCTACAAGATTGGAAGTGATGGATCTTGGTCGCATGTAATCCTGCTCATCGGTTAAAATAAAACAAAAATCGATATGCTGCGATAATTTTTGATATTCGTATTATCACTTCTTTTTAATACTCAAGCTACTTTCCACAATTAGATTGAAAATTTTAAATAATGGTGTTTGTTTTTAATATTAACACTAAGTTTAAATGTTGATTTAAATATTCAGAATCGAATCACGTACAATAAATTTTATTTTCCAAACAAACCACAAAATAAATCCTACCAATATCTCGGTATTTCTTGATGGAAATGCTTCTATTACTTGCAACTGCCTAAAAAGGGACCCATTTGATCGATGTTTTTTCTCGAAATACCGACTATAATTTAAAAACTACAGACTCAAGAACACATAGAACACACAGCAGAAATTCAACAAAAATTACAAAAATTACTACTCGACCGCCATTGCCTCTTTTTCGTCTGTTACTCACGGAACGAAAAGTGCAGCGTTGTCATGATACAATAAAAAGAAAGTATGATATTACGCAGATTGATACTATACGTCACGGTGACGTAATGTGGTGGAAGGCGTGGCTTTTACGAATTTGACATATCAGCTGGTGAAAACAACGCGCGAAAATAAATTTTAATCGGCTCAAGGCCAATCAGATAACCATATTCCACACCACAATACGTCATGCGTGAACTCGACATGAAGGTAAAAGGTAGGGAGACGCTGTCACGTGGTCCGAGACGGATTCACTTCCGCCATGTTCACGAATCCTTCAAACAGCTAATCGTGGTTTCAATCAACGTTTTTTTCTATTTTCATGTTATTTGCAAACTAAATATATTGTACATATTAAAAATTAAACAATGGTCGCTTGTGCTCAACGTAGCAACCTAATAGATATTCATATGAAGAAATTATCAGATATAACATTCCACAACAAAGTATACAACATAGTAAACAATATGCAGGGCCGTATTTGAGATATTAATTGTGCTTTGAGTGAGAGTGTTGTAACCATAAACTGTTTTTTTTTGTATCATATGGCGTTGTATACAGTGAACGACGCGCGAAATTCAAAATTTTAAATAAATCGGAACATTCTGCTCACCAAATAATAAAATTATTTCCAATTAAACTTACAAAAGGAAAATTACCTTTGACTCTTTTTTTTTTAAATTACTAACCCTAGGTAACACAACATATTTACACGTGACTAACTAATAAGTAACTTATTAAGTTATTGAGAGGGAAGGGCACAAAGTTTTACTAAAGGACGCTTTGACCTTAGCTACTCTACAATGCCCATCCTTTCCAAAAATTAATTTTGTTATACGAGCCAATTTCTAATCTAATGGGCTTGTTAAGAAGTTATCTATTTACTTCTTTCTTGAAGTGTGTGTAAATATTCTACATGCCAACGTTTCCAAAACTGTTGTACACTGCTTTGTACCAATTGTCATCTTGTCAAGCGATTAATGGAAACATCACTAACCTCCTCACAGGTAATGCTGGAAGCATTCTTGGATATCGAGGGTGCATTTGACAATAGATCCGTTGAATCGATCATTAGATCTCTCAAACACAGAGGAATCGAGGACACGTGCGTATCCTGGATCGACTCCATGTTAAGGGAGAGAACTATACACACAACCCTTATGGGAGAGACAATAGGGGCACGGGTAGCGAGAGGATGTCCGCAGAGTGGAGTGCGGTCTCCACTCTTGTGGAACCTTGTAGTGGACGGGCTGCTTAGGGCTCTCAAAGATAAGGGACATAGAACTCTGGGATATGCCGATGATCTAGTGATCATGACAAAGGGAAAATAAAACACTATAGTAAAAGATCGAATGCAAGAAGCTCTAAATATTGTAAAAAAATGAACAGAGGCGGAAGGACTAAACATTAGCCCAAACAAATCTGACATAATTGCATTCACCCGCAGGAGAAAATTGGAGGGACTAGGGCCTCTTAACCTAAGAGGTGCAAGCATCCAGCTTAAGGGGGAGGTAAAATATCTCGGGGTTATGATTGACTCGAGACTTACCTGGAACCAGCATCTAGAACAAACCACAATGATGGCAAGGCGATCGTTTGAAGAAAAAAAAATGGAGGTTAAAACCAGACATAGTATATTGGCTTTATAACATGGTGGTGAGACCGATAATAACATACGCAGCTTTGGTGTGGTGGCCAAAGACAGAGCAAAGGAAAGCAATAACGGGGGCAATGAAAACAACCCCCACAGCTGCAATTGAAGCACTAACAGGACTCCCACCTCTTCACTATGTGGTAGAAGGGGAGGCAAGATTAGGAAGCAGATTAGGGAATACACTGGGAAATCTTGACATTAGGCCAGGTAACATGAGTATCTCAAGGTTAGTGACAGGAGACATGCTAGACATAAGATCAGACCACATAACCAGACTGCGGAAGGCACTGGGGCGAGAGTATTTTTCAAAAACTCTGATACTAACCATAGCTATGCTATAGGAATACATTCCTCGGTATTTCAGGCCGAGATATACGCAATTTTGCAATGTGCAAAAACGAACAATAAAAGAGCTGTCGAAAATTAGCATATTTAAATAATGTCAGACAGCAAAGCGGCACTTAAGGCCATATCGAGTCAGAAAGTTACGTCGAGGCTGGTATGAGAATGCATCAAAGAAATAAGAACACTGGCAGACCGAAATAGAGTAAAACTATTTTGGGTGCCAGGTCACCGAAGAATCGAAGGCAACGAAAAGGCTGAGGAACTTGCAAAATGAGGGTCAGAAGAAACACCGGAACCAGACACAAACCCAGGAGTACCAAAAAGTACAGTCCAGGGTTTCACAAACGACTGGATTCGGGAACAACATATTAACTATTGGGGAAGCATTCCAAAACAGGCACATGGAAAATCCTTCATAGACAGACCACGTCCCAAGAGAACTGGAGAACTACTCTTTATGAATAGGAACCAGTTGAAAGTGATGACAGGATTCATGATTGGGCACGCCCCAGTAAAGGGACACTTGAACAAAATTGGCATGTACAATGGGGAACTCATGTGCCGACTATGTCACAAGAAACCAGAAACGGCCAAACACATACTGTGCGAATGCGAAGCTTCTAGATCGCAAAAGATAGGCTCTTTTTAGAACAACCCCAGGTTGATCACACAACGTATAGAACCCATTCATTCAAGGATCTGTACAAACTTGTACAAGGTACAAAGGTGACAGAGTGGGTGCTATGAACTAACATGGGGTCAAAGACAATAAGCCAATAGGCTTCAGTGTTATTCGGAGACATAGTCAGACGAGCCCAAGAGAAAAAAAAAACATCCTCACAATAAGTACTTCCAGCAGATCCAAAAGTCAGAAAGTCAGTAAGTGGCTGGGACGATAAAAGATCATTTGGATAATCATTAGCACTACACAAAGGCTTTGAATTAAGAGTGCTCTCGATTTGAACATAAAGAGTATTAAATTCTTCCACAATAAGCATTTGTTTGCCAATTATTTGTTTTAAATGAGCTTTCATCGATTTAACGCTTCCTACAATTGTCCAAAATGAGGACTGGAAGGAGGGTTGACAGTGTTACAAGCACATTAGCACAATCTTGGAACTTTGTCACTTCCACTGTTTGCAAGTTTATTCATTTCTTTAAAATATGGTTTTCAGAAATTTGTGAAATATTGCAGCATGAAATATGATTTACTTCTAAGTTGTTAGCGATAATTGTGTTGAAATATAGACACTTTCAAAATAATTAAATCTTTAAAAGAATAGAACCTGGTGTAATAAAAATAATTTCATAGCAAAGTATTTTTCCGGGAATTCTCGTATTACCCATTTTTTGTTGAATGTATTTTCTGCATTAGTAACCGCTACTATTTTTAACAGAGTTCAGATAGTTATAAATTTCTTACACTTGAGCTTTAAGTATTCTCATTAGTCTGGAAAATTCGTCATAGTAATATTTAGTAAGATTTAGTTTTTCTAAAGTAGCCTGCGGCGTTTTGACTTTGCCTATAAAACTTGCTCCCCTGCAATTTTTATGAACGGCGCCCATGGTAGAATTAGTTCTTATGAAGGCCCTACACGCTGCGATTTCTGTAAAATTTGACTATACAGTCCATCGATTCAATCTATAACTCAACGTAAAGTGCTTGATATGAATTCCATCTGGCCTCTCCTCTTTTGTCCTCTTTTATCTAAGGTGAAGATTAAATCTTGCCTTTAGATCAGAACTGTGCGTTTTGACCTGCAGGTCATATCGGAGCATGTAGGGCCTCTATTAGATTAGATAGTTCTAACAATATCAAATATTTTATCCTATAAAGAAAATCATTTACATTTTTCATTGCAGGTATGCCGGTTCTAAACGTGTGGAAAGCCGAAAACGTAATCGTTATGAAGAGGTCGCTGGGCGTCGGTTATGCTGCAGTCGATAATCCAGTTTTCTATAAACCGAACACATCGATGTTGTTGGGGGATGCTAAGAAAACGTGCGATCAATTATTGGCGAAAGTTGCAGCGGATTAAATTAGGTTTTTTTTTCTAGTTTTAACGCTTATTTTGTACATATTTTCAACAGAAACTTTAAACGATGATAATATAGAGTATTAAGCAATTTCAAACGTATTCATAATTTATAATTAATAAAAGTTGTAGTAGTTGTAGATTGTCCAATTCATAAAAGACGAAAGAAGTGTAGAATTTGAAGAAACTATTCAATTTTTGAAAATCCATACATATAGATTTTATGCTCTTAATTTAGTTTTAGTATAAACTTTTTAAATAACTAGGTACCTGAGGAAATAAGGCCCACCTAAGGAAAAAAACTCATTTTATTTGAAAAAAAAAAAGTTAAAATAAAATTGAAAATACACATAATCAAAAACAGTTACGCTTCTTGGATGAATACATTTCTAATAGAAATTTCATTTTTTTTTTAAGTTTTGAGCCATTTTTAAAACGTCTCCAATGAGCCTTATTATACAACCAAGAGGGTAATAGGGCCCTTGCTTAAAATTCGATTCTTTTAAAAAGGCCCACAAAATATAACGCTTACACGTGTATTTATAAATTCAAAAACATTTTTAAAACAAAATAAACTAAAAAAAGGCACAAATATTAAGCTTATAAAAGAAACTAAAGCATTCTAAAATAGTTCATTAGCAACACTTTGGACAAACAAAACATTCCGTATCGCGTATCGCATGACACCATTTTGCGCAAGTTACACATTGTCTCATGTCAAGTTTGTCTTCAGTTCCGCAAAGAAAACAGTACCACGAATCACTGCCCAATGCTTTTTTTGAGGAAATTGAAGTCGAAAAGTTTAACGTTGAAGGTCTAGGTTCTTTTGCTGCAGACTTACTGATTGACGTTGAAGATTTAGATTCTTTTGATGCAGACCTGATGTCTGCTGTTAAAGGTTTAGATTTTTTTGCTACAACTTCCTGGAGGTAGCAGATACTGATGTCGACTTTGTGCTAACGGATGAAAAAAGGTCTTTCGTTACAGCTTGCGCTTTATAATTAAGGGATTTATTCCTGTCAGCTGTGTTATTGTTTTTATTCTTTGTTGCAGAAAGCTCAGGAGTAGGAAGCAATTCCTTAAAAGACCTATTAAGAACTTCATTACTAGTATCCATCATGATGTTGTCTGTCAACGTTTTATCTGTAGCTGTGGTCCCCCCCAGCGATTTTCGTGATTCGTCATTTTTTACTGGTGTTTTTTCTCCATATTTGCTGCTTCTTGCTATTGCTGAATCTTTCACGATTTTTGCTAGCTTATTTAGCGGTATGTCGTCTAACTCATCATTGGACTTAGATCTATGATCCGTTGTATTTGTAGCGTTATCAACTTCTAAAATATTCGGAATTACACTGCTGTTTGTGTTGTCTCGCAGAATTCCTTCATCAGGTACAGGTCGTTCAGGGTTTTCTAAATGGCGCTGGCTTACAAGTGATGGGGCAAATGCTGACTCTGGAATCATTTGTGGATCAAGTGGCGTCATACATTTGGGCCAGACTTTGGTAAAAATTTTACCGAATCGACTCTTATTAAGACGTCGATCTGGATGCGCATCCCATAATTTAAGCAGTTATTGATCCCAGTGATGCTCAAAGGATCTGTAAACTGCCTTATCCAGTGGTTGGAGTTCATGCGTCGTATTTGAAGGTTTAATAATATGTTTCTATTTTGTGAGATATTATTTTTGGGCTTTATTAGGCGCCGGGCCTTATTTGCCGCAGGTACCTTACAAATATTTTCCTCTTAATAAGAATTTATATTTCCACTCATTGAGAAGCTTGCACAAAAAAATGTGTTGGTCTTATCTATACATTTTTTTAGTATTAAATTAAAAATAAATATTCAGAATGGAATTAAATAAATTTTTTTTATTGAATACATTTCTTTCGTGATCTCAATATTAACTGAGTATTCAGGGTCAATAAAAGAGTATTTAATCACAGAAATTTCGTCCGTTTAATGTTTCTGCGTAATTTTAGGAAAAGTGATATTTTTGGAGACTTTTTTTAATAAAATGTTTGTCTATATTTGTATATAAAGTCAGCAAATTTGAGTACTTCGATTATATACGGAGAAAAATAGTCTGAGTGTTACAACCTATCGCTTGGTGTTTTTAGTATCTCAGGAAAATTTATTTTTAAAGTTACACCTTTTATTTGTTATTTTGCAATTTTTATTTTCTGTTTATAAGAAAATAGTATTTTCCTAATTAATGTGCAAATTTATACCCGTGTAATAGGTTAATAAAGTTTCATATCAATTTTGTTTTATTATTACCTATACGTACTTTGTAACCAGAAATTATAATGAACATGGTGTCCAAGAACTAAGTAATCTCAGCCTTATAATTTTGGAATGAATCAATGCCTATCGAAACACGCTGGTTTAAAAACAAAAACAAATTTTATTCACTGAAACGTGGAACATTGATTAATCTTGTAACATACTATTTCATATATACAAATTTTATATTCCTTTTAATTTGAGAAGACTGCTTATAAATGGTGATACTTAAATTGAGACAAACATTGCCAGCTTCAAGCTCTGACGAAGTTTTGTGTTTTGTTTTAGACTTTAACCCTAATAACACCGATCTGCCAGAAACATCCCATTTAGGTTCCATGTATGTTTCTGACATAAATGGTACGTCTCTACGATGTCTCTAAAGAAACGTTTCTGGAATGATTTCTCAAGAATGTTTTAGAAACATCGTATTTATGTATAGGTATTTTATTTTCGTTTTAAATATTATTTTGAAATGATAAAATTACTGCAATCATCAGAAATCTACAATAATATCAAACTATAATATTAAATTTAAACATTTTGAACAATATTTTTATTTCACAAGACAACTGCTATAGGTCAAATTTATCTTATTTCCTTCAAAAAAGAGTGCAAAGCAAATACGATCTGATTCAGCAGGAGAGTTCGGTTAATCCTCCGTGAGCTAAAAAAATACACTATTGACAGAAACCCTCGTGATGGAATCTATTTCTTTACATTGAAAATGTAGCACTGAGATACTTATGAAAATGTCGTTTCATTTCATGGAGGTATAATACTAATGGAGATGCCATGAGGCAATTGTTTTGCATGTGATACGTTTTATTAAAAATGACCCCACTGGGCGTGGCTTAAATGGTTGACTAATCAGGGTCGTATTCAAATATAATTAAAGTCCGTATGCAGAATTACAACTTTTAAATGACTTACTTACCTAAGATTTGTTTCAACATGATCGATTCGAAATTAATTTGATGACATTGCGCAATTATGACTTCTACACTATTTACTATTATTTATTAACCGTTTTCCGACCAAGCCAATGCCAAGACCATAAAAGAGATTAATATTATTATATTGTTCTGTCTTCGCCGAAACCGTCCGATATATGACCTGTGTGATCGAAAATCAACGTTCGAATAACTGTGCATCAGATTTGTTAATCTCTTTGTGCTTTAAAACTAAAACCCGAACTACGATTTTTTGTTCAAGGACTCTCTTGTCTTGATCAAAGCTGCCAATGTCAAAATCTGACAATGAGAATTATGACATCAAAAGGCATTTCTTTATAAGCTTACTATAACTTACTAGAACATACTTATGTAACCAAGCAATTCTTTAAACGGTTTGGTTACTTCCATGACGTCATACGTTACCAAAATACGTAACTACTACTAACCATGATGTTTTTAGTGGTAAGGTGTGTGGTAAGGTCAGTAAGGTCCACATTTGAACATATCGAGCATGCGCAAAGTATTGTAAAGAGATTAAATTAGATACATTTTTCTGTGGTTACGGGTTATATGGTTCATTTTGTATATTTGGGTTGGGCATTTTTGTATTTACCAAAGAAAACTCTATTTACTCTGAAAGAAATTACATTTGAAATACAGGGCACTGAAATAACTCTTCACGAGAGCGATGTTGATGACCACTGGATACTGTTATTTATATTGAAATATAAAGATGAAAATATGAGACTACTGGCACAAGTATTTATCATTGTTATTTCATCACAAATAACACTTATTAATTTTTTTTCTTCCTTTTGTTGGAGGAGACATATTTAAATAAATAACAAAAAAAACGAAAACCAAATGACGTCTGTGACAAAAACACTTTTTTCTACACCCGTATTATAATAATGCACTTATATGCTCATAATCCGTTTCATAATGATACCCATTATGATACAGATTTTTCATTACGATACAGATTTTTAATCAATAGAAACCTACAATTTTTCAATCAAGCATGCCCTTTGACGTTTGTCCTAGGTTCCTATGTAATTGTCTTAGTTGTCAAAACGTATTAAATTTTCGTAGATAGCTAAACTTCGATAATTATATTATCAACATGTCTGATATCAGCGATATAGAAGACTCCTCCACACATATCGGAGAAAGGAGAAAATGCAGTACACAATAATTTGCCCAAAAAATCTATGGTAATACCAATACCCAAGGTAATACCATTAATTACAATTTTGTAGAATTTTTTATAGAAATACGAGTAATTACTGTTATTGTGTTCAATACCAATATAAATATAATATTTATAGTTCTTGATTATTTATCGGGTGTAGAAAAAATAGCGTATGCAACTCTCATGTAATTGTTATTAATACACTCGCCTAAACCATACGAAACTCGCATTTGGCTCGTTTCGTATCCCGGTTAATGCTCGTTTATTAATAACCATCATTACATGATCGTTGCATAATATACTATTATTTATCTGAACAAAAACAAAATAAACAAATCCCCAATTTGACATGTGACAACGACAAGTGCTACGAGTTACCACGGTATGTCTGACGTCATCAGAGTAACCACAACACTGTTACGAAGTATGTCGTGGTAAGCTTATAAAGAAATGCCTAAATTACCAAACCAAAAACCAAACCACTACGTGAATTGTGAATAAATATATTTCAGTAAAAATACAGCCGAGTTTGTAGAAAGGACAATTAATTACTTTTAAATGTAAAACATGTATATAGGTCTTTCTGCTGCAGATGACATACATTAAAAATATGACCCGCTACAGTCAAAAGTTTAAAAAGACCAAAAATTCAGCTAGGTATGATTTTATGGTTAAAAGTAGATGGAAGAAAACCATGATCAAAACTACTCTGTCAAAACCAATCGGAACTAAAAAAAACTCAGATAATAGTTGTTGGTTTTATTTATGTTTGAAATAATTAATTATATAGGGTAGGTACATATATTACTAAAATTGCAAGCAAGTACTTACTAAAGATTTCTATAATTGGTACCTATGTATAATAAACAACAATCTCACAGATGCACATGGATACAAATGGAATTATAGAGATAATTTATTTTAAAAATAGGCATTCAGTTGCGATTTGTGATTACAACAAGTATTAGAAATTAAAAATTTAAAAAAACCGACTTCAAAAACGTGCAGATGCCATTACCATATTTTAACCAAATTTATATGGGACCACCCCTGAGGTACCCCCTTACTAACAAAAAAAGAATCATATAAATCGGACAAGGTGGTAAAGCATTATCGCTAAACATACATAAAAAATGAAGAGTTTGAGGAATTTCTCATGGACCCAATTATTAGATTTTGACTAAATTTATATGGGACCACCCCTAAAGTGCCCCCTTTCTAACAAAAAAAGAATTAATAAAATCGGACACCGTGTTAAAGAATAATCGCTGAACATACATAAAAAAAAAAACTTAGCAAATAAGTGGAAAGATTCATTTTCCTGTAATTCGTGAAGTTGTTTGAAATACTTCCACTCGACAATTTTATTTTCTTCATTTACATATGAATACTTTTCTGCTAAAGTATTTCTAATTAACTTTAGCATATGTGGCGGATCTAAAAATATAACAATTTCTTCATTATTTGATGGATGCTTGAAACTAGTTTTTAAAGTTGTATGATGTAAATTACAGCCCAAGAGTTTGGCCATTGTTAGATTATTAGAAGCACCATCAAATGTTAAACTTACAACACTAACACCTACTTCATAACATTTCTTTAAGCATTCTAATACCAGCCCCTTTTTCTGTTCACCTGTCATACTTGAAATTAAAAAATATCCTACTGGAATTTTCCAGCTTCCATTTACACAATTTAATAAGAAAACAAGAGCATTGTTTGCAAGCGTAGTTTCATTTGCACCCGTTCCTACATCTACACAACCATAACTTCTACGTTCGCTTCCAACAAACTCCTCATGTTGACGAATGGCCATTTCATCCATAATAAGTGCACAAATTATTTTTTCATTGGAAGAATTTGAATTAATCTGTAGGGCATTGAAAGCCTCACTTGTGAATCAAGGCTCACCTTTTATACTTTGATACCATCGACTGATTGTACGGACATGTTTAGCAGTCCAAACATTTGTTGATGGACTCCGTGACCACGAGATGCAGAAAACACTCCGTTTAGCCCGTCACAAAACATTGGTCGATGTCTTGTCCGCTGCCCTTGAATATGAAGCGGCTACGCTAGCTTCTGGTGGATACAGTGAAGTATGGACTGTAAAAGTAGAAGAATAGGGAAATAAATTGGATCAATTGTTTCACATGATAAAAAGCCTTATTGAGGAGCAACCGAAGACTATTAGGTGCTGGAATTGCGGTGAAATGGGAAATGTAAGCAGTTCGTGCAAACGCCCATAGAACACTATACGAATCGAAAAACCATGCCGATGGCTATACAGGAAGAAACAGTGTTGCCAGAAAGAACTGAAACCATAAGAGAAACACGGTTGCAAGGAACTGTAGAGAAAGCAACGCCTGTCATGAAGGAACCTTCGAAGCGCAATGAAGGTGTTAGTCAAGGAACTCTAATTGAAAAGGGGTTGGCCACATCTGCTAAAGAAGTTACAATACATTACCGCGAAATTCTCCAACTTCTGTCTTTGCTATTAATATAAATAATAAATACGAAAATGTATAGTGATTTATGTATTACAAATAACTAAAAATAAAAACTACAAACTCTGGGTGATAATACAAAATATGTCATTTCAATTCTCAATTTCCAATTCGTAGGAAAGTATTTTGTTGCCAAGTCTACTTTAAAATCCCGATATCGGGCTGTAAACCACGTTTGACTTCTGTTAGTTCTACAAGATCCAAAACTTGTTGTATTATTTGATTTACTATTACTGCTTTTTCACTAAACATTTTTCTGTTGTAATTCTGAAAAACATGTCATTTAATAAAATTATAGGTGAAGTGATAATTCAGTAGGTATTTAGTACTGATACTGATTCGAAAGAAAGAAACACTGAAGCAATTATTAGGGTGCCATTTGTATGAAGTGGCGTTCTGGGTAATATTTTTGTTTTTAATTTTAAAACCTTCGGACCGCCCATACAACAATTGCAAAGTAATCAATATATGTGTAACATAGTTGTTATGGATGTGTATCAAAAATGTATTTACTTAATATGTTTAATATGTGTCTATTGTTTTGGAAACTTTTATAGTTGTAGTTATAGAGCTTTTTTTAAAATCCCTTTTAAAATTATCACAACATATGTAACTAACTTGTGTTATATTACTGGAATTTATTGGAAAATACTTACATCCTTCGCAATATCTCTTAGCCTGTCGGACACACCTGGTCCAGTTTTACGTACCATGTCTGATAAGACGCCATCTTTGTTTTGAAGTAAAATATGAGGATGGTCAAATTCTATCAACTGACCAGCATCCAATACCAATATCTAAAATTTACGTTACTATTTAGTCTCAGCAACTGTATGATTATATTTAATGCCCACTGTATAGAGGGTCATGTGAACAGGCTAAGACGCTTGTCTTATTGACTATGCCATAAGATAAAGGGTTAATAATCAGTATAACTGACCTTGTCATAATCCATAACAGTATTCAGTCTATGTGCAATTGTCAGTACAGTACAATGCGCAAATTTCGTCCTTATGGTCGTTTGGATAAATCTGTCAGTTTGGGCATCTACATTAGCAGTAGCTTCGTCCATAACTAAGATTATGTTGTTTCTTAAAATTGCCCTGGCCAAACACACCATTTGTCTAGATCCCACACTTATATTGGTACCTCCTTCACGCATAATGTCATCAAGACAATCTGGAATGAAATATTAAATCATTACATGTTATTACAGTTTGGTTTTGAAACATATAATTTTATAAACTAAGGAAAAAACTGTGCTGCTAAGTACTAATATTTAATTATATTGGTCAAAAATAATGAAACAAGTAAGTACAAGTAATTTTTTCGTTCTCAAGTGGACAATCTTAAAATATTTGCTTTCCCGTTTCTGATATTCAAAAATTTCTGTAATTGCGCTTGCTGATATAACCTTTTTCGAAATTATGCCGCGATTGCTCATATCGAATCAAATACTTATTCGTATGAAAGTTTAAGTGCAATCGAAAATATTTTTGACAGATTTATAACAACTATGATCGAGATTTCGATTCGCCATTACACACCGGAGACCAAACAGCTGTCAAGACACTGGACAGTCTCAGTAGAAGCGAAAACGGTTTCATTGACCAGAAAGGTTATGGCGTCGGAATTTCGGTAAAACAATAAATGAATTTACTTGAATTAGAAGCAACAGAAAATTCTGAAGAAAAAAAAACTAGATTAAATGGCAAGGAGAAAAATAAAAAGAAGGAAATTACATTTAAATTTCTATTTTACCAGATACATTTTTGCTCAATAAAAAAAATTACAGAACCAATTCTATTTTTCCACCGTAATCTTTTATTTTAAATAAACGGTACTTACTTATACCCTTCTTCACGGCATTGGCAATCTCTACATCCATTAATGCTGAAAAAATTTGTTCGTCCGTATACTCATTGAACGGGTCCAAATTATATCTTAACGTTCCAGAAAATAGGACCGGTTCCTACATAATAAAAAAATCAATATTATAATAAATATTAATAATACAAAATGAAACTGAAGATTTTATAATAATCGACCAGCTTATCAGGTTCAGATATTTGATATTAATAAGCAGGGTCAACTACGGTTAGTATTGCCACTGGCTCTGAAAAAAGAGCTTGTGAAAGGGGAGCGCCTATTATTATTTTCCGTATTAAATTAACATGTTCCGCTACTCTATGCAAACTAGCGTTTCGCTTTTTTCTAACTAAATGATAATAAATATAGAAGAAATAAATTTCTTGTCAGAAAATCTTCCAAATGTTATCGATTTTTTTAGCGTTTTTAAAGTTTTTAAAGATAATCCAAAACAGGTGCAGCAGGGACGACTAGAGAGGGGGGAGCCGGGACTAATTCCCGGGGCCCGGACTCAAACGGGGGCCCGGACTCAAACAGGGGCCCGGCAGCGGTATAAGGGGGGGCCCCTTTTTGTATGAGAAATTCGACACAAGATGAGGGGTGAAAGTTTTTGGTTGGGGAGTTTTTTTAGATAAATCAAATCAGGTATAGGAGGAAAAGTTTTTGCTTGAAGACCCTTTTCAAGTGGGGGCCCGATTTAGAGAATTGTCCTGGGGCCCGGCCTGGCTCTCGGCCCTGGGTGCAAGTTCGTGAAATAGATTCTTTGTTAAAAAAATATATTATAACAAGAGACAAAGAAAATATTTATTGCATAACTTATATACATTTTTTTTAAATAAATTTCATTTTCTCCACAACTTGACTCTGATTCATACTCATCACTACTTGCCGTTGTATCTTCTGTTTTTTTACTTGTAGTAGCCATCGTTCCATCTTGCAAACTTTTTCTGTCACTTCCCCTTTTATACAGTGTGTCCCAGATTCACTTCTCTATACATGGATCTCGGCTCCTATTATACGTATCGGTCAATTGTTTATGAAAATATCGGTGAAAAACCGAAAATGGCGGATTTCGTTTTTCGCTTGTAAATCCGAAGCTAGCGGGTATAACATGTATTAATCGTCTTTTGTTATCCCGCAATCCGCCTCAACTTTTATTTTTCCTACTGCCGCCTTACTGGATTTTTCGATTTTTGGAAAGACTGAAAAATTTCCAGTCTTGTGATATCTCACAAGTGCCTAAAAGATTTAAGAATATCACACTTCGTAAAGTTAGGTCTCACTTTTTACTTTCCTATCTGTATACAGATATAAGGAAAGTATTATTGCTAGGGTGCATGATAGAGAACTCTTGCCTTTTTTAAATCCAATACATGGAAAAAATGGGAGGAGGAATATAAAATGCTATGCCAAGTTAAAGAGAGACTATATGGAGATGCTTTTCAAATTCCATTTAAGAGACCGTGGTTTGTAAAAATAAAAAAATTGAATAATAATAAATAATAATACTCAATTTATACATTTTTAGAGAGTTTAGATATCCGAACAAATTTTATAGTTTCTGTTAAACTTTTTGATATATTTTTTAAGCTTCTGTCTTTCGGTAATGTTAAAAAAATATCAAAATTTATACAAATATCTAAAATTAAGTAGTAAAATATTGTAATTATTTACCTGTTGTTGCCATCCTAGCTATGTAGGCCAATAAATAATTTAAATAATAAAAAAAAGTAATGAAGAAAAGTTTGACATGCTAGTGCTGTACTTGCAGTTATGCAGAAACGCCGATATTACCCCGAACGACGGTAGCCTCATAAAACCCAATTTAGAACAATCGTAGTTAATTTAATCAACCATGGGGGAACAACCTACAAGCGTATACAATATTGAAAATAAAAATAGCGACAGAAACATTTTACAAGCTGTCAATAAAAACCCTAGTACATCAGTAAGAACTGTAGAATGGAAAATTGGTATGTCAAAATCAACGGTACAGAGAGTATTAAATAAGAATAAGTACCATCCATACAAACCCATAATAGTTCAAGGACTGAAGGAAACTGATTTTCCAAGATGCATGCGCTTCTGTGAGTGGTATACTAGGAAGCGGAATGAAAATGTTGTAAATTAATTGTGGAGAGTTTAATAAGCTCAACACTCATCATTGAGCTGTGGAAAACCCTCACGTAGTGGCAAAGAGACGTCTACAGACCAGATTTGGGAGTAACGTTTGGTGTGGGATCATTGGAAATTTAATCTAACTTACATTTTTTAATTGGGCACCTATTATGATTAATCATTTCAGGAATTCGACTTACAGGACCATTTTTGTTTGATTACAACCTAAACTGACAAAGATACCTAGAGCTTCTGCGAAACCAGGTTGTGCCAGCTTTACGAGCTATTCTAACAGAAGATATTTTTAGAAGAACCTGGTTTCAACAGGATGGTTGCCAGGCTTACAACGCTATTCAAGTCAGGAACTTCTTAAGGTAGTTCACTCGTAAAACGGCTTTTCTTAAGAATTCAATAAAATTGAAATATAAGGTTAATGAAAGTGGCATTTACGTAACTAAAAAAAAAATTTTTGACTGTCTGTGAAATGAGATATTAATCAAAATGTGCATAATTAACACTCTTGAAGCCTGTCATGTACACAAGTAATGCATTTATTTCAAGATATCTCGAAAACGGTTCTTGCCATATTCTTTAAAAACTAATGTTCAGTAAATCAAGAAGTTATAAAATTTTATACAAAATCGCTGAATTTTTTGGCCGTCTCAGTAAAAAGATATAGATTTTTAAAATAAAAATATTTTTAAACCAGTTGACGAGTAGTTTCGTAAAATTATTACAACTTGACAACATTGTAATCACATCACGTAACAAAGTAACACTCGATCAGCTAAGAGGTTGTTATAAACTCGCGACGTGTTCTTGAAAAATTAATTCGTCCTCTGTGTTGAGAACTGGAATCAGCGGTTTTGTTTGAACCAAAACAAACCCTTAAAATTAGTATGTGGAAGTTACAAATTTCTATGTCATACCGTTCATATACCTATTTGCCAGGTGAATTTTATTAAAATTATAACAGGCCAATATGTGTTTATATACATGTGTTTTGTACAGTCTCTTACAAAAATAAAATTGATTAGCATTGAGACTCTCGAACTTTTGATATTCACCATTATGCGATATTTTTATGTACGACTGTCGCGAGTGAACTACCTTATGAGAGCACTTTGTAGAAAGAGTAATTTCATTAAATGGTCCAATATTTTGGCCTCCTAGATCTCCTGACATTTCGCCTTCAGATCTGGGGTCACACAAAGAATGAGGTCGATGAATTTGAACCTCCCCCGACCATAGAAATCTTGAGACAAAGAATTTTGGGCACATTTAGAAACATTAACGGAAATACACTTGCTAACGTTATAAGAAAAACAAGTCACTAATTGTAAAAAATCAATCATGCCAAATAAATCATGGACAAATTCCCGGGGCCCGAGCACAGGGGGGGACAAATTTCCGGGGCTCGGGCACAGGGAGGCTTGGCAGCTTCAGTTGTAGACGTTTAGGTTTAGGGAGGACCTGGTTTACGAAAAATACAAGGTGAGGTTTTTTTAGATTTCTCTAGGGAAGGATCTAATTTTGTTTGAGGGATTTGTTTTTGGAAATTTGCAAATGTCACATAGAACGGACTTGTTTTTTTTATAAAAGCCACCATGGCTCTTGGCGGCCCTGATTATTCGTTTCGGATTTACAGGCGTAAAACGAAATTCGCCATTTTCGATTTTTCGCCGATATGTTCATAACTAACTGGTTGATCGTAAATCTGAAGCCGGTTATCAAATGCACTAAGCTTCCTCTAAAATTTTTCCCATTTAACATTTGCTATGGGTATAATAGGAGCCGAGATCCTTGTACAAAGAAGCGAATCTGAAACACACTGTATACCCACCTCTCATCCATAAATACATGCTTAAAGTTACCCAGCACTATCTCCTTATTAAAATTTTTCAAAAACATTTTTTTAACTTAATTGATGTTCTTTCCAAAAAAAACTGTCTGTTGTTACTTCTTTTAAAGCGAAATCCCATTATTTTTCGAATCCATGTATTAATTGACCATGCAGAATCATCAGGCATTTCTTCCGAAAATTGTTTATGTAACGATTTCATTGTAGCATGTTGCACACCTTCTTATATCTTATATATTTACTTAATATTAAAGAATTGACTTTTGTTTTACTTTAACTAACTTTTTTAGATATTATTTTCACATACTTTGTATGTTGGTTTACTAAGTTTGTATCTCTTTCCAAGAGCCTCGCAAATAGATTTGTGTCTCTTAAAATAGGAAACTACTTTTAGTATTCAAGTTTTTGATTGATCACTAAATTGTTTTACCGTTTTGTTGAATACTTATGAAAACTTTTGAAATATTAAAACATACAAATGTTTAACAAATTGACAAATTGAAAATTATTTTGATAACTACCACCTGACAATAATAATGATATAATTAATCTAGTAACTTTTCGTTTTATCTATTTTACTTTAAGTTTGTGACATAACCTAACTATTATATCAATTAAATCATCGATTTCATCATAAATTCATTAAATAATATGTACCAATATTTACTATAAAGACCTCTTGATATAGAGAAATAAAATTAAACTTTAAAACAAATATATCTTCAAAGATTTAAACGGTACAAACAAATATTAATACAACTTTAAAAACCAATTCTTTACTTATAGAACATAGGAATAACCCCAATTTTCTTCGAGTATAACATCATGTTCAAGAATGACAGAATTTCGTATATCTGACTGCTATACTTGTATCTTTATACCATTTTTGGCGCTTATATAAAAAAATGGCTCCTGAAGATAATTGGTTGATCTAGGTCTAGGTTGTCATTGGAATGACGATTCGCGGAGAATTTCCTTTTAAAGAGTTATTTTTGTTTTATAATTTTTTTGAACCTAAGCTCTGACCGATTTATTTCAAGTCAACTGAGGAGAAATATTTTATTGCTGACACATCACAAAAAATAGTTATGTGATTCACTAGTATTATCGAATTTTAATTATTGTATATTCTTGTATATGGTTAATATTTGAAATTCGTAAATATGATCATATTTCTACTAAATTTAACGAAACTAAATGGTTAAATATGAGCAAAAAACTTTTAAATATTGCTACAAAAATATACTGCTGCAAATACAATATAATTACTTTTTTCTACTTTTTCTTCATTTCTCTTTTTCTTTTATTTTTCCTTCCTTTCTCATTAAATTTTCTTTATAATTTTAGAAAACCATCTCAAAATGATTTTTTTATATATCATGTTGACATTGGTTGAATAGAATATCCGCACCTGAACTAATTTAAGCCAATTGTCTACTATTTTTTAAATTTTAATTGTATAAATTTATATGTGGACAATAAATGTGTTATTAATATAATATTATTATAATACAAATTTACTTTACCTGGGGTATAATTGAAAGTTTTCTTCTCAAGTCATGCAGACCCAATACGCTAATATCCAAATTATCTATTAGAATTAATCCATCGTAATGTCCTAATCTAAATATTGTACCAATCATTGACGATTTTCCAGCACCTGTTCTACCAACAATGCCTATCTAAATATATTTTATTAATTTTTAAAAATGTATCAAAACATAATACCTAATTTGTCCATACCTTTTCCTTTGGTTTTACAACAAAACTTAAATGCTTTAGTACAGGTGGTTCAAAGTAGCTGTATCTCATACTGCAATCGTTAAATTCAATTTTGCCATATTTCGGCCAACTTGATGGAGGTTTCTTATCAGGTGTCTATAAAAAATTAATTTAAAATGTTGATTACGTCACTATCACAACCAAGTAAAAACATTTCATGTAGAATAGTAGTTATATAATAAAGATATGTTAGGAAAGAAAGGCAAATTCTGACGATGCTGCACTCTGACATAACTTCCACAATAAAAAGCTTTAACTTTTTAGAAAGTAGCAGAATGCAACAAACGGTTGCCTGCCCTGCAAAAAAGGTGTATAACACAGGTGAAAGAAATACAATACTCAAAAATTTGAACTAAGAATACAAATATGGGACAACCTTTTCGGAAATCAACAACAATTTAAGCGAGCATAGATGTAGAGCTCTATTTCTTTGTGAAGAGCACACTTCGTCATAATGTGCAGAAACCAGTTTTTAGGCGTAGTCAGACAGATTTAAACGTGATCGAAGTCGCCTGCCTCTCACCACCGCTCATACAAGTTAAATTCAGTAGCGTAGTGTTACTTATTTGTACTTGTTGCATTTATTTAGCTATTTTGAGTTTTGTGCTTCGATTTTTGAGTTTCCTGAGTTTTTGTGCTTCGATTTGTGTATATATAAACTTTCATTTCTTGTATTTTTTGAATTCCTAATTAATTTTGTGTATATTTTGGTAAGTACATTTACAAAACTATAAATATTAATCTCAGTAGAAACCGAACATCCTGAAATATTCTAAACGAAAGAAATAATTTCACACCTCATAAATTTTATGAAAAACAAGGCTGAACACGGTATTTAACATTATATAAATACAGAGAGAGAATTTTAGCTGCTACAGGGAATTCTAGAAGCAGTTATTCTAGAATTAAAAGATGGCTGGTGAATTTTCATTTTCACAAAGAGGATATACAAAAAGAAGTACACAGTTGTAAAATCTATAAGGCCTGAGGAGTTGGAAAAACTCAGAAGTATAATCCATGATTTTCATATTATTGAGAAAATACTACCAACTCTAAATTGTTTTGATTATAATGGCAACGTATTTAATATAAATATTATTTTAGGTATATTACAAAAAATGAAGTATTGTTGTTTTGAATTCCGGGGCAGCATCTCATCACTTAGGAAAATATTATTAAACATAGGTTTTAAGTAAGTATAAATAACGTTATCTAAAAAAAATCAAAATAAAATGATACCAAAACAATTAATTTCTCATAGTCAATTTTTGTACGTATAAAATTACAATGTTTAATTTTTCAGGTGGAAAAAAAATGAAGACAACAGATCTGTTCTGTTGAAATCCTACGACATTAGGAATAAGAGGACAAATTATTTAAAATCCTTAATACATTATCGGCAAGAGGGCAGAACTATTTATAATTGTGATGAGACCTATTTACATAGTAGTCATACACATTCAAAAGGATGGACCGATGGCAAATTCAAAACTCCAACGATCAAGGGGAAAAGGCTCATAATGTTGCATGCAGGGAGTAAGGATAGTTTTGTGGAAAATGGACTGTAGATATTTACTTCAGGTAATAATCTATTTTTTATAGAAAATTATTTATTATTTGCGTCTTTACCTACTTCATAAATATTCATGATGCTCAACAATCGAAAGTTATGATCAGCTTAAATTTAATTTAAACTGTTAAAGTATCTAATTAACAAGTAATTTAATTACTTAATGTAGTGGTTTATTTTATTGTCTTCAGTTTAGTTAAAAGATCTTTACCTGTACCTAATCCTTTATTGTTATACAAGGGAAAGTTTTTAGTAATAACTTTTTCTTAGGATTATTATAATAAGTCGTATCATATTGAATTTTTTAAAAATCTTTTGTCATCTTTCTGTTATACTCGCCTTACAACAACTGTTGGGTTGACTACGACGATTATCCCCTGTCATGGTTACTTAAAATAATGGAGCGACTAGGAGTTTTAAAGAAATTTCAGCGCACCCACCAAAATTTTAAATATTATATAACTAGTAAAGTCCTCCACCAAATTTTTAAATTTATTATGTAACAATGGGAAACATTTATTTATTAAAAATACCTGGCTTTCGGAAATATTTTGTTTTAATATTTACGAGGGGGTCCAAGAATTTTGTCGATGTATGTAGATAGAACAATAGATAAATAAACAGGTAGAACTTTGGACTGTATCGTATTTAGAACGTCACGATTGGTTCATTAATATGAATTTATTTTATAGGCCTTATAATTACATCTACAACAAGTAAAAAGGCTTTCTTGGATATAACAGAAATCTTGTTATAAAGACATCATTTTTAGAAACTTCTAGTAACGATAAGAAACATAATAAGGTAGCTTTATAATAATATCACTGTAACGTTGCTGACTTAGACAAGAAACAGTTTGCGTCCAAAATCAGGGGGCCAAGGCACTGCTCTGTGACACCTGTCATTGGATATGAACCACCGTGTTGCTTCAAAATTAAAGGGCGCGGTAATTAAAAACACGCGGCTCGAGATATTGTCGTATCAAAATTATTTAGATTATTGAGAGAATTAAAAATTTCAATATAATTTATTGATACTTTCATTAAATATATTCAAAGAATATCTAGCGCCTTGTTTAAATTTGTACCTTTTCGAAATGAACAAAAAAAAACTTACCGATTCTAAATCTGGTTCATGCTCTATTTTGGTAAACTCTAAAACTCTTTCGACCGATGTCATTTGATTTTCAAGCTCAGCTGATTGTCGCATTCCCCACTGAACGAGGCCACTAAGGCCTATGCATTGAGTAATTGCCAAACCTACGGCACTACCATAATAATCTGAAATAAAGTCAATCAAAATGATTTAGGTCAATAATTAAGAATAGAATATATACGCATATTCTCAAAAGTGGTGAGTAAATCTCAAAATCAATACTACATAATACCTATTGATAGTGAACGAGTAGAATAAGGTGCGACTGGTTTCAGCATGTTAAAGCTATCTTCAGGTCTGTAATACACGAATAATAAACTTATCATTAGTAAGGAAATGGGATAAAATTGATACGTGTACTTACAGTAGTTGCTAATCAGAGAAACGATTTTTATTAAGAAAAAAGTGAACAACAGAAAAATAAAATTAAAGAATAAGAAGAGGAAAATGAAAGATTGGAACAGAAAAGCGAAAAAGAAAATGTTGTTATAAACCCATTTTATTCATAAGTAATGCTTTCCTTTTACCTTATATTAAGTTCAAGTCTAGTTATTAACGATCTAAGATAAATGTAATGTCAAATGTCAGATGTCAAAAGAGACGAAGATGGTTGTTCCTGTGTCTCTGATATAGATGATAAAGAATGGTTGTCTCTGGTATTAATAATAATAATAATAATTAGAACGCTGTTTGCATATTCATTGTCTTTATTAAATAAACGTTATATAAGTGATCTACTGCGTATTAATATATTGAACAACAATTACAACAGAAAATATAAACAATCAAGATTTAGTGTTTATATTGGAGATGAGGATTGTAATTTTATTTATTTTGCTATGTCACTTGTTTTGAATTTTGAACCTGTAACATAGAAAATATTGAAAAAAAAGAAATCTTTTTAAATTATAGGCTAGTAACAGATAGGCTTATTAAAAAAATCAAAAAGAGAATATTATACAAAACAAATAACACAAAATAAAGAAAACGCTAAAGGATTGTGGAAAGTTATTAAAGAACTGCAAGGTAATAATATAAAAAGTAACAATAATGAAATACAAGAAATACTCACAGAAAATGGCCATGCAGTAACAGAGCCAAAATTACTGGCAGAGAAATTCAAAAATGTTTTTGCCGTTGCTGATAAAGTGGGAATTCCATATACACATTCCCCTGTCAGAAATGTACAAAAAAATTCTATGGTCCTGTTACCAATGAGTCAATTAGAAATAAAAAATATTATTAGATCACTTCCAAATAAAAAATCACCAGGAATAGACAACATTACCACTGAAATTATTAAAGAAAACACCGAAATATTTACACCACTGTTAACACATTTAACTAATCAAATAATTACAAAAGGGGAATTTCCTAGTGAACTTAAAAAATCATTGATAATACCAATATTTAAAAAAGGCAACAAGAAAATGTTAACAAATTACAGACCTATAACATTAATCACAACGTTTACAAAAATTATAGAAAAAGCATTAAACACTAGATTAAAGGAGTATTTAAACAAATACGAAATCATATCTAATAAACAATTCGGGTTTCGAGAAGGGCTCTCTACAACTGATGCAATTCTGGAACTGTTGACAAAGCTTTATCAATCGGTAGATGCAAATAAGGCCATCCCTAACTGTATTTCTGGATTTTGCAAAGGCCTTTGATACCGTAGATCACGGACTATTATTAGAGGCCTTGGAGGATACGGGAATACGAGGACCGACTTTAAATCTCTTCAAAAGTTATCTTGAGAACAGATATCAGAAAGTAAAAGTTAACAGCGAATTTAGCGGAGAGAGAATGATAAAAACTGGTGTTCCCCAAGGTACCGTCTTAGGACCCACATTATTTTCAATATATGTAAACAACTTATACATACAAAAGACTGCAGGACAAATAGTGAGTTTTGTCGACGACACAGCCATTTATTATGAAGCCGACTCATGGGAGGAATTAAAAAAATATGCGAAAATGATATAAAAGGAATAGTGGATTGGTGTACGCATAAGAAACTAACAATAAATTATACAAAATCATTTTTTTTGCCTTTTGCTAGCTATATTAATCATTTACCATCTTTTAATGACCTCAGTTTTACATATAACAACGAAACACTCACACTACAAAAAAAAAATGAAATAAAATATTTAGGCGTTACCTTGGATTGTCACTTACGATAGGATAAACACATAAATAGCTTAACTAACACCTTAAGAATGTTATTATTTAAATTTAAATATCTTAAAACTATAATCAGTACTACATACCTAAGAATTATTTATTACCCGTTGTTTCAAAGTAGACTTCAGTATGCTATCATCTGTTGGGGTGGCGCAACAAAAAATCATATTAACAAATTGGAAATATTACAAAAAAGAATACTAAAAATAATACATAATAAAAAGGTTAGATACCCCACAGATCATTTGTTTGATGAAGTCAAAATTATGGATGTTAGACAGCTGTATGTATATGCAGTCACTTTATATACATACAAAAATAAACACAATTTACAGAAAAGAACATATTCTTACAACACCAGAAATAAATATTTAGTATATACTCACCTTGTCAATAAATTAATTTCCCAAAGATTTTACCTATATTTAAGTGGAAAAATCTTTAATTTTCTTCCAGATATATATAAGACATATTTATATACAATAAATTCCTCTAAGCTATTTAAACAAATATTGAAAAAATTCATAATAAATAGTGACAGAAAAGCTATGAGAGCGCTGATCGATTAGCAAAAAAAAAAGAAAAATTTAACTGTGATAAAATGTGTTGTTAGATCTTGATGTTTGTACTGTAAAATATACTTCCTTTTAATCCACTATAGTTTATAAATTACTTTTGTTTTTTTTTTGTTCACCTATTCTAATTATTAAAATATATTCAATTTATTGTTTTTATTATTATTATTAATTTTATTACTATTATTTTTATTATCATTATTATTATGATTATTATTATATAAGTCTATAACTGAGTTATTATATTGTATGTTTCTAGTTATTTTAATATCCGTTTTATATATTTTTTTTTAAATGTATTTTAGAATCAAATAAGCACACAATATTAAGTTAACATTAGGTAATGATTTGGCAGCCCATGCGCAACCAATTGGCCATAAATGGGCGACCAGTTTACATATTATTTGAATTTGTTAATGTATTTTATTATTGTATATGGATACTGAATGCTAAATAAATTATTATTATTATTAACTATTTCTAAGTCATTATCTAGTCCAAGAAAAAGTGAATGGGAATTGGCTATTAAAAAAGAGCTAGATGCATTTAAAATTAATAATCCTTGGGAACTAGTTGATATGCCATCTAATAAAATAGAATAAAATTATTACAATCCATGAGCCTTTCATTAAAAAAATATGCTAAAAAAAGAATATATGATGGTAATGCTTCCTCCAAATATTCGATCTAGAGCCGCCCTTGTTACAGGTCCGTAAATACTTAAAGATGCTTTGTGAATTAGACTATAAAACTTTTAAAATTCTATGTGAAGATTTTACTTGAAATGCGTTACTAACCTTCTGCTAGCACAATAAAGCTGATTGAAACAAAACCGATGTATGTGGTACAAATTAAGTCCAACCATAATCCAAAAGCTCGGGAAGTATAAAGGAACATATACCAAGCGCTACTGTGAATATCTTGTAACGCGTCGAACTCATCTACCAGAATTTGTTCAGCCCCATTAGATCTAATTGTGGTTAACCCTTGTAAACTAGCATTCAGATGTGCAAAGACTGGACTTCTTGCTGAAATATATAGAGAATACTACTGGTAAAGTAGAGCCAGAAATATTGTAAGGTCATAAATCAAAATTATCTATTGTTCAAAATGTAGAAAAGCATTAAAATTGTATGTTCCTTAGAAGATTTCTAGGTCCGGATTAAAATATCTTATGAAATAGTATTTTACAAAGTAAATAAAGAATATAGTGTTTCTAGATTCAATCCAACACAGGCCTTTGTACAAAGCGTTTGTTAAACTTGATTTTATTTTTCGTTTTTTCTGTTAAATTTTGATTTATTTTGTACGAGATGGCTTTCGGAGACCTTTTGAGGTAAATGTAGATGCTAATGAATTGCAGGTTAGTGATAATATTCACATTAATAATGAGATTCCAATAAATAATGAAATTCAGAATAATGATGAAGTACAATTAAATGCAGTACAAATTAACGATGAAATACATATTAATAATACAATTCATACTAATGACAGTCAAGGTGAAATACAATTTTGGGAATTAAAAGATCAGGACTTACATATTCAGTTTCAACAGGTCATTTTAAATATGTTTGTTTGTAAAATATACTGTACAGTATTTTGTTTAAGATAACGAGTCGTATAATTCCAGACAGATTAGAGAAAGTAAAGTAAGTAATAGAAAATTAAGAGTATCTGCACTGATAATTGAACGCTTTACCGATTTTAGAAACGCTATAGTAGGTATGTATCTGCGTAGAGGCGACCGCCTGGTGATAACTCAAGTGGTCGGTGTTTTATAACCTTACAATATTTCTGGTTATACTTTAATAATAATTATTGTACAAGGGTGTCCCAATGAAAAGTAGCCCGTTTTCATTTAATAAAATTTGGTTACAGTGAATTTAAAAGAGAAGGTTTTTAGAAAACACCCTGTATAGGTAATACATAATTTCTGTATCACTGAAGCAAAATTTGTAGCAAAATACTACATATCAGCAAAAACCACACTTTCTATGATTTATTTAAAAGTTAAGCTCTGGAAATGGGCTCACTTTTTATTGAGACACCCTGTATTTAACGTAAACGGAATACTTGAGGAGATACTTTACTTATTCCTTCCAGTCGCTTTACATTTCTACTGGTAGCCAAGTACACTCTTCGTAAAAAGTAAAAGGATATCAACATTAGGAACGTTGGAACCAGCAGCATAGGTTCGACCATACTAACCACTATTATAGCACCTATTAGGTTGAGTAACAACTAAAAATTAAATAGGTAAAATAGAACTCGAAAATCTAATTCAGGCGAGTTTCAAAATTTTCGACGAGAGTTAGCTGAATTGTAAATATTTTTTAAATCGTATTTAAAATGACGTCATTACTTAATAAATGTCTAAAATGCCAAGTTTTTAAAAAAATATGAACTGACGTTTGCGAAATTTTCTGATTTATTTATATAATGCAAGAATAATCCAGCGCGCAAAAATTTCTTTGGTAACTTCTTGAAGAAGTCTGCTTGTCTCTACCGTCCAGCCGAATAGAAACACAGTCCAGAATCGAACGGGCCCTCGCACGATATTGCCTCCTCCTTAAGGGATAGTTCCTCCTAGAACTAAAACAGAACGATTCTATCTGCAACTGGATCCTCTTTTACAACCTGGATATTCCACAAACCAGTATTTGGACCTCGGTATCTTGGAAGATTACTTCCACCATGTTTATAATGATTCACCAATTCAGGTGGTTGCCTCTCTATCTTTGGAATGGCTAGTTTCTGTAACGAGATCCATTTTGAAGTTTCAAGGCTTTTCCAGGGGCTGGTAACTGACCTTGAAGTTCTGGCAATCGACCAAACTTCTTTCAGAACACAGATGCTAGACCTCGAGCGTCGTTGATGCTGGCGGAAGTACTATGGACTAGCGAGTAGTCTTTAGAAACCGTGAGCAGTTCTTGTTGTTGCTCGATTGTAACACCATAATTTCTTCAAAGATTAGGTCAGGTGAATCTCTTCTTCCTCGTCATGGTTACCCTCAAATGGCGCCAGCCGGTTTTGGTGCACTACCTTCGGTTTACCGTTCAGGATCTTGCCTATACGGTAAATGACATCATTAACTTTTTTCCTAATGAGGTACGGACCTTCTCAAGACCTCTGGAGCTTTGGAGAATAACCGTTCTGTCTTTTTGGGTCATGGAGCCAGACTTTGTCGCCTTCCTTGAAACATCTTTCGGTGGCTTGAGTATCGTACCGTTTCTTCATTCTGTCGCTGGCCATTTGAAGATGCTAGCAAATTAACTCATGCATATAGTCCATTTTTCTTCGTAACTAGATCACATAAATTGGACGACAATGGACATTTCCCAAATAAAAATGTTTAAATTCCCCGTTTAATTTTAAACCTCAAGGATCTTGTGATTTGTTTTTTACGTTGTTCCATTTTTGAGTAAAAAAAATAAAAACTGTTGTATTATCCGAGAAGATTAATGTAATTATTAACGAATGAAAGAACAAAAACGACATTTGGACTACCACTAATTTTTCATGTAGATTAACACTCTTAAATATTCGCACATCATTATACTGTATACGAAAAATAAAATTCTAAAAGTATGTCTCATATTATTACAGATACATACCAAATCGGTAAAATTCCGTAGAAAAAAAAAAGTACAATTATTTTCAATGAATAACAAAGAAAATAATCTACCTGTGTTGTGTCACAAAATGCATTAGGTAAAAGCTCATCTACAGCACCAAGATCCTTGGAAAATCTGTTCAAAATTCTACCGGAACTATTAGAATTGAAAAACATAAGACAGGCATGTATTATGCTTTCAAACATTCTATTATGCAATCTAAAATAATAAATATATTCATGAAGTATTTATATAAATAAATGTTAATTATATTCAAAAGAAGAAGAAATAGAATATTAAAGAAGAATAGAATATAAATTAAAAAAATGTTTTCAAGAGACTATTTGAAAAAAAAAAGAATTGATAGAATATAAAGTAAGAAGTTATGAAAGAAAATGGTATAAGTAAAAGGAGTATAAATATGTTTATTATGAAATATATTATGTATAAAGATAAGTTGATGATGATTTGTAATAAATATAAAAGTAAAAAATGTTAATATTATGAAATAATGAATTAAATAGGATTAAAAGTAGAAATAGTGTGAAGAATATATGAAAATGGATTGAAAGTAATTAATTGTAAATAGAGCGTATTATGAATATAAAGAAAAAGACAGGAAGAGAGAAAAAATTTTGAACAAACTATTAAAATATGTGATACAATTTGAACACAAATCTAAGGGAACGGGATACATTTTGGGATACATTTGAAATGGAAAACAAGTTTCTTATAAGTTAGCCATTTTATTTTATTATATAGTTGTATTTAAAATTTGTTTTGGAACAGAGTTACTTTATTAGAGTTTTAAATTAATTTTTTTATCTTTGTTTCCATTAATTCGATTGTTGATGTTAAATATATTGAATTTTTTGGGGTAGTTATTGGAATGTTAACAGATAGCGATGATTTGGATTGAGTAAGAAAGGACAATTTGTTTCGGTTTAAATATTTTTGACAATTTTGAAAATTTTGAAAGAAATAAACTTATTAAATACGAAATTTGGGGGATTTTGATATGATATTTTGATTCAAAATTAGAAGTATTAAATATTTTGGGTTTTTAAATTTATAAATTTGTTAATCAATGTTTGATGGTATATATATTTAATTTATTTCATCTTTTTATTGAAACATTTGGATTTGACTCAAATTAATAAGTAAAAAAACTGTATGCGGAATTACAAAAACCACTTAGTATAACTCAATTTTTTCTATTTTCGAATATGTAAACAGATATTTAAAATTATAATATACAGGGTGTTGTTTTAGGTATCGAAGAATTTGTAAATTTTTGTTAATCCTGACCTGGATTTTCCTTATTATTAATAAGTCAGTGGATTTGAAAAATTAAGGTGTACTTGTATACCAAATATGAAAAAAACATACGGCGTGTTTCAAAAGGTATATGCCTAGAAAGAAATCGGCAAATTATTAAAACACCCTATATCTTGGTTATAAAGAGCGACAGACCGATGAAGTATGGGATTTTGGAACCACCTAGGTGACCCCCATTTGCAGTTAACATTGAAACACCCTGTATTATTTAGATTAAAAAATTAAATTTGGGTTACAAGAAGTTTGGAGTGGTTTTAGAAATTGAATAGTAATTTTTAGCTAATTGTAATCCAAATTTAATATAAATCAGGGTGTTTAAATTAAATTTAGAATATAAAAAGTTTAGAATGGATTTATAAGTTGAATGGTTGAAGATTTTTAATTTTTGGCTAATTTAATAATGCTATATACATTCTAGTAGCACATTTAGCTCCCCAAAGAACCCAACTTAAATACCCCAATCTCAATTAAATTTCAAAAGCGATCATTTAAAAGAAACCATTCAACTTCTAAACTACTTATAAATAATAATTGAAATTAAAAACATCTATGCCATATCCATTTTAAATTTTTAAGATCACACAATTCTCACTTCAAAATCCTTTGATCTTTGGCTGTGGCGGCTTGAAAAAAAAAATATTGGGGTTCACAATGACATAACATAGATCTCAGTACACATGTAGGTAAAAAACGTTCAGTATTTTAGAAAGGTATAATATACCTTTCTGTACTGAGATATTTTGTCATTGTGGACCTCAATATTTTAGTCACGAGTCACCACTGATAATTTGTAGGGTTTCATATCTGTGATCATCTGTGACCAGTCAGAAAAAAAAAATTAATGAAAGTTTTCTAGATGAAATAAATTGAATAAATTGACGGGTAGTTCTTACTCTAGAGAGAAATAGAAAAGAAATTAGAACAGTGAAATAGCATTAGAATAAAAAGATAATATTGCATATTTTACCTTTGTGAGGATCTCATACAGATAGTATAATATATTAACGATCTTATGATGGCTACAAGGATTGTAAAAATCATAAATATATTATAAATAATAATACATTGGTCCCGATTTAACTCATTGTAAATTCCCATAGATTCAGCGGAACCTTTATGAAAACGGAGTTCTTCTACATTTACCCTAAAAAAAAATAATATGAAAGTACAATCGACAGGTAGTTCTTTTCTACATTCGATATTTTTCGATTGGAAATAATATACTTTTTTCTACTACCGTGCGTAAAGTACATACTTTACGCACTCCACGAAGTGCGTAAGTTTTTTTACTAGTGCATAAAGTGAAAAAAAAAATATTTTAAAGAAAAAAAGTAACTTTTATATTTCTAATATTAATATATGTCAACATTCACATTCGTCAAAAAAGAGTAACTTTACACACTTGTTGCATAAATAACTATTATGGTTGTTGCTGAGTGTAATATATATTTTCTACTACCATGCGTAAAGTACATACTTTACGCACTCTACGGTCGTATACTTACGCTCTGTAAAACTATTTCTATCTTACCATTGAGCTAAGAAGTAATCACCCCCACTGCCAATTATTTGTGCTGAAAGGAATAGAATTATCATGCAAATGATGCCACAAGTATTGGCTCCAGCTCGAAAATATGATTTATAATTTGCAAAATCCACTGAACCCGTAGTCCTCATTTCGGGAATAATCAAAGGTCTTCGCTAAAAACAAAAATTATTGTAAGAACTCATCATTATTTATGATAAAAGTGATAGAAATCCCATTTTTTTGGTGAGAAGAGAAGATGAACCCTTAGAAAATAATGACAATTTACTAGGTATTAAAGGATTTGTAAAAAAATCGTATTACCTTTTTTCCTTCGATATCAATCATGCTATTGAAGACAGCACTCGTCACCGAAATACCCCTCAACAACTTTTCAACCTCTTTTTCTTCAATAGGTGATGCTGTCGACGCTTCTTTTAAAATAGTAGCAAAGTGCGAGAGGTCGGGTTGCTCCATAAGACCTTGATACGGCCCTTGACACTGTATAATCCCTTCGTTCATAATAACAATGTAATCGGCCCTTTTCAAATATTGCAACTGATGCGTGATCAAAATCACTATTTTATCTTTCAGATATCTGGAATTGTACGATTTTCAAAAAAAATGAAGGAATAGAAATTGTAGTAGAAATAATTACATAAATTCACAGTTCTTGTATAATATCAAGTTGAAGAGTTCGTATGATGATAATTAAAAATAGGTTTTACAGAATTAATTAATGCGCTTCAATCTTTTTGACTGTAAACGTTTTAAAGGTATTTATAGCAGGGACAGAATTTGGAAAGGTTTTTGCTAATTCTCCCACTTTATACACAGCATTTGACAGTTTTACCGCGGAGTTAACCGAAGTGACTGCGAATCATTGGGTTAAAAATTATTTAATAGATGCCTATAACAATTTCGCGTAAATAGTTTAATAGATTGTGAATATCTGTTGAATTTTTATATATATACTTTTTCATAATCAATGTTTAATCATCATTCAAAATTTTCAGACTCAAAATAATAATTTCTGTAGACAGTTTACCTTTTTATACACGCCTCAAATAGTTGCTGTCCAACTTGTATATCGACAGCAGACAAGGGATCATCCAATAAATAAATATCCGCTTCTTTGTAAACACATCGAGCCAAATTAACTCTAGCTCTTTGGCCGCCGCTCAGCGATACCCCTCTTTCTCCTACTATTGTTCTGTCGCCAAAAGGAAGTATCGAAAAGTCTCTAGTTAATGCGCAAACCTTGATAATTTCTCTGTAGCGATGATATTCGAAATGTCGGCCGAAAAGGATATTTTGTCTAACGGAACCTTAAAAGTAAAATAAAAAACATTTTTAATTTGAAGCAATTAAAATGATAGGAAGCTGACATGCTTTTTTATACATAATGATTCATTGGTAAATGTGCATACGTTAGGAGTAGATAGGGGACACTTGCAGAAAAAACAAAAAAAAAACAAAAAACTGAAAACAGAAAAACAGAAGCAAAAAAAAACCAAAAAAAAACAATAAAAAGTCAACCAAAAAAACAACTCAAAAACTACCAAGAAAACAAAAAAAACTGCAAAGAAAACAAAACAAAAAACAACCAAAAAAAAACAACCAAAAAGCAACAAAAAAACAACAAAAAAACAACTAAAAACCCAAAAAAAAAAACAAAAACACGAGAAACACCCAAAAACAAACAAAACACAACATAAAAACAAGAAAATAAAAAAATAGGCAACAAAAAACAACTAAAAAACAACCAAAAAACAACCAAAAAAAAAAACAAAAAATAAACAACAAAACTAAAAAACAGAAAAGAAAACAAAAATAAAGAACAAAAAACAAAAAGAAAAGAAAAACAAAAAAACAATCGAAAAAGCAACCATCAAACAACCAAAAAACAACCAAAAAAACAAAATAAAAACAAAACAAAAACAAAAATTAAACAAAAAAACAAAAAGTAGAAAAACAAAAAAAAAACAATCAAAAAACAATTTAAAAATCAACCAAAAAAAAACAATAAAAACAACCCAAAAAACAACCAAAGAACCAACCAAAAACATACAAAAAAACAACAACAAAAAAACAACAACAAAACAAGCAACAAAAAACAACCAAAAAACAATAAAAAAAAAACCAAAAAACAACCAAAAAACAACAAAAAAAACAACCAAAAAACCAACCAAAAACATACAAAAAAAACGAGAACAAAAACAAAAGAAAAAAATTTAAACAAAAAAGAATAAAACAAAAACAATCAAAAAACAACCAAAAAAAAACAAAATAAGAGAACAAAAATAAAAAACAAAATAAGAGAAAAACAAAAAACAAGAGAACAAAAATAAAAAACAAAGGAACAAAAAAAAACAAACAGAAAAAGAAAAAACCAAAAAACCAAGAACTAAAAAAAACCAAAAAAAAAAAACCAAAAAACCAAAAAACCAAAAAACCAAAAAACCAAAAAACCAAAAAACCAAAAAATCAAAAAACGGAAAAACTAAAAACCAAAAAAACCAAAAAAACAAAAAAAAACAAAAAACCAAATTACCAAAAAAACAAAAAAAAACAAAAAAAAAACAAAAAAAAAAAAAAACAAAAAAAAAAAAAAAAAAAAAAAACCAAAAAAAACCAAAAAAAACCCAAAAAAAAAAACACAAAAAAAACCAAAAAAAAAACAAACAAAAAAACCAAAAAAAATCCAAAAAAAAAACCCAAAAAAAAAACCCAAAAAAAAAACCAAAAAACCAAAAAACCAAAAAATAAAAAAAACGAAATCCAAAAAACCAAAAACCAAAAACCAAAAACCAAAAAACCAAAAACCAAAATAACAAAAAACAAAAAAAACCAAAAAACCAAAAAAACCGAAATCCAAAAAACTAAAATCCAAAAAACCAAAAAATCAAAACCCAAAAAACAAAAAAAACAAACAAAAAAACAACCAAAACCAGAAATAAAAGACACGAAAAAATAAAAAAAACCAACAATCACAAAAAAAAACAAAAACTGTTTCAGCTTTGACACCCTACTATATTTTTATTATTTAATATTTCATTGAAGCAATATTTTAAAGCCAAACTGTTAATAGTAGTAAGAGTGGATATGAAGGCCATTCGCACGACGACGAAATTTGAGTTCGATGTGGACAATACACTCCAGTTGTACAGTATATTTTGTCTACGACCCACTAACGAAATTTTACAAATAAAAAAAAATTTAAGTTAAGACAAAATAACTTATTTTAAAATAATTTGACTTTTAATAATTTTTAAAATAAAATAAACGAAAAAAAAAGAAAAAAGTTAATTTCATTTTTGCCCATCCGAGAATCGAACTCCAATCCTCTGCGTGGAAGGCAAGAACGCTAATCACAAGACCACCTACTCTTTTATTTTTGTTGCTTTAATACTAATTCAATTGAATTCATATAGTTTTATTTAAATTAACAAATTATTTATAATTATAGACGAAATAAAAATTTTCCTCAAAATTTTATCACCCATCTACTGTATAACCTGGAAAATTTTCGTGAATACCATCGTATACGTTTTTTACCAAGTTATATTCTGCTTTCGAAAAATGATGCCGTTTCGCAAAAGGGTTGCTACAGCTGGGTAACTCCTGATTGGCCCGATTCGTTTTTAAACAAGTACAAAATAAAAAGAATATATAGCGATCTCTCTCGTATATAGCCACCGCCACCGATCCGTATTAGAGATGCCGCACCATGCCCATGAATGACGATGCATTTTCTTAAAAAATAAAAGAGAATAACAGTCTAAAATGTATGAACCTGACAGTTTAGCTCGAAGGTCAGATGTAAAATGATTTATATATAACTCGGGGTCTCATTATATTAAAACATGTTTAAATACGGTATATTAAATTTAAGTATTATAATTTACCTCTGAAACAAATGATCTTCAGTATGATACATGGTATTAAGCAACAATTATGTATTTTATTTGTATAATTACTGTAATTCTTCTGTCAATATTTGTTACAGATTTCAGAGATTTTAGTAAACTATAACTATTATTTAATCATACCGACAAAGAGCCAAGCTTCTTGTGATGCATAGGACACTACACCACGAACGTTTAATCTCCCACTGAACAGCGGTAATTCTCCCATTATCAAATGCAATAAACAACTTTTTCCAGCTCCTACTGGACCGACAACTGCAATGAGTTGTCCGGGTTGAAATTCCAAATTTATGTCTTCTAGACACAGAACATCTCCATATTTGGATATTCCGTGAGTTATTTGAAGGTAAGCATCGCCTCTAAAAGCTGCATCGGCAGGTCTGAAAATAAATAAGTGCATAGAATATCCCAAAAAGGGAGAAGTAGAAAAAGTATACTAACCGTTTTGGGTATTTTCTCGGTTTATTGCGCCATAATTTGTCTATAGGTGTAGGGTCACCAATGTTCGTTTCTTCGCTGCACATGAACTCTTCAATGCGATGCACAGAAACCGTGCCCTCGGCAACCTTTAAAAGCATTATTTTCTTTTTTATGATTGACAATAATAATAAAAATGATTATAAAGGGTGTTCCAACAAGAGTTTCCGGATGTTGATAATAAATAAAAGAAAACGTTTACAAATAAATGACAATTTTTTATTGCAATATGAAGTATAAATCTTTACAATTATACGTGGAATATAATATCTGGCAAATGGCCACCACGACTTCTCGGGCAGGAAACAATTCTTTTGTTGAAATTTTCCGTAACATCTGAGCACATTTGTGGTGTTATCTCACGAATTATGCGTCGAATATCCTCTTTCAACTGTTGAACTGTTTGGGGATTGTTTTCGTAAGCTTTGCTTTTTACATAACCCCACAAAAAATAATCCAGCAGCGTCAAGTCGCATGATCTACGTAGCCAATTTACGTCCCCATTTCTTGAGAGAATCCTCCCATCGAATCTTGTACACAATAAATCCATCGTTTCTCTTGCTGTATGACATGTCGCTGTTGAAACCACATATTGTTAAAGTCCATGTCCTTTATCTCATGCCATAAAAAGTCGTTAATCATTGCTCGATATCGCTCATCGTTTACCGTAACAGCTTGTTCGTTTTCATTTTCAAAAAAGAAAGGTCCAATGTTACCTTCAGCCCAAAAACCACACCAAACCGTGACACGTTGAGCATGCATATAAGAGAAGCATCTCTTGGCGACGTTGTCAACTACATTAAATCTGTAGGCTGGCTCACGATCTAGGAGGTGCCTATCATCTTAGGAGGATGTATAATGGGCCTAGTGAGGCCTTAGTGCCGTGAAGGTAACCCATCCGCCACATGTTATAGATAGAGAAGTACCTGGAAGCAGTTAAGGAGCCTAAAACTAAAGGTACACTCTGCAAAACGCTCTTGTAGTCTTCGCCATACTCTCTTACGACCTTCTGGAGATAGTAAGCTAAATTTCGAATCATCAGTAAACAAAATGCGCCCCCATTCATTTTCACCCCAGTGTTTATGATTCTAGGGAACCTATTTTAAAACTCGAGATAATTGAATTACCTACCGGGAAAAACAATCAGTGATTTCTCACTGGCTTTAAAAATACTGGATCCACGTTGACATATGACATTTGTCGCTTAACGCAAACTAAGATATGGGTTTAGTATGCATCATATATACCGATGCTGTATAGATGTTTTTGAAGATTTGAGAAAGAGTCTGAAACAGCATCTGGTCCAAACTAGTACATCAAATTGCTGGCTACGAATTTCAACAGTCAATGTCGTCATGGTCTAACGGGCATTTGTGTACAAAACAAAGATGTCTGGGTTCAAATCCCGGAGGCGAAAGCCTTTTTTAAATCTCCAAGTATTTGTTTTCACATTTGGGGTTTGGGGATGGTCTTAATAATTCGTAGAAGGATTTTGGAGTTTTGTTTCTAGATTTTTCAAAATTATTATGTATTTAATATGTCTTATTTTTACAATATGATTGGGATCCAATCACCGCTAATTTAATTCTCGATTAGTTCCCGATTGAATATATTTCTTTTTACTTATTTTATTCAGGATTTTTCCAAAGTGGGCTTTAAAATATTTACTTTAATTTATTGAAAAATTGTTAACTAGCATTCGTAAGTATAACAGTAACGATTAAAGCTCGTTATTGTTACCTTATTAGAATAACAATCTGATAACAACTTAAACTCTGGCATTTCCGTATCTCCATCTAAGGCTACCCGTATCATTTTGACGCCGAATCAAAGAGTTGTGGAGGATAATTTTCTTTAAGGCAAGAAAACACCTTGCAAGTAGCAGGTAGTAGTTGCAAGAACATTTTTCTTTCATTTTAAATAAATGTTCAAGAAATCATTTAAAAACTTTTAATGGCTACATCTCATGAACTTAAGATGATATTTGAATGACAAAATATAGAACTCATGTACCACCTCAATAATAAAATAGCAGTCCGGTATTTGTCATATATCATTGGAAATTATTGAAAATTGTTTTCTATAATATAACTTATATTCTATACAGGGTGGTTTCAATAGTAAATAGAAATGTAAAAATCTTGTATCAGATAAACGTGACATTTTTTTTAAACAGATTTTTAAATGATGTACTATTGAACCACCCTGTAGAGGGTGTAACCGGTATAACTCATATTTAATAATAAAAAAGTAGAAGTATGAATTAATCACGTAAATATTATTAATGGTAGAAAGTCTTCAAATTTTCATAAAATATCCATTAACGTAAATAAACTTAAATTGTGACATTTTTCATAGACATAAAAAGGAGTTGATCCCATTCTATGGTTAACGTAACGGCGGATGGTCGGTAGAGGTTTGCTAAAACTCTCTAATGATAGAACATAAACAGAATAACTTTTTAGGTTTCAGAAAAAAAAATTAACAATTTCTTACTCACCATGGCAACACCTTGTGGAAAATAAACCGTCATAGTTTGCCTCAAAATTTGATAATATGAAATTATCAGGAACACCTTCTCAGCACTTATGTGATTACCAAGCAACATGTACGATATCACTGTCAAAAATATCGCAGATCTACTTGTAAACATTATAAACGACATGATCATACCTCTGATATACGATGTCTGTCTTAAAACTTTCAATTCTTTCCTAAAAATACAAATGGAAAAAAATTAAATTCATACCATAAAGAAACTATAGAGGAACTATGGAAAAACTATAGAGAAACTATATAGAAACTATAGAGAAACTATAGAGAAACTATAGAGAAACTATAGAGAAACTATTGAGAAACTATAGAGAAACTATAGAGAAACTATAGAGAAACTATAAAGAAACTATAGAGAAGCTATAGAGAAACTATAAAGAAGATATAGAGTAACTATAAACTATAGAGAAACTATAGAGAAACTATAAAGAAACTATAGAGAAACTATAGAGAAACTATAGAGAAACTATAGAGAACCTATAGAGAACCTATAGAGAAACTATAGAGAAGCTATAGAGAAGCTATAGAGAAACTATGGAGAAACTATGGAGAAACTATAGAGAAACTATAGAGAAACTATGAAGAAACTATAGAGAAACTATAGAGAAACTAGAGAGAAACTAGAGAGAAACTATAGAGAAGCTATAGAGAAACTATAGAGAAGCTATAGAGAAACTATAGAGAAACTATAGAGAAGCTATAGAGAAACTATAGAGAAACTATAGAGAAACTATAGAGAAACTATAGAGAAACTATAGAGAAACTATAGAGAAACTATAGAGAAACTATAGAGAAACTATAGAGAAACTATAGAGAAACTATAGAGAAACTATAGAGAAACTATAGAGAAACTATAGAGAAACTATAGAGAAACTATAGAGAAACTATAGAGAAACTATAGAGAAACTATAGAGAAACTATAGAGAAACTATAGAGAAACTATAGAGAAACTATAGAGAAACTATAGAGAAACTATAGAGAAACTATAGAGAATCTATAGAGAAACTATAGAGAAACTATAGAGAAGCTATAGAGAAACTATAGAGAAACTATGAAGAAACTATAGAGAAACTATAGAGAAACTAGAGAGAAACTAGAGAGAAACTAGAGAGAAGCTATAGAGAAACTATAGAGAAGCTATAGAGAAACTATAGAGAAACTATAGAGAAACTATAGAGAAACTATAGAGAAACTATAGAGAAACTATAGAGAAACTATAGAGAAACTATAAAGAAACTATAGAGAAACTATAGAGAAACTATAGAGAAACTATAGAACAACTATAGAGAAACTATAGAGAAACTATAGAGAAACTATAGAGAAACTATAGAGAAACTATAGAGAAACTATAGAGAAACTATAGAGAAACTATAGAGAAACTATAGAGAATCTATAGAGAAACTATAGAGAAACTATAGAGAAACTATAGAGAAACTATAGAGAAACTATAGAGAAACTATAGAGAAACTATAGAGAAACTATAGAGAAACTATAGAGAAACTATAGAGAAACTATAGAGAAGCTATAGAGAAACTATAGAGAAACTATAGAGAAACTATAGAGAAACTATAGAGAAACTATAGAGAAACTATAGAGAAACTATAGAGAAACTATAGAGAAACTATAGAGAAACTATAGAGAAACTATAGAGAAACTATAGAGAAACTATAGAGAAACTATAGAGAAACTATGAAGAAACTATAGAGAAACTATAGAGAAACTAGAGAGAAACTAGAGAGAAACTAGAGAGAAGCTATAGAGAAACTATAGAGAAGCTATAGAGAAACTATAGAGAAACTATAGAGAAACTATAGAGAAACTATAGAGAAACTATAGAGAAACTATAGAGAAACTATAGAGAAACTATAGAGAAACTATAGAGAAACTATAGAGAAACTATAGAGAAACTATAGAGAAACTATAGAGAAACTATAGAGAAACTATAGAGAAACTATAGAGAAACTATAGAGAAACTATAGAGAAACTATAGAGAAACTATAGAGAAACTATAGAGAAACTATAGAGAAACTATAGAGAAATTATAGAGAAACTATAGAGAAACTATAGAGAAACTATAGAGAAACTATAGAGAAACTATAGAGAAACTATAGAGAAACTATAGAGAATCTATAGAGAAACTATAGAGAAACTATAGAGAAACTATAGAGAAACTATAGAGAAACTATAGAGAAACTATAGAGAAACTATAGAGAAACTATAGAGAAACTATAGATAAACTATAGAGAAACTATAGAGAAACTATAGATAAACTATAGAGAAACTATAGAGAAACTATAGAGAAACTATAGAGAAACTATAGAGAAACTATAGAGAAACTATAGAGAAACTATAGAGAAACTATAGAGAAACTATAGAGAAACTATAGAGAAACTATAGAGAAACTATAGAGAAACTATAGAGAAACTATAGAGAAACTATAGAGAAACTATAGAGAAACTATAGAGAAACTAGAGAGGAACTATAGAGAAACTATAGAGAAACTATAGAGAAACTATAGAGAAACTATAGAGAAACTATAGAGAAACTATAGAGAAACTATAGACAAACTATAGACAAACTATAGACATACTATAGAGAAACTATAAACTATAGAGAAACTATAAAAAAACTATAGACATACTATAGAGAAACTATAAACTATAGAGAAACTATAAAAAAACTATAGAGAAACTATAAAGAAAATATAAAAAAACTATAAAAAATTCATAAAGAAACTATCATCATTTTCTGATATCAGATAAATAATACAAAATAAGTTAGAAGCTATAGAAATACAAGTACATGTTTCCTACTGAGACAATAATAAACTTGAGTGCACCCAAATTCTATAATAAAAATTAATACAATAAAAATACAATAAAATAGTAAAAAAATAAAGAGAAAAACAAAATATTTGATAAAAAATAACTGCTGAGGAAACCAAAGAATCTTTAGAGATAGAATGAAAAACTTAGAAAATCCTATAAATAAAGATGCTGAAGTATATTTCAATGTGAAAGTAATACAAATAAAAAAGTTTGTAAGACATGTAACTAAAGAAAAAATTAAAGGAACTAGGTCAAACAAAACTGAATTAAAACTATGTGTACAATGAAAGAAAGCGATGGAAAGTGTAGGGGCATTGAGTAAAGGAATTATATTCCTTTACTCAATGGTAGGGGTTAGCGATAATCTCCCTTCGACTGATTGAGATATCATTTCCATATACCTAAAGTAGAATATGTCGGCTATGATGATGTTCTTGTAAATTGGTTTGGCATTTTTCTTACTTTTCTTGAAAAACAAAACACTAAGTATAGTATTTCTAGTCAATAATTGGCCAAGAAAAACAATCACAAAAAGCAGAAAATTTTAACTGATAACTGATAAATAAACAAATACAAACCTAATATTTGATAGATGTTACCATTTAAAAATTTCATGCCCATTTCAAAAAAATAATTTTTACATTCAACATAACATAACTATTTTTTATATTATGTTTTATAGATTTTAATAGGTACTAAAATAATTAATCATTGTAAATACATCAATATTTTTTGTTCCAAAATTTTCTTTGTTGAAAAAAAAAATGCGAAGGAACAGTTAGAAAAGAGGTACAGAGTCTTTAACAATACCCGTTTCCCACGTGACTAAATTGATGTAATCAGTTGGCCAAAAGTAATATTAATAACTTCAGTAGTAACCCTAAAACAATGTCACTGACTTAATTGACAGAAATGATACTTAGGTTGTCATAAAAGTCGCTAATAACTGCTATTTTCGTTTTTCTCGCTTTACTTGATCACGTGTAATAAAAATATTGTTGAAGACGCGTTATAATGATTGAATAAAATATACTCTAAGTCTAATAGTTCTTGTAGCGAACATTTTTTTAGAATAGAGTAACAGCCGAAATAACGAATTTATATTTTTAACATCCTTTTACCTTCTTAACTCTTTTATTAATGCTGCAAAAGCTTTTTCCCATGCGTACATTTTAATCACTTGTATGGATTGTATAATTTCGTTCATTTGTCTTACTCTTTCATCGGTCCGCGCACCAGCTCTTCTTCTTAATGTTGCGCTTCTAACGCCAAACAACACTACAAAAAAACAATAAATAGAAAATCTAAACATATTATATAAAAAGATCTTTCAAACTAGCATGTTTTGTATTCAGTTTTATGTAAAAGTTTCACTCAATTGTTATGTGGTTATTGAATACAAAAGTTTAACAAGTTAAAATGGGCGAGTTATCAAAAAAATTACTTTAATTTCTGCATTTCACAACAATCAATCAACCTATCATCAAGATTTTCTACAAGATTTTTTTATTTATATACAGTCCACAAGTCTACCCTGTAAAACATAAGGAACCCTAAAGTAGGTTGCAATAATTTAAGAAAAAACATCGTCGACATCCTACATGCTCCATTCGGAAGCGGATTTTGAAAAAACCAGTGCAGCACAGCGTTCATTTTAGAAAAAATATCTATTCACACCTTTATGAAAGAAAAAAGAAAAAACCGTCTAAATTATCACTTTAATATGTGTTTTTTTTTCATAGACTTTTCTTGCTAATTTTTCACATATTTTTACTTGTAAATTTATAAAATTTTTCTTAAAAATTCCTTTTCTGTATAATTCTAATTATACAAGTTTTCTTGGCAAATTTTAATCATAAATTTTGCTTACAAATTTTTAAAATTCAACGACCGTAGGCGCCTTTAAGGCCTTGGCTCCGTCGTGCGGCCCACAATTTTGCCCATATGGACAACGCGTTCCTGACCCCCCTTGTCTTCATAAAAAATAAACCAAACTTACTTTGTATAGGTATTACACCAAAAACTGCCGTTATTCCAACGAGAGCAGCTTCTTGAACTTCCTTATACATAAAATACAGAATAAAAGTAAGTTGTATTGGAGAAATCCACAAATAATGGACAAAAATCGGAGCCAAATCAAATCTTGTTACATCGTTTGACATCAAATTTACCACGTTTCCAACAGTCTGGCCTCCTAAAGATGTAAACTTTAGTCTCAACGCCTAAAAGAAGTCTATGTTAAATTATAGCTCAAATTTAATTTTTCTACAATCGAGATCTGATAGGATGCGATAGAAAAAGAAAAAGTGTCACTTTCGCTGCCCATGACGTTCATTAACGTCATGATAGTTCTTTCACCCATGAGTGCAAAGGTTTTATAGAGTTGTCAAATTTAAAATTTTTAAATATAATAACCGTGTCATGACAGATACTTCTAAATTAAATGGATCTGTATTATGAGTGTGATTAAAATTTAAAAATCTGTGACTATTTATTTTACTTGAGATGGATACAAAGATCTGCTCAAAGTGTAAGGATGAGGAAGCTTATCAAGTTTTTCCATGTGATTCATGCAAATAGTACTTATGTGCTCAATGTGCTGACTTAACAGCGTCAGAAATCAAATGTTTACAATTAAAGAATAAACGAAAATTAATTTTTTTGTGCAGTGGATGTGAAACAGGTTTTTGGAAAGTTCTAGAACTAACTAAAGAGTTAAAGCAAGTAAAATTTATCAGTGAAAAACTTATGAAAAATAAGGCATTTGATCAAAAGAACGAAAAAGATGCAACATCAAATGTAGCTAAAATTAACAGCGAAGAACTAATGATGGCGGAAAGACAGAAGAGGGCATCAAACATTATTATATTAAATGTAAATGAATCGAAACAAAAAATAGTTGCAAACAAAATAAGAGAAGATAAAGACTAAGTAAAAGAACTGCTAAAAGATATTGATGTTGATATTACAAATATAAGGGTGTTCAGACTGGGCAAATACCAAAACAAAAATAGACTACTAAAAGTTTGTTTTCCCAGTTCACAAGAAGCTCTTAAGGTGTTAAAAATGAAAAAGGAGATAAAAATTCCAACTATTAAAATTTTTCCTGGTCAAACAAAAGCGCAAAGAGAGTACTTCTTTAACAATGTGCAGGAATATTTAGATAACAAAACTATAAAATACATAAATAATATTCCAACAATTGTTGATAGCAATGCATCTACCCGAAACAAACAAAAAACTAGTAAATGGTCCTAATATATCTTTTAGAAGTGATATAATTTATATGAATGTACAGAGTTTTTTGGCACACCGCGATGAAGTTTTAGCATACATTTTTTGGTATCAACTATCTATAATTATATTAAGTGAAACAAGATGTACAGATGATATCCAAGATGTTGAAATTGCAGTAGATGGATATGTATGTGTAAGACGTTTTCTGTTGATGGGTCTGTATCTTTCGCTAAAACGGAAGAAGAAGGGTATGGCTAATTTGCGGATTGGAATTTGACCGCTGCCAGGTACTAAACGAGTAATAGTTAGGAGTTCATATTTCTGAAAAGTAATATACATCCCAATACCTTTTTGCCAAATGAAACCATTTCCCAACCCATCGCCTCCTAGGGGTACTTTACTCTTGTCAATTTTGACAAAATTAGTGCCAGGTACTAGAAAAAACACGCTAGATTGCCTAAACTTCGTACACATAATTCCTATCCCAATACCTGTCTGCCAAGTGGAACCATTTTTCCCCCCATCGGCTCCAGGGAGGTACTTTACTCTTGTCAATTTTGACAAAATTAGTGCCAGGTACTAGAAAAAATACGCTAGATTGCTTAAACATCGTACACATAATTCCTATCCCAATATCATTTTGCTAGGTAAAACCATTTTTCCCCCCCCTCGCCTCCAAGGGGTATTTTACTCTTGTCAAAATTAGTGCCAGGTACTAGAATAAACACGCTAGATTGCTTAAACTTTGTACACATAATTCCTATCCCAATACCTTCTTGCCAGATGGAACAATTTTTCCCCCCATTGCCTCCAAGGGGTACTTTACTCCTGTCAATTTTGACAAAATTAGTGCCAGGTACTAGAAAAAACACGCTAGATTGCTTAAACATCGTACACATAATTCCTATTCCAATACCTTTTTGCTAGGTGAAACCATTTACCCCCCCTCGCCTCCAAGGGGTACTTTACTCCTGTCAATTATGACAAAATTAGTGCCAGGTACTAGAAAAAACACGCTAGATTGCTTAAACTTCGTACACATAATTCCTATCCCAATACCTTTTTGCCAGGTGAAACCATTCCCCCCCCCCCCCCTTCGCCTCCAAGGGGTACTTTACTCCTGTCAATTTTGACAAAATTAGTGCCAGGTACTAGAATAAACACGCTAGATTGCTTAAACTTTGTACACATAATTCCTATCCAATTTACCGCGTTTTTTCTAGTACCTGGCACTAATTTTGTCAAAATTGACAAGAGTAAAGTACCTCTTGGAGGCGAGGGAAAGAAAAATGGTTTCACCTGGCAAAAATATATTGGGATAGGAATTATGTGTACGAAGTTTAAGCAATCTAGCGTGTTTTTTGTAGTACCTGGCACTAATTTTGTCAAAATTGACAAGAGTAAAGTACCCCCTGGAGCCGATGGGGGGAAAAATGGTTCCACTTGGCAAAAAGGTATTGGGATAGGAATTATGTGTACGAAGTTTAATCAATCTAGCGTGTTTATTCTAGTATCTGGCACTAATTTTGTCAAAATTGACAAAAGTAAAGTTCCCCTTGGAGGCGAGGGGAAGAAAAATGGTTCCACCTGGCAAAAATATATTGGGATAGGAATTGTGTACGAAGCTTAAGCAATCTAGCTTGTTTTTTCTAGTACCTGGCACTAAATTTGTCATAATTGACAGGAGTAAAGTACCCCTTGGAGGCGAGGGGGAGAAAAATGGTTCTACCTGGCAAAAAGGTATTGGGATAAGAATTACGTGTACGAAGTTTAAGCAATCTAGCGTGTTTTTTCTAGTACCTGGCACTAATTTTGTCAAAATTGACAAGAGTAAAGTACCCCTTGGAGGCGATGGGGGAGAAAATGGTTTCACCTGGCAAAAAGGTATTGGGATAGGAATGATGTGTACGAAGTTTAAGCAATCTAGCGTGTTTTTTGTAGTACCTGGCACTAATTTTGTCAAAATTGACAAGAGTAAAGAACCCATTTGAGGCGATGGGGGAGAAAATGGTTTCACCTGGCAAAAAGGTATTGGGATAGGAATTATGGGTACGAAGTTTAAGCAATCTAGCGTGTTTGTTGTAGTACCTGGCACTAATTTTGTCAAAATTGACAAGAGTAAAGTACCCCTTGGAGGCAATGGGGGGAAAAATGGTTTCACCTGGCAAGAAGGTATTAGGTTATGTATTATGTTTACAAAGTCGCAGCAATTTACTGCTTTTTTTCTAGTACCTGGCACTAATTTTGTCAAAATTAACAAGAGTAAAGTACCCCTTGGAGGCAATGGGGGGGGGGGGGGGGGGGAAATTGTTTCACCTGGCAAGAAGGTATTGGGTTATGTATTATGTGTACGAAGTCACAGCAATTTACCGCATTTTTTCTAGTACCTGGCACTAATTTTGTCAAAATGGACAAGAGTGAAGTACCCCTAGGAGGCGATGGGTTGGGAAATGGTTTCATTTGGCAAAAAGGTATTGGGATGTATATTACTTGTCAGAAATATTAACTCCTAACTATTACTCGTTTAGTACCTGGCAGCGGTCAAATTCCAATCCGCAAATTAGATATACCCGAAGAAGAAGCAGCCAACAAATTAAATAATTTTTTTGTAAATAGTATATGTGAAATAACAAATTCAATACCTTCAACTGATGATTGGTCACCAAGTTTTTTAAATATATTCAATCAACATTAACTGATTTTAAATTAATTACATTACATCAACTAAAAAAAAAGCTGTTTTTTCGTTAAAAAATAAGGGAAGTCATGATGAGATATTGAGCGCTAAGTTTTTAAAGGAAACCTTTTATACAACTGGCTTTGCAGTGTTTAATTTAATAAACACCTCACTAGAACCAGGAACATTTCCTGATAGACTAAAAGCAAGCAAGATAGTTCCAGTCCAAAAAATTGCAAACGATACAAATGCATCCAACTTGCGACCTATAAATATACTTCCGACGATTGAAAAATTATTATAGAAACCGTAGTTCGTGACCAAATATTAGAATACTTTAATAACAATGGTTTGTTTGTGGGAAATCAGAAGGCCATTCATGTGAAACGTCTTTACAGTTAACTATACCTAAATGGAAACAAGTACTTGATGAAAATAAATATATAATAGCAGTTTTTCTAGATTTTAAACGAGCTTTTGAGACAATAGATCGTAAAATTTTGATTAATACATTGAAATATTATGGCTAGGTAAATCAACATCTTAGATGTTAAAAACTAACTTAGGAGTACCGCAAGGAAGTATATTAGGGCCGCTTCTATTTACCATATATTTAAATGACATTAATTATATTGAGTGTGACTTTATTAATCTATTTGCAGATTTTATTACTAATTCTATCAAGATTTTATTTTATTTTATTTATTCAACTGAATTTGTGCAGACTGACGACAATATGTAATATTTTTAAAAAAACTATTATGTATTAGGACTTCCTATATTAAATAAAGATTCTATTCTATATATTTCTATAATAAATCCGATATTATAATAACTGATAAATACAAACCTTTCTATAAATTAAGGAACAACAAGCTACTCGAACTTTCATTCCAACGTGCAAAACAGCAAGCATATAAGGATGCGTTACCATAACAACTATGTAGTTACAGAGAGCTATACCTCCGGCAAAAAAATATGCTTCTGATTGAGTAATTACACCCTGGTTAGGCTGCCAAAAATTTATTACCCTTTCGAAATATTGCGGTGGTCTTGGCCTAAAATATGTAAATAAATGAACATTTTGTATATCATTAATGATTTTGCAGATGAGTACAAGAAAGACAATGTCAAAATTAACACTTTTTTCGTTATGTTAATAAATTAGCCCTGAACTGCTAAGAGTAATATAATAGCATCCCTATTCACAAAGCATTTTTAAACACACTATTTTACATTAATAAATATGCCGTGACTAGCAGTATCTCCATTATTTTTGAAGATAGAGTTGCGGTTGTCGCGACACTGTAATACTTTTACGTAAAACTAAAGATACCGTTAACAACATTTTTATAGCCCTTTAAGTTTTTAAAATACAGGGCATTTTTGAAAATGTTGCATTTTGGGACTCCCCCTCGTAAAATATCATTCTTATAGATTTTTTTCCGTAGAATGCAGTGGTGTAGATAATTTTTGTTACATATTTACTATTTTGTGTAATAAATAAACTTATGTTCTTTTAAATGGAACACACTCTATATTTATAGACTATAAAATTTTTTTTTTCTTTCAAAAATATATGTACTTTTTCTCAGAAACACGAAAATAAATGACAATTTTCTAAAATTAAATGCATAATTTAATAGAGGCCATGGATATTGTTTATGACAAAAAAAACATAAATGCCAAATATTTGTCTATCTCATAAAAATAACGGAGATATCCTGAAAAAGTACCCAAAATGGCTACGCCAACCGGCATAGACTCCAATGCCCTGGACACAGTTCAAATTGTTGTATGTTGAAGAAACGAGTGAAAAAGTTCAATAATTACCATCAATAAAATCAAATAATTAGGTAGGTACATTTAGCTTTTAATTTGCAAATTAAAATGATAGAAGTCAAAGACCAAAAACAAACGCGTTAGGAATTCAAGATTATTTTTATTATAGCTAAAATGTCAAACCCAAACCTAGTATATGTCAAAAGGAGAGCAATGTACAAATAAAACGGGTACAACCGATGTACCTGCTAGTCTCGGCCTTAATAATTCCTTTATTATAATAATTTCGCAACCTGCCATACACTATTATTTGCTTGAGTCGACTGGGAATAGAACTCACGACACGTTGGTTAACATTCGGCGCTTTCAACCGCTTTATGCTCTCCACTACGAAGACATTTAACAAATTATTACTAAATATGATTTTAACTATTAATAAATGATATAAGGACATTATTATAATAACATTTACCAAACCAATCCTCAGCAGAAACCATCATGTGTTTTTATTATTTATTATTATTATTTAAATCGCATCAACATCCATAATATGAAAATAAGAAGTCTACTTACGGACTTGTATTATTTTTATTGATGTCGTTAAAATACTTGATAAAACATCCCACGAAAATTGGTTGGAAAAGCCTGCAAATTCAAAAGTCGCAATAAGTAAAAATTAAATGTTGGTTGTATATGTTTGTATTATAGGCGCTATTTGGTCGTACAAATAGGCATTAGAATGTGACAATAGCAGTCAGTTTCATAAAAATTAGATCAAGTTCACTACATATTCTAATACCTACTTTGTACCTTTTTTTATGAATACAACTTTATATTCCGCCGATAGATAGTCAAAATAAATCGGTGCTTTTCGAAAATAATAATTATATTGAGGCATTTATAATGTACTAGAGCAGGGATTCCCAAAGTAGTCGAGGAAAAGAGGGAAGTAAAAGGAAGCATCTTTCCTTGGGATATCCCAAGTGCCACATGTACCCTCTACTCTTTTTTCCTTTTAGTTCTCATCTATTCCCTGTCCTTTTTCCTCTTCTTTCTCTTCTACTGTCTATTTGATTTCCTCTCCATTCACCTCCCTCCTTTATCTCTTTTCTGGTTTCTTCACTTTCTCTTTCACCCTTTCTTTATCTTTTTTTTCACCACTTTTAGACTGCTTCCACCATATCACACTTGCCACAAATTTTGGCTTGTTGAGCAAGCACACGAGCCTTTGTGCCATCACTAAATATCCATTTTTTCGTATGTTCATCCCCTCCTCTACTTTCACACCAATCTAAGACACCACTCTCACTCTTTCCCTCTACATTACGCTCTTTTCTCTACATTATTCTTCCCCTAATAGATCATAGAACTGATTCCTGGAAGTCTTTTAATTTATTAATTTTAGGAGATAGTTTCTCCTCTAGGATATCAGGAATCGGTTCTATTTACTACTACCCACCTTTATCTTCTCCCTTTCTACAATTTCAAGATAATCCCCCTTTTTTAACCTGTGCTTCTGATTCAACTTTGATTTTATACCTAAGAATGTTTCAATTACCACATAATAAAACAACTTCTGGACTAGAACTTTTTGGACATTTGATCTAGGACTTACTCTTCTCTTTCTTATATAATAATACGAAGATTATAAACCATTTATACAAAAAAAATTTACCATATACTATGTAACTTTACAATTTTAGGCTTTATTAAATTCTAGAATAATTTAAAAATATTCTTAGAAGCTAATGTTTTGAATAAATCAATATTAAGAGCTGATTAATTGTAATAGGGTTTTTACCTAATTCCAACTTCTAGGACAAACATAATCAATCCATAGACCAAAAACTCTTTATAGAATGTTTTGAAAATGACTCTACACATACTTGGCCTTCTTTTATTTTCCATAGCTCTGTCATATTCTTTAGTCCAAATTTGAGAAATTTTGTCGCCTAGTATCTTTGATTTGTGTTCGTCCAAAGGCTTTGTTAAATCATCTTCAGTTAATTCGCGTCTTACACCGTCCCTGAAGGTTCTAATACTAAAAAAATTTAAATTATAAAATATTCGGTCCACATTTCATTAGTAAAAAGAGCTATATAAAGTAAATAATAAAGAGATAAAGAAACGCTAGATACGTATGCGTAACTCGCTGACGTAAACGTAAAAATTGACGATACGTTAAACGAGCAATCTGGAAAAAAACAATAGTTATAGCAAAAGAACTGACGTAAACATATCTAAAACTTTATAACCAAAAGGCTGTATGTCACGATACTAAATTAAGTAGTAAAATAGCACTAAATTAAGTTATTAATTTAGGGGAGAGTGGGGGAATCCCGGTCGGGTGGGTAATTCCGGTCACTAGTAATTTTCCGCTACAAACGTAGTCACCCCGTTAACTATGTGGCGCCATCTATTATGCAGTGGTACAAATTAAATCCACCGGATTTCGCTTTCAAGGCTCCAGTCTAAGACATCTGTTGTTGTGGTCAAGTTATTGCCAGGATTTCTTGTAATATTTTGACGAACTTAAACCAACGTAAGTACCCAAATAAGTTATTTTTTGCACGGAATTATAAGGAATGTCTTAAGGGGCATCTTGTCGTTTAGATCCTGCTTTTACAGGCGCTTAAATAAAGAGAAATAATTTTAGATTAGGTTTATGTCGTCAGATTGCTTTCGGGAAATGCCGGTCAAAACGGTTGGAGTGATACCCGTCAGGCCTTCCTATGACTAAGTCGGGTGTATATTTTAAATTTTAAATCAATGTGTTTTATTTGTTACAGATGCCTAGGACTTACATCAAAAAAGGAAACAAAGCTAAGTGGACCCCCGAGCAACTTCAAAATGCCTTGCAATTTATCGAAGGACAGTCAATTCGATCAGCAAGCAAAAAATTCCATATTCCGTTTAGCCCACTGCAAGAAAGAAAATCAAAAAATAAGACATCAACCGCTCCACGTATGGGAAGACAAACTACTGGAGGAAGAAGCCGTTCTAGCTAACCGTATAAAATATCTGTCAGATCTATTTTATGGTGTTAGCCCTCAGCAGGTCCGACGAATTGCTTATGAATATGTAACCAGTAACAATAGCCATTTATCCAAAATGGCAGGAAAGGACTGGTTTTATGCGTTTTTAAGGAAGAATCCTACGATAAGTGTTCGGAAGCCTGAAGCAACCAGCATTAATAGGATAACCACCTTTAACCAAGAAGAGGTAGCAAAATTTACAAAAATTTGAAAGGAGTAATGTCTAAAACTCAATATCTGCCGAACCAAATATACAATGTAGACGAAACTGGGATATCGACCGTTCAAGATCCTGGTACCATTGTCGCGACTAAAGGAAAAAACGTATTGGTTCTGTACAGCAGTGAGCTATATACCTCCATTTTTTATCTTTCCTCAGAAGAGGATGTCTCCGCTTTTGGCAAAAGGTGGACCTCCATATGCTGCTTATAAATGTTCGCCCAATGGCTGGTCAAATGAACAGTTATTTTACGAGTGGATTGAACACTTCATAACATATTCGAAATGCAGCAAAGAGAACCCTGCTTCATTAGTAATAGATAATCATAGTAGCCATATCACATTGCAAACTTATGTAGAGAAAATGGCATCTGCATGTTGTCTCTACTACCTCATGCATCACACAGAATGCAGCCCCTTGAAATTACCCTATATGGGCCACTAAAAGCTGCTTTCCGCAGAGAATGTGACCTTTATATGAAGTCAAAGGCATTGTTAACGTTCAATCATATGACCCATTTTGGGTCTTATGATTGAACGTTTACGTTATCCGTAACGTACATGTTAGGTCGAGTTTTAACAGTAATGAGGCAAGTTCGTATGACGGAAAACTGTTAAATTGGAATTTACGTTATCACTAATATAGCGTATTGCGCAGTTCTGTTTACGCGCGTGACGCAACCCAGACAACACATCAAATCCCAGAGATATCTACAGAATATCTTTTGTGGATATCCAATATATACTCCACAGGATATCATAGATATCCCGTAGATCTGATATGAATATCCAAATGTCCATCTATAACAAGGATATAGAAGATATCCTGTGGATATCCAGCAAAATGGGTATATCCCAGACAATACACGAAATCCAAAGATATCCATAGAATATCTTTTTTGGATATCTAATATATCCACAGGATATCATAGATATCCAGTGAATCTAATATGGATATCCAAATGTCCGTATCCAGGATATAGAAGATATTCCATGGATATCCAGCAAAATATCTAATGGGTACCTACCTTTAGTAGAGGTTCATAAGTAACAATGGATATTATCTTATAGAGGATTAACATATCCAGTGTACATACATTATTTGATATATTTAAGATATCGAAAATTATATGTCTATAGGGTGTCGTATTTAATGCTTCATTAATTTTTTTTTAAGTGGAAAATCAGCATTTCAGTAGCATAACATCGGAACGCCCTGTATTTTAAATTTAGTATATATGTTATGGACAGTATTGTAAATTGGGCACTGACGATATTGACCGGACACTAACGTCAGCAGAATGCCCAATCAAATAGGAGATTTATGAAAATGACCGGCCAATATCGTTAAAGACCGAAATATCATCTTTGACCGTAACATATACACCCAAACAAAGTTTACTATTCTAGTATTAACTATTTCTGATGCTACTCAGCATAGGTACAGCATGTAGAGTAGAAAGAGTATCAACATTTTATTTTTACAAATAAATTTTGTACACCATACCTAAAAAAACCACCAAAATATCATTGAATATGTGAAGTCAATTTTAAATTGAATGCAACGCACGAGTTATCTAACATATAAGCATGTTACAAATAAATCATTCTTTATTGTTGTTATATTAAGTATAGTTAAGTAAAACAAAGACAAATATTATGAGCAGGCTAAATATGTTTAAAAAGTAAACTATAGTATAAACATACTATTATATTAAATAACATATTACATTTAAGCTGACGAATGAACATAGTACCCGCAGCCAAGGAAAACCTAAACCTAATCACCCATACACATTATATATTGGCGTCGCAATTTCAACTGGAATTTTCTTCCTGAAAAAAAAAAAGACGCTCTGTTGTAGAATTCCTCAAAAAGTGAACCTATATTTTAAATCAAGCTATACCCAAAACGAAAATGAAAAAAGCCCTGTGTGCTTGGTGTCACTTATACAATATAGAACACTAACTAATAATTTAAAAGGGCTGGATCTGTGTATATATTATACTTATTTATCTAAACTGTTGGTCCAGCTAAACATAACCTAACCTTACTTGTTAAATTATTCATACATGCTATTGAATACAAGGCAGATGTAATTAGAGTACCTTAACCAGTGAAAAAAATACCTCTTTCTAATTAATTATAACAACCAATACACAATAAAAAAACAAACCGAAACAATAATAATCACACGAAATAAGTAGGTATATGAAGGTAGGTAAAGTAACATCCATCTTATTTATAATAAAATAGGGTATCGTAAAAACGACATGAATTTCTAGTTGTGAATTACCTAAAAAGGACGCGGATTTTAACGTACATTGGATACAACCTACTTAACAATCTTAATAACGTGAATTTAACCATTGTCTTATTTAACTAAAGTCTATCAACCTTTTACACTAATAAATTTAGGTTTTTTAAAGCTTACTTACCTCCTTTTAATACAAAATTATCAAATAAAACTCATGCATACGACACAAACAAAACGAAAACAAACTATAAAATGGCCGATGGCACAAATGAGGGCAGAATATATCCGCGCCTGCGCTCGCGTTCATTGTCAATATTATTTATCTAGCGGATATCTGTGGAATATTTTATACAATTTACTAATTTTATATTTCTATAGGTAAATCATACCTACATACAGTTCATCAAATTTCTAGAGGCTTTCGACGGCTAGACAGAGAAAGCACTACTGACAGGCATCCCGACGGATTTACGCAATGAAAGTACACTCTGCGCATCAAGTATTTCACTATTTCATTCAGACGTAAATGTCAGATGTAAATTTCGCTAAAACATTTCTTTTATTTTCGTTTGTGTTTTTTGCTCAATAGAACCTTAGTATGGAGTTTAATAGCAAATTAAGAGGCCGCGTGATTAACAGTCAATCTCGCGAAATAATAGCCAATGTTATAGAGTTTATGAGAAGAGAAGGAAACTTTAATTCACCTTCAATACCATTTAAAAATGTAAATGATCGTGTTGCTGCAGCCACAGGAGTATCTAAAAACACTGTCGTCCGCATTTCTGGAAAAAAAAAAAGAATCGATAACCGTGAGATATCGGAATTTTCATCACCAAGAAAAACCATTAAAAAACCAAAAACAGTTAATGATATAGATGAAGCTGCACAAGAATCAAATTTTATTTTTTTATTATTAGATAGCTATTTTTGTTTCTGAGTTGTGTTCATTTACAGGCTCAATTTTTTTCCGTTTCTCCTTTCTGATTTTATATGGGGTTTCAAGTTGTTTTTGACTTATTTCGACGTAAATCACAACAACACACTTTTTTAATAAAGCAAACAAGTGTTAAGAGGTATATGTACGTGTAAACTACAATTACAAAAAAGTGATATGAAACCCATGAAACCACCAACAAAAATGTAAAGCTAGCTTCCGTACTAGAACATGGTGTCATTCGTCGAGATAATTTATCGTTTTGTTTAATAGATCAAGAAATGTAAATATTCCCCTGTTATTTTTTATAAAATTATAAGAGAAATAAATTTTTTTCTAAATAGTATAGTTTATTATTTTGTAGAAAAACAAAATTTCGAAAATTTTAGTAATGTTTCAGAAACAACCGTTATTAATAATAGGTACCATTTTCCTTAATAAGGTAGAAATAAAATATAAACTATTTCCACGATTTACAAAGGCCTACAAAAAAATTATAGGTATTTTCCGCTATCCTATAAAATTTATATTTTCTGACTCAATTTCAAAAGGTTGAAGGAATTCCAAAACACCTTTTATGGCATAATAATTATTTTCAATTCTACATACTATCTTTAGCTGCTTTTAAAAAAGTTCTAAGAAAGTCCAATCAGACCAATTTAATCCCTAAACTATTCCACACTTTTAAAATTTAATTACCTAAAAATATTAAAAACTATTTAAAATAACTTGTTTAGCAGACTGTACAATAGCTATCTTAGTCACACGTAGCGCGTTCTCTGTCTGGGCGTCGAACACCTCTAGAAATTTGATGAACTGTACTTTCTTAGTTATCACATGGCGTAATATTTAAGTAATTTAATAATTATTATTAAATCAATTAATATATTTTCCGATATTTATAGGTACATATTATATCCATAAATTTTATCTAGTAGATATCCACCATGGTTTGCGTTCGCGCCTAAACTTTGATATATTTAGTGGATATTGAATACTTAAACAAAATTAATTTTAAATATCTAAACGGTACTATTAGCCACAGTGGCGTAATTTTTTAATAATTTGTTATGTAATTACTATTATTTATGGACATTTGCATGTCTATAAATTACATCTCATGGATATAAAATAGATATCCACCATGGACTGGACATTCAGTGGACATTGGGATGTCCAGTAGATATCCAAAGGATTTGGTGTGCTGTCTGGGAAGAGACGCAAGCAAGAAACCAATTTTGCGGTTATGCCCATGTTTATTATGATTTTCTTGGAGTCGCTGTTTATTTTTCTTATTTTTATTGGATGTGGGTAAAAAAGTGACGATCAAGTGAAAGATTTTGCTTTTACGAATCTAAAATTCAAAATTTCAGTATTTGCCATAGATGAAACAAGGCTTTTTATCGTATAGAAATCATATAGTAACCCCAAAATAGTTGCAGAAAAGATAGTAAAGGAGATTGGACACATAACTTCAGCTAACTATGATATCGGCACAATAAGTGCAGCAAAAACATTCGCTATTTATCCACGCTCAAGAATGAAACCTCAGCTTCCGATTGGATATTTCCCAAAAACTGCAACTCACTGCAATCCTTTAGGTTGAAAGTAATGAGGAGTTTTTCTCAAGTTTCTAAATCACTTCTTAAAATATATTTTGCCCTCCAAAGGCCAGTATTGCTATTCTTAGATGTTCACGCAAATCATAAGACCTTAGATTCTATAAAAGTTTGCCTGGAAAACGGCATTATTATGACCACGTTTCCTCCTCATAATAGTAATAAACTACAATCTCTAGACGTTGGGGTTTTTGAACCCTTCAAAGTTTACCTTTCTGCAGAGATGGAGAAATATATGACCAATCAACACGGATTATATCAGGGGACCACTTACAAAAGAAGTGTTTTGAAGGCTTTTTCCCCAACAAATATTTTGAAAGGTTTCTAAAAATCTGGAATTTACCACTTCAACATTAATATATTCAGTGATCATGCATTTATGAATGCCATGGCAGTAATTTCTCTTCCTGCTACAGCTGATTCGATAATTCAAACAGCAGTTGTATCCGACTTCAACAGAAAGAAACATCTCCTGTACCTACCAGATGAACCATTAACGAAAATTCGACCACTCAGCCTGCAGGCACATCAGGATTTTAACTATAAAGAGATGAAGTCCACAATAGTTCTGACCAAAAAATTTGAATCGTTATTATTTCTTCTCATCTATCTTCTAAAACTTCCGATCTGAACAAAAGGAAGAAAAAATGGGAGAAATCAGATGAAATCGCTACTCCTCCACACAAGCTGGAGTTGGAAATAAAAAATGAGAGAAAGGAAAACAACAATAAAAGTAATAAGGAATTTAGAATGAAGCAAAGAAGAACAAAAATAAAAACTTTGCTCTAATATACAAATGATAGACAATGAAGAAGAGGAGTATGACACATGTGGTCTTATGTGCCGTGAAAAATATGGCTTGACTCAAAAATAATGCAGGGAGTGCAAGCAATGCAGCCATGAAGACTGCTCAGATTTTGAAAGAGAATATAATAGATTTGTTCCAACACGCGCGAAAACCGTAATATTACCGTACAAATCGTGCGCTCTACCCAAAAATTGTATACAGCGCATGATTTGTACGGTAATATTACGATTTTCGCTGTTGGAACAGACCTTATGGGTCCTATGATTGAACGTTTACGTTATCCGTAACGTACATGTTAGGCCGAATTTTAAAAGTAACGAGGCACGTTCGTATGATGGAGAACTGTTAAATTAGAACATAACAGGCGGAAAATAACAGTAATGTATTGGAAAAAGTTTTCCAGCATACGAACTTGCGTCGTTACTGTTTAAACTCGGCCTAACATGTACGTTATGGATAACGTAAACGTTCAATCATAGGACCCAATAACTTTTATATTTGTGGACTTTGGAGAAAATATTAGCTTTTAATATAGGGCTCTTACTCCACCATGTGGGGTAAGTTGTTTTTTTGTTAGGATTTGCAAATTATTTTTTTTATATACTTATTTTATCTGTTTTCTTCATAAGGACTTTTGTTTATTTGGTTATTATTTAATAAACCTATGAGTGTGTTTTAACGATGACACATACACATTGTTTTAAATTTATATCATTATTTTTTTTAAACACTTTAATATTCATTTACGTTACATATTTCTCAATTGCAGAAATAAAAAAGTTTTAGCGCAAAACTTGTTATGTCGAACTTTGAAAATGGAAATTTACCTGTAAAAAAATGTAAATGCAGACAAAAAATTAGCATGTGCTCTTGGACAGTCTCTTCTATCTCTACGGTCGTCTGCTTCAGGTCTCATTTTTTCCGATTTCTTGAAACCTGTTCTTTTATCTGATGCTTTTTTAAAACGAGATTTTAAAAAATCGACTATGGACAGAGTCATACTAACATTTTGATTGAACCTTCTGACATTTCAACAGAAGTTGTTTATCTAAAGGCGAATTTACATGCACCAAATACTATAATGCGAGCCTTATACTAAAATAAATCGGGCCTGAGTAGGGGCACGGGCAATAAACAAACTTTATATTTTAAATTATTTAATCACATACTTAGTATGTGATTTAATAGATATTTATGAAACCAGTTGCGAAATGCCTTATTTTATGTAATAAGTGAACATTTGCGGGGCTAACAAAGCGAGGTCCTACAACATGAACGGCATTTCGTAACGTATTTTTTCTAATTTTGACTAAATTATTTATAAAAAGAGTTTTGGTAAGAAATTACTGACATCCAGGCAACCAATATTACTACTTTCTTGTATTTTCAGTTGCATATGCATTATTTTCTTGACAGAACGGACAGAACATAATCTTTTTCTTTTTAATTTTTTTAGGTCTCAGCTGCTAAGGCTATTCGGTATATGGTTTTAGGTTGATTCGTGGTGATCTCGACGATTATTTGCAATGAGGTAGGATTGGAATGTAACCCTACTTTATCGTAGGGCTCTTATGGCTTTATATAATATTAATTATTTATTTCCAACGACTTGTAGTGTTTATATGGCTTGTTAAAGTTATTTAGTAGATTATTTTGTCGTGTATATTTCTTTTAATTATTTTGTGCTGATTTATAATGGAAAATAAGGACCAAAACAACATTACTACTATATAGATTGTAAGTTTAATCATAGTCTATTTTTATAAGTCAACCTGTCCTTCTTTGATATAAACTTTCTTTAATAATGTATATTATTGATTTTAAAATCAAAAAAGCTTTATTATTATTTGTTTTCTTTTCTTTTCAATGAAAATTTCGAAACCAGTTTGGTTACGTAAACTAGATTATTTTGTTAAAATTAGAAAAATAGTTCCTGATGACATATAATAGATCGTTTTGATACTGCCTCTTTTGGGGTCTATTATTATTTTATGCGATGATCAAACATCGAAACATAATTCTAAGACTTCTGGAATATTTGTTGTGTTCTCCAAATGGTTAATCACCTTTTTTCCAAATCAAAATTTGAATTTTACCCTTGTTGGGGTTTTTTCAAATTATTTTTAATAACTGCATGGCCAGTAAGAGAAGGCCAATATTAATTGAAAAAGAAGTCGATGACACTAAACTTTGTCAGTTGTCATTAGTTGTCAAATGCTTTGTTTACCTGTCTAGTAATGTTTACTTAAAAAAAAATGTCAATATGAAAATGGAAAATGAAGCTTTTTAATTAATATCTAAAATGTTGACTAATATTGAAAAAACATAAATGGAACACTGCAATGGAAAGCCCAAACGAGCTGCTTATGCAAGCTCTATACAAAAACGATTTATCCTTAATACATTGCTACTTATCCAAAGGTAATATAAATATTATATGCTAAAAAAGTAGTTTAAAAACCCCACTTTTAGGAGTAAATATCAACAAAATATGTTCCAATGGCATGACAAATTTAGGGGTAGCAGCCCAGACAGGAAATTTAACTATTTTAAAGACCCTTCTAGAGCACCATTTAGCTGTAAACCTGGATTTTAGGAATGAGAATGTTTGTAAACCCCAATATTTACATTTAGATACATCAGAACAAAGACGGTACAAAAATATAGGATACTTTGTAGTTTGTAAGGATATTGAAGAAAATGAATTTGGAGATGGGCCCACTCCTGATGGCATGGAAGCTCTTGAGTGGGACATGGAAGTTACAGAGGGTGATTTTTCTATAGGTATTGAATATGATCACATTTTTACTTTCCTTCTTTATCTTAAATAGCAAATCTTTGCCACTATAAATTTGTTATTCAATCTTTATTACTGCCTAGTTTTAAAAATGGAAAGAATGTGCATAGTAGTCAGGAATCAGTCAAATAAAATATCCAACTGGATAAGTATAGTCTTTTTATTAAATTATATTCTTTTTCTTCTCTACAAATATAATATTTCTCACCCGTTGACATCAAATACTCATTTTGTAGATAAATATGTAAATCACAAAAGTACAACTTTTCCTATCTAGGCAGCAACATGTACATTAGTATCTCAGCTAGGAATTACCAACTGCAGCAATAAATCTTATTAGTTATTATTTCCTTTATTTAGCTAGTTTGCTAATATACAAATTTAGTAAAAATATACATATAAGTCAAAACATAGATAATTTAGATACAATTAAAGCTAATTAAAATTCTATAGGTTGTTACTGTTTCTGGAGAAATATTCATCAATTAAGAAATCTGTCACTTTGACTTTAAAATATTTGTTACAAAATTATCATATTTTGCATTAATGTCATAAATATGATAGTTCCATGCTAATGTTGAAAGTTTGTTATTAATTAAATCAAAATTTAAGTCCTTACCTCTGCTTTCAATTTCAAAAACAGATCGCCCATCACTATTTAATAGCACATTTGTTAAAAACAATAATTATCTGTAATTCTTGGTGTTTTGATAACCTCAGCTGAAACCAAGTCATTATTTATTATAATTAAATCTATTAGTGTACCTCCACCACTTATATTTGGTCTTGTGCATTCTGTAACAATATTTTTAAATCCAGTATCAATCAAAATATCACTTAATTTCGCACTATTTTTAGTTAACAGGTCAATATTAAAATCTCCAGAAACAACTATTTGAGAATTATCACATAAATTTTCTTCAGCCCAAGTGCTAAAACAATCTGAAAAATTTATACAGCTACTGCTAGGCGACCTATATAAAGATACAATTAAAAAAATTTTGTTTCCTAATATTATCATCACAGAAACAATCCAACAAATTTTTGGAATACAAAATTTAAAATATTTTAAAACCTTCAGTTCACTTTGTATATAAATTAAAGCGTGTGTATCTACTTTCACTGTCAACTCTATAATTTTAATCATAAATATCCTCAGTCAAGCAAGTCTCAGAAACACATAATAAACTTGGTTTTTTTTGACAACACATAATTAGAGATTTCATCAATGTGGGCCACCAAGCTCTCAGCATTTAAATATAATATATTTATTGTACTTTTTAATTTGGATCTTGAGTTTGAGCTTAGATAAAAGAGACCGGAGATGTAACATTGCACATTGCGCATGTTGTCTATTCCAAACCTAAGTAACCCACCAATTAAAAATCATTGTGTTCACGACGCCACCCGAATTGCTCCGAAATTTCTATTCTAATATTCTTTGCTTGTCTCCGCGTGAGTAAACAGTGTTGCCAGCTTGTTACAATTGTAACAAATCTATTACATTTATGAAGGGTTTGTTACATTATTACATTTCCAGTAAATCTATTACATTTTCAAAATCTATTACATTTTCAAAATCTATTACATTTTCAGTAAATTTTATTACATTTTCCCGAACCTAACGATCTAACCTAACCGTGATAGTAGGGAGTTTTAGCAAACAGCCGCTAACCATCCGCTAACGTTACCTTAGGGATAGACTATAATCTACTCCGTTCAATGTTTATGAAAAAGGTCACAATCTAAGTTTAACGTAACGTTAGCGGAAATCTTACGTACATTTGCTAAAACTCTCTAATGTCTGGATTTTGGGGGTTATGATGGACAAATAATGGTATTTTTAACAGACACTTTATTTGTGAACAGGTTGCTATTTCTAATGTGTTTATAAAATAACACACCTGTTAAAAATAACACAAGTTGTCAATCATAACCCCCTATGATTTTACCGTATACTGTATACTCCAAACAATATAATAACAAGACGTACTGATTTACATTTTTCATGGTCAGAATGGGGAATTTTGTTATTAATTAATAATGGATTTAGTTTTTGTAGCTATGTTTGTCTAGATATGTTCTGATATTTTTGCAGATTTTATTAAATTTGTGATAAAGAAACCAGAAGCTGCGACTACCCTATGTACACAAATAGTGCAAAAAGTTAAAGAAAGAAAACACACATTTTACGTTGACTAAAACTTCTAATACATTTTCTTTAAATTTATTACAATTTTGAGAGTTCCTCTATTACATTCCTTCAGAGTGCTCTGGCAACACTGTGAGTAAATCATTTATGGACCGCCGTTTTTGAATTATTTGTTGGTGTTATTAGCAATTTAAAGTGTTTTAGTTATTCAATTTCAAGTTGAAAATGCCACGATGTATGGTGAAAAATTGTATATACTAATAATATGTGTCAATGTTATGAAAAATAAGAAATATATTCGTTTTCAGCGGTAAATATTTGTTGACGTTTTGACATAAAGTCGCCATGATTCTTTGAGCTGAATACTTCAGATCCGCATTAAGGGGTTTCAATAAATATTTAATCTAAAAAAGAAGTAAATAGGCATTGTTACTAACAAAATTTTGTTTTTAAAAAGTAGTTTTATAAGAATATTTACTAAAAGTGGTTTTTAGCCCTTTATTAGATATTTTTACAAGAATATTAGATGAAATACAGGTTCACCTACTTAAAATTTCAAGGTTTATTTTATTTGCGGTTAAATCAGAAGTGACATTTGAATCTTAAAACAAAGTAAAACGCGCAATATGATCTAGTATAAGCAAAAAATACTAAAGTTACGGAAATTAGTCATATTATTAGTAAAATGTTACATTATAAACCCCTAAACAACTCGAAAAATATCTTCGTTTGATAACAGGATCAATAAATCCGAATCTCTAAATTTTGGAGCTAAATACTCTGATAAAAGCATGCGACCGATAGGGGTTACAAAAATAATCGATTTATCGTTTTCATGAAAATCGATTTATCCGTTATAATTAATCGATTATCTTTAATAGATTATTTTTGATTAATCGAACATTTTTAATAAATTTTTTTTCGTTTTTTTAGGTAATAGAATAATCGATTATAAAGGAATTACAAAAAGAGAGTAGATTTATTCAAAATATTCGATTTATTGAAAATAATCGATTTTTTATAAAAATCGATTTATTGTTTAATAGACTTTAAATTAATCGATTATTTTTTATTAATCGATTATTTTCGATTTTTCAAAGGTATTCAAATAAGTTGTTTTAAAAAACAAAAAATAGATTATATAAAAATAATCAATTGATCGAATATTTATCGATTATTCGATTTTTTAATTAATCGATTATTTTTGATTAATCGATTATTTTAGATTTTTCAAAGATTATCGAATAATGTTTCAATGGAAATACGACAAAAAAATAGAAATTAAAAATAATCGATTATTTAAAATAAACGATAATTCGTTTATTATTTTTTGTAAACACTGATTTATCGGTTAATTGGCTTTTTAATTAATCTATTTTTTTTTATTTTTTAAAGATAATCAAGTAGTCAATTTTAAAGGAAATACGAACAAAAATAGATTGATCGAAAATAATCAATTATTATTAATGATCAATAATTTATTTCGATAATCACCCACTCCTAGCGACCAAATGACTTTTAATAGGTTTAAATTTTAAAATGTTATCTGGTTTCAGACATATACATTTCTAGAGTTTTATGTGACGCATCCTCTATATTAATTAATATTCCTAAAGAAACAAGCTTTAATATATCTTTTTCTGAGGTTATAATACAAAACAGCATTTTCTCATTTTGACTAAATTTTAATATTATGTGATAGTCGTAGAAAAAATATAATGTTCAACGCACAAGGTTTGATTTGCAGTATTCGCCTGCGCACATGCTTTTTTATAATACTCTTAGACAATGAGTACCATTTCTTACTTGATTAAGAATATTCTATTTCAACATTTTACTGTAGTCTCTTACAGAAAAGTCCATAGTAAATAATAGCTAACGAAATATTCTATTAAAGATCTTCTTTTTACATAAAATGTCGTGGCATCTGTTTGATATTAAAAAATCACGTTAAAATTATTTCATAATACAAAATTCCATTAAACGTATATTTTAAATAAATCTAATAGTTCATTATGATGCTAATAAACAAAGTCCGGTCCCTGTCACAGAGTTCGAGTCCCTGCCCAGTTCCCCCACTCCGTTAACCTTTCTTTAGAAATTGGCAACATTTGCGCAGGTTAAACACCGGTGTATGTTATATCTCTGGTCTCTTTTATCTAAGAGTTTGAGACATTATCAAAAGTAGGAACAGTTACATTATTTAAACCTGTCAAATCTATGGAACCCAAGTTACTATTTATCAAAAGGAAGAAGAGTTAAATTATTTAAATCTGTCAAATCTATAGAACCCAAGTTACTATTATTAATAGGAAGAACAGTAAATTTAGTAGATATGTTACAGTTTGTATTTTTAGATTTCACAGTGTTAATAAATTTTAAATTTTTACAGACATTTTTGCTATTACTTATTGCTACACTAATTTTTCGTATGATATCAGACAGTTTTAGTTTGGCACCTTGCTCAGAATTGATATTTACATATAACATTCTACCTTCTGTATAATTGTCCAACTTATCCATAAAATGGTCTAATTTCAAATTAAATTTCTTGATTAGGTTTTTGTCACTGTGTCTTCTCAAAATTCGAACAGACACCATTATAAAGTTAGTGTGGGTACATAGTTTCAGTTACGAACAAATATTTCTGAATTTAGGGACCCTGGACATGTCAAAATCATTAGCACCTGCTACAACAATCACAAAATCAGAAAATGAAAATGTTTTTACTAATTCAGCTACATTCTCCAGTACATTGTCAAAATTCCCTCCTGGTTTAATAATAGATTGAATGTTGAAACTTTTGAATCCAGGAGAACGTCTCATATATTTATTTAAGTTAATAGCAGCTTCGTCGCCTAATATTAATGGGGTAAAACTACTAAAGCACTTTAAATATGATCAACTTGAATTTTCACAATTTTTTTACACATATTAAATGTTACAAATGTCCTAATATTTCTTCAAGAAGATTCTAACTTAGAAGATAGCGAACTAAACATGTACAAATGGTATGCCAATATTCTCACCCGTACCTCAATATTGCTGGATTCTCCAGAGCGTGATTTAGCTAGATTGGATCGTCATGGACAGAGTGTTTTACATTATGCAGTCAATTCTGGGAATGTCAATATGGTGGAATATCTAATGACAATGATTGGAAAAGATTTAAGGTTGGTTTGACATTGATGTAGTTGATTGAAAACATTTTTTATTATGGTAAATGTACCACTAGTCGACACCTTAAGAAAAATATAATCATAAATTTACAATTAATTTCATAAATTTAACTCTAAATTTTGTTATCAACTTCAGATAGAACACCTTAAGTGTGGTCTAGGTAAACATTTATATTAAAATGTTAGATTGTTTTAATTTTTTTTTTGATAATTTTTTTTTACTTTAAGAAAATAAAACTGGGATATGCAACACTCAATGGGCCACTGGTAGGTACTAACAATGATGCCAAGTGATATTTTTTCTTTTAGATTTGCAGACTTTTCTTGTTTGTGGTAGTATAAAATCGAGGTGTCAACTTTTGGAGCACTGTTAACTACTGGTATCCTTACCTTACTTAATATATTTTTTGTGGATTTTAAATTTATTAATAATCACTTCCCTCCCATACCCAGAACACTTCATACCTATGGTGGCTTTGGAACAAATTTAGTGTGATTTTGGAACTGTACTCTGTTGTGAATTAAGTTCTTGAGATTTGATTTTCTATTTATTTTAATACCGATTTATTAGTTTTAAATCGTTATTTTTGAAGTGTCAACCAAAGTGATGCATGTTGCTTTACACCTCTCCACATGGCAGCAGCGAATGGTGATTTAGAAATGACAAGATGGCTGCTAAACAGAGGAGCTAATGTGAACTCAATAGGTGGGAGGCATCGACAGAATTCTCTACATGTTGCAGTGAGAGGAGCTTTTTTAGAAGTCCTTAGGATGCTAGTTGAAGCGGGTAAATAATGATTTAGTTATAAGGAAAAATATGTATATTTTTTTTTATGACACAAGCTAATACTCTTAAACAAAAATGAACTGGCTTACAATTGAAAGGATAGTTTTTCAGTGGTTTTCTTGGAGTGTAGGTGGTTTACGTTTGTATAGCTATTTGTACCTAGTTTGGACCATCTTAAATACTTATAATTATTATTTATTGATAACATTAAATATTAAAACAAAAATAATATTTAATGATATCAATAAATAATATAAATTATATCAGTACTAAAGAAGATTCAAACTACAGTCTGTTTGCTATACTTACGCGGGTTTCGGATTAAAAATTTTATGAGTATTTCCAGGTAAGTACCCGAAAGTTTGACCTGTTCTTTGGGGAAATATCAACTGGTTAAATGAAATGAAAAATAATGTACAACTTTTTAATTAAATAATAATGGAGAATCTTTTGTAGAATTGAGAGCAGAATTAAACTTCTTCATTAATGGAGTCTAATGTGGCTATTATAAACCTAATAATAATTTTATATTACACTTCACACAGAAAATATGGTCTATGTAGGTATAATAAGAGGGTTATTTAGCTCAAATAAAATATTTTCTAACATAAAAATTTGTTCCATGTAGAGAATTTCAAATGAAAAATAAAAAAATTGAACTTGCCAACAAAAATGAAAATCAGTCATTATCATCCAAAATATCAAAATCGTCATCATCATCATCACTGTCATCACCATTAATTGTTATTATGATTGGACTTAGCTTATTTTATTTTCACGAGTCCACCAATCTTCTATTAGTTTCTCGCACTTGGATATACAGTTCCGCCACACTTCTGGAGGTTGCAATTGAAAGTGCTTTTCGCCAAGTTTCCCGAACTGCGTCGTCACTATAACCATTAGGCCCAATATGGTTGTCATATTATTTTGCTATTCCCCATATATATTCGATGGGATTAAACTGGCAATGATACGGTGGCAGACGTAAAACTTGATGACCGTAACTTTCAATAATCTGATTCACAACAAAGGTTTTTGGTTTTGCGTGTATATTTGTCAAGCGTAATAATTCTGATTTTAATATATATTGAGGAAATGGTATGTTCCTTTGTCAACCATTCTTCAATTTTATCAACAGTCTAAAAATTCGTTGGACTTTTGTTTAATACTTCAGAATGGTAAGGTGCATTGTCTAAAATAATTACGCTGGGCTCACTTAAACCTGGGAGAAGTTTTTCATGCAACCATTTTACAAACATTTCTGTATTCATATTATCGTAATAGTCACTGGATTTTGATTTAGATAAAAATATTAATCAGCACCTTCTATAAAACCCGATTTCCCTCCTGCATGTAAAATTATGTGTTGCTTCCCTTCTCCATCGGTATGTTTGATGGACTTTACGTTATCATCTTGCTATATTCTCTTGGTTGCACCCCTAGAAAATATCCATGTTTCGTCCAAATATATAAAATTCGTCCCTTCTTCTTTAAATTTAGAATATTTTCTTAGAAAGTTAATTCTCTTGTGCACGACAGAACTTCTTTCACAAAGGGCCTTTCTGTTATCCTCCTTTTGAAATTTGAAACCCAAGTTATGTATCACTTGCCGTAGACTTGTTCTGCAAATGTCGTCAAATTTTCTATCTATTAATTTCGAGAGAATTGTATTTTAGGTCACATGTTCCTTGTTGGCCCTCATTCGATAAATGGCATCACAAATTTCAAATTTCTTTCCATATGGAATATCTTTCGTTTTCAATGATGGGCAAGTTTTGTGGTGATCTTCTTTCGGCAGTTCACTGTTGTGATTTTGTAATACTCCTCTTAATTTGGTTTCACTAATTCCTAGAGCATCGCATACGCGTTGTTTTACAGACATTACCGATTTTAAAGGACCGCCATTTTCTTTTTCATCCGTAAAATACTTATGTATACTACAAATTAGACTATCTATATCTAAGACACGTCTAGGCATTTTTAAAATTTCCACTAAATTTACAATATACATACATTGTCAACACTTGCAAAGAATCAATTCAACTACAATCTTGTAACAAATTTAGTACCTATCCTAATGTTATTTTAATTTAAATCTGACCATTAGGGCAATTTTACCTAATTTCTTGGTAAGAGGCTTATTGGAACTGGTTGTCAATGACTAATTTGCATAATTTTGTTAATCCGAAACCCGCGTAAGTATAGCGAACACACTGTAGGTACCAAAAGCTATACAAATGTAAACTACATTGTTTTATTAAATCCAAATACTAAATGCCAAGTAAAAAAAAGCAAAATACCAAGAATAGTTATAATAAACTACAATAAGATAAAATTACTATGAAAAGAAACAAGAATTATTGAATGATTCAATAATTGGTCTATAACCAACACATTTTTTTATTAGTCAATTTTAAACTTTAATATTTACAAAGTACCTACTTTAGCAAAATTTTGCCTTTCAGGTATAAAATTTGGTAACGTAACAGTGTTTAGTTATTCTATAGGGTGTTTTTTCGCGGGAATATTTATCAATAATGTAACTACATAAATTTTTTTTATTTCATGCTATATTGCATCATTATCTTATCAAAGTCCTGGAAAAAAGATATTATATCACTGAAAGGTGTGGCAACTCCCTTCAGGAATAATAAATGGCACGAGGGATCGAGTGGCACATCATTTTAAAGGCATTTTTCGAAATTTGCCCACTCCGTACGTAGGCGTGAAGGATATTTGAATACACAAGCGTAGATGTTAATTTTCACATATACGTTTACGTTCACAGCATCACTTCAACTAATAAGGTTCCATCAAGTTTATTAATAAAAAAAACTTAAGCTTAAGACCATGTGGGTCTTACAAGGTACAAATTTTATAATATCATATCACAGAAGAAGAATTCAACTTTTAGTTCTAAAACAGTCTTCATATGTCCTACTGGTGGTATTGATTTGAACTGTTCTCACTATTTGATCACACAAGACATTTGGATCCTGCCACACAGTATTAATGATACCTTGAAGATCTCTTCTACATGCTAATCTATTTATAATATTTTTCATTGCTAATTGAATTGCATTGTTTTTCTTGCAATATCTGTATTCTATGATCGCTTAAACAGTAATCAATAACAGCCAAATTACTGGAGTATCCATCACTTAACAAAACATAATCAATTAAAGTTCTTGAATTATTCTGTACTCTAGTTGGAATTCTATCATTTAAATTGATAAAATTTAGTGAATCAATTAGGTAATCAAGGTTTCTTTTGTACATATCATTTTTATCTAAAGAGTCTCCCAAAATAAACGTTTTCTTTTTATGGTTATTAATATTTTCTAACTTTTTTCTAAAACGTTTAAAAAAGTATTTTTATCAAAATCTAGAGGTCTATATATATCACCTATAACAAAGTTCCTTAGTATAGAACATTTTTCACTTAACCTGTCAATTTCTGCGAAATTCTAGCCTTCTTTTACTAGAATACCAACTCCACCTCCCGTTTTATTTCTTGATTCATAAATTGCATTATAATGTGGCAAATTAAAATAGTTTTTCTCACCAGGAGAAAGCCATGACTCTGTAAAAACAATTACATCAGGTAGATTGACAAGTTTACTAAGTGCTTCAATTTCATCTAACTTATTACGTACTGAGCGAGCGTTTAACAGGCGTATGCATAGTCGATCGCCAGCGATTCGCCAGAGATTCATATCTCGGTATCACCAGCAATTAGTTTTCGCCATAACAAATATAGAAGCACGTGTAATTTTTAGCAGAGAACGACTGTGCATCAGAATTTTCGTCTAGTGAACGTCGAAATCCTGGAGACTTCATGGCTTTCGCCAGCGATAAATCTTTGGCGAATCGCTGGCGATCGACTATGCTTATGGGTGTTAGTATAATACAGAAAAAACAGATTGATTTGCTTCATTTTTAAACTCATCAAGATTGTTATAAAATTTGGGACTTGTATTAGCCATTTTAATAAAGTTTTATTCAACAGTCTGTAGTTTTTTGTTTACATTAGTTATTAATTCCACTTAGAATATCTAATATTTATTTAGGTGGTGACGTTAATGCCGTGGATGTTGAGGAGCACTCAGTATTGACATGCGCTGTTCGCCAGGGATGTGAAAAAACAATTAATTACTTAGTAAAAAAAGGGGCTCGAGTCAATCATGAAGAACCAGGAGGCGTAACATCTCTAAGATTAGCTGTTTGGGCAAACAACACGCAAGCAGTAAGGAATTTAATTAATATTGAGTAATATGTCTTCACATTTATTACGTACAAAAAATTTTAGGTAAAAATCTTGATAGAAGGAGGCGCTAGAGTAATACATTCGCATCACTTGGTACACGTTGCTGTATCAAATAATAATTTAGATGTCATAAAAATGTTGGTAGATTCGGGGGCTATGATAAATTCTAAAGATGATCAAGGACAAACTCCGCTTATGATAGCCTGCTCTAGGAAGAATATCTCAATAGCCAAGTAAGACATCTTAAGTTTTAAATGTTTTTTGGGTAGTACGGTTTGTTAAGTGTTTATCAATATGTGATTCTTGTTTTAACAGGACTTTGACTATATTGAGACATTTGTTTATACATATCGTATGCAACTTAATATCTACAGAACTATCATATAGATATCAATTCTTTGAATTCTTTTAGGATGAGTCCCTATAATGGTTTTTAACAATTTAATTTACATGGATTTCATTAATCTTTTTGTTCGCTGCACTGCAATTTATATAATCATAATCTTAAAGAGTAGATTTGCACTGATCGAACGGTCATAGTCAGTTCATTGGATGTTGTCTTACTATTGAACCTAATTAAAAAGCAGTCCATTCATTATCAAGGGTTTTATTTACCTATTCTTGGGAACACTACTACTGTTTAATCATAGTGTTTCTGTTCTGATTTCCATGGCATAGGAATTCTTATTGCATTTTTAATTTAGCTGATTCTTATATTATCTTATTTCAGATATCTTCTTTCGCATGGCGCAGACGTAAATGCTGCAAGCCACATCGACGGCAAAACTGCGTTGCATGTCTGTGTTCAAGACGTCAGAGAAACGAAATGTGTTTTTCAACTCATCGACCTTCTCGTCAACCACGGCGCAGACATGAACGCTTCCAGCTATCAAGGAAATGTTCTTTTTTACTCCATTATTTTGGAAAATAGGAACGCAGCCGCCGCGTTGGTACAGAGAGGCGCTGATGTCAATTTGAGGGACGAGAGGGCGTATGTGGATAATTTAAGTTTGGCCAAAAGACACGGGGATTTGGATCTGGTCAAATTATTGGTAAGCAATGTTTTTTTTTAGATGCCTTCTATATTTTTAAAATATGCCAATCAAATTTACAAATAGCGAAAAAAAAAAGAAAATAAAGTCATTTTTTAAGATTATTTAAAAACGGTAGCTGCTATAAAAAAAGTTCTTGATAAAAATTGTAAAGCATAAAGTTTTACATAAAAGTGATATTTAGCATTTTTTGCTATTATTAATACTAACAGAATTAGGGTGGTTAGAAAGTAAGAGAAAATAAAATATATGACTTTAAAAAATCATAGCGATCTAAAAATTCAATGATTTTTTAGATTCTTTTTATTATATACTCGAAAAAATATAATCTTTCTTTTCAGTAAAATTAGTTTTTTATTTGTTTTTTTTTTAAGTTATAACAATTTTAATTTATAAATTTTCAATATATTATACGACTTTATGTGGTAAAATAAATTTTGAAGTGAACTTATTATGGCTTGCCTGACATAAAAAATATGAGGAGTGAAATAATAAAAACGACATCGCGACAGTTTAGACCCCACCTGAAGTTACATTAATTGTGAAGTGTGGTCATTAAAGAGCAAAAAAAGGTTTATAAAGAACACGAACATAACAATTTTAAACAATATTTTATCTCTCGTCAAATTTCTGACACTATTTTATATCTCGAACAATTTTTGAAAAAGATTTTAATAACTTATGATACTATTTTATCTCTCGAACAGTTTTTAAAACTTTTTTTTATCTCTTAATCTATTTTTAAACAATATTTTATTTCGAGCAATGTTTCTACAATATTTTTTGAACAATATTTGATCTCTCATGCAATTTTTGAGCAAAATTTTAACAATTTCTAACACTATTTTATCTCTCGAGCAATTTTTATTAACATTTTTTATCTTTCTAGCAATTTTTAAACAATGTTTTATCTCTAGAGAAATGTTTAACAGTATTTTTTAATTCTCGAGTAATTTATGAACAAGATTTTAACAATTTATAATACTGTTTTATCTCTCGAACAATTTTTAAACCTTTTTTATCTCTTGAGCTATTTTTAAGCAATAATTTATCTTTCGATAAATTTTTTACAATGTTTTATGTCTCGAGTAATTTATAACAGCTTTTTTTTATCTCTCGAGCAATGTTTGTACAATATTTTATCTCTCGGGCAATTTCCAATAGTATTTTATCGTTCGAGAATTTTTAAACAATGTTTTATCTCTCGAGGAATTTCTAACAGTATCTCTCGAGTCAATTTTTAACAATATTTTACTTCTCAACAAATTTTCAACAGTATTTTATCCCTGGAGCAATTTTTGAACACGATTTTAACAATTTATAATACTATCTAATCTCCCGAACAATTTATAAATATTTTTTATCTCTCATTAAATTTCTAACACTATTTTTATCCCTAGAGCAATTTTTAAACAATATTTTACCCCTCAAGCAATTTCTAATACTATTTTATTCTTCGGCCAATTTTTAACACCCTTTTCTACCTCTCAAGCTTTTTTTGAACAATATTTGATCTCTCGTGCAATTTTTGAACAATGTTTTATCTCTCGAGAAATGTCTACTATTTTATCTCTGAAGCAATTTTTAACAACAATTTTAATTTCTCTAGCATTTTTTGAACAATATATTTTACACTTCAAATGGAACATACGCTGAAAAAAGTACTAGATTTTGCTTTCGAGTGTATTAGAGTACCAGATTCTCAGAGAATGTACTAGATCTAGTACAATTGTACTAGACTGGCAACACTGGTCTGTATTACCAAAATCAAAATGGTGCCCCAGCGGTTGCAAGGATATTTAACCGAAACCATCCTGAACGTAGCGTTCGCCATAAGTACGTAATGGAATTGATTTCAAAATTTGTTGAGACGGGTTCAGTAATGGATAAAAAAATGGGCACCCATTGGAATTGTGAATGATGAAGGAGCAGCTGTGGCGGTATTGGGCCATGTCCGACTTATGCCAAACACGCAATCTGTCCGACAACTTTCTGCAGTTTCCGGTATTGGCTAATTTAACGTTTTCAGAATTTTACATAAACACAAGTTCCATCCGTACAAAATTAAATTAATTCATGAATTAAATGATGATAATATGGATCTAAGGCAAGAGTTTTTAGAAATTATGGCCGAGCATATCAACAATAACCCAAATTTCTTGTACAACGTTTGCTTTTCACACTCAATATCCAAAAAAGCTTAACGTTTGGGTAGGAATTTTGGGAGACAACCTAATTGGACCTCTGTTTATTCCTGGTAATTTAAATGGCGAAATTTATCTTGAAATGGTGGAAAATGCGATTGATCCGTTAATAACAGAAACATTAGAAAACAATCCTCTACTAATTGAACAACAATTGCATTTCCAACAAGACGGAGCTCCTCCTCACTATGCCGCACCAGTTCGCCAATACCTCAATTTACAATACCCTGGTCGTTGGATTGGAAGAAGAGGTCCTATGGAGTGGCCTGCTCGCTCTTCTGACCTGAACCTTCTGGACTTTTTCTTGTGGGGACATCTTAAGTCCAAGATTTTTGTGACTCGGCCTGAAAATTTGGACGAACTACGCCAACGAATTGTAAATGAGTGTCGTCAAATAACTCCAATTATGCTGGACTATGTTAGAGGAGACGGTTTTCAGTCAAGATTGTATTATTGTATGGAAGACAATTTGAATATTTGATTTAAAAACGCAGTTTTGATTTTTTTTATTGTAAGCATGATAAAACAATTAATTTTTTTAAGAATGTGATTTTTTCATACGCCGTTGTAAAGAGGCTTCCAAGACCTTACAAATGAAGTATCACTTAACCCCTCTTCCCTATTCAATTTTAAGGGGTTGAAGCGCCCCCTCATAGGGGGTTGCTCGTTCAAGCCTTAAATATACGACAAAAGATGTCTCCCAAAGAAAATCATGCGACGTGTTTCGGGAAATTTTTTCCAATTACTACAGGATAAGAAATATACGGGGTGGCTCGCCTGAGATGGAACACCCTGTATATTTCTTTTATTCATCTTTATTTATTTTTATTTGTTTTCATTTATTTTTTTTAATTTATTTTAATTTGTTTTAATTTTTTTTAATTTATTTTTGTTTCATTTATTTCGATTTATTTTTTTAAAGTTTTTTTACTTTTATTTATTTTTGTATATTTACTTATTTTTGTTTGTTTTATTTATTTTCAATTAATTTTATTTATTCTTATTAACCTATTTTTATTTGTTTTATTTATTTTTATTTTATTTTTTAATAATTTTTATTTATTTCTTTAATAGAACTTCATGTCAAACAAGCCACTTCAAAATTTATTTTCCATATAAAGGTATATATTATATTGCAAATTTATAAATTAAAATTTAATTCTCTTTCACTTCTTCAGACTGTTTCCTCATTTGTTTAATTCTTTTCACCCTTTATTTACTATTTCTTTTCGACTCCTCATTCAACATTTTTTTCTCTTCTTTCTTCTCTGATTGTCTACCCATTCCTTGCTCTCCTGTTTTCCTCTGTTCAACTCTGCTCTCCCTACGATGTCTCATCTCTGTACTCTCCTTGTCTTTTAATAATTGTAATAAAATTTCCATTCGACTTTTTTTTTTGTTTCTTTTAACTCTCCAACATAACCTTTAACATTCTATTCAATTTAACATTTGACATGTCTCCAAATTTTCTAACTTTTCGTTTTTAATTTGACAAACACAAAATTCCCTGTGACAATTTTGAATTTATTTTCTCGACAATTTCCAATTATTATTTATTTCTATATCACTATGTTTATTTATATTTTTTTGTATTAATATTATTGTATTAATTTTACATTTCTTGTATTAATTATTATTGTTGATTTATTGTAATTTGGTGTGAAGCAGCCAAGGATTTAAATTTCTTTGAATTGCCAATTCGGTTAGTGTAGCTATTAGTAGCAGTGAGGAGTAAACTTGAGGATCCAGGTTCGATTCTAGACTGGGGCATTTTCACTCTACATTTTTCAATTTTTTTTTATTTGATTTCACCTAGGACTGATAATTTTAAAATTTCCAAAATTGTAACCGATTTTCTATCGCTTCTTAATAATTAAACTTCGATGAAATCGCAAAGGTTTATAGAAAGGCAAAGCACAGTCAAGGCATAATTAAAACAGTTAATATGAGGGATACGAAAGAATTATTTGAAATTTTATTTTTCAGGTCTATGGAGGATTTAAATTGTCGGACATGTCCTGGGACCCTCGCGCCCTAAGGACCAAATCTCCGGATAGAGCCTGTGATTTTTTAGTTAATGTCAAAAGTAACCCTCTAAACTTAAGAGAGCTTTGTAGAATAGCAATTAGAAAAAAAATCGGGCCCAAACAAATGAAATCACGTATTTTAGCACTGCCCCTTCCCGTTGTTTTACAACGATATCTCACTTTAGAGATACTCTAAGTTTAGATATTAATTCCAAATATTCTGGATAAAAAAAAGTTATTTTTTTTATGCAATTCCAGTTTTGAAGTTTTTTTTTTTTCACAAAATAAATGGAATATATAAAAAAATATATATTAGTAGTTGTTAATTTTAAATAATAATTTTTCAGAAATTTGGGATTACAATAAACTTAATGATAATGTATTTTAAATTGATCTCACAATGGTTGGATCAGTTACAAAAAAGAATTTAAAATATGTAGTTCGTATTTAATAATGTAGAGAAATATAGGGGACGAAAGAAAACGATTCTTTGACAATACACTGATTATTTTAACATTCGATTGCCATAATAATTATTCTATTTGTCACTTGGTGTATGTATTTTTTTCTCTATTTCCTTAATAGAGTGTTTGTTAAAGATAAATACATATTTTGTTCTGTAATGTTTTTGCCATCAAAAGGTTCTTTTATTCAGGGTGTCCCAGCTAAAACTTGTCACCCCCTAATCTCGTGAAAAAAATTGAAAATCGCTCAGACCCATCGATTTTTATTTCAAGGGGGAACACTTTCACCAAATACATCTACAATTGTGTTGTCAACCCCCACATCCCCAGCACCCCCTACTTCAAAATTTTCAATGGGACTACTTACTTGTGATACATCATTTTAAAGGGAATTTAATCCCAAATACATCGGTGTACTGAAATTGAGGATCGATCAAGTGTTGTTGAAGTTTTAATGAAAACTAAGTTTTATCAAGATATTTTTATTTTTCATCACCTAAAATGTTATCATCATATTGAAAATTAATATGCTTTTAGAAATAATAGATTAAAAGGTAAGACAGACGTTTTTATGCAAAAAAAAATAAATTATCGCCATGTGTTTTTGTATAGGCATATCTTTGTTGAAGCCTTGGTATATTGATGTATTCGATTCACTTCAGTGCTGAATAAAAACATGAACGAGAGAAGTCTATGAGAAATAAAGGGGTCGCTGTTGCAGTTGTAGGACATGCAGTGATGGACAACATTCAATCTTTAAGACAACTTGAGACTATTTCTGGAGTTTCTAAAAGCAGCGTACATCGAATTATAAAAGAAGCAAAAGTCCATCCTTATAAAATGCAGAATGTACAAGAATTAAATGAAGATGATCCTGACAGACGTACAGAGTTTTGTGAAATCATGAGTCAATTATTGATTGGTGATAATAATTACCTCTACAATGTGTGCTTTTCTGACGAATCTTATTTTTATGTAAATGGACATGGAATAGGCACAACTGCAGATACTGGAGTGACGTAAATCCCCATTGGTACAGGGAAACTCATTCACAAATTCCCCAGAAATTGAATGTTTGGGCTGGTATTCTGGGAGATCATAGTGTAGGTCCATATTTTATTGATGGTAACCTCAACGGACAAAAGTATCTTGATCTTCTTGATACAACGATGAACCCCAGAATCACTGAATTACTTGAAAACGATGATGGTCTACTTGAAGGTCAGCTCACATTTCAACAAGATGGAGCTCCTCCACATTTTGTTTCACCTGTACGTCAATTTTTAGATGACAATTTCACAGGGAGATGGATTGGAAGGCGAGGACCAATAGAATGGCCGGCTAGATCTTCTGATTTATCACCATTAGACTTTTTTTATGGGGTCATTTGAAATCCAAAGTTTATATTACACAGCCAAATTCTCTTGATGATCTACGCAGGAGAATTGTTGTAGAGTGTCGTGCAGTGACTCCAGAAATGTTGAGAAATGTGCGAAGACATTTCGAAAATCGCTTATACTTCTGTATGGAACTGAATGGTTCACATTTTGAACCTTTCATATGATGATAACATTTTAGGTGATGAAAAATAAAAATATCTTGATAAAACTTCAACAACACTTGATCGATCCTCAATTTCAGTACACCGATGTATTTCGGATTAAATTCCCTTTAAAATGATGTATCACAAGTAAGTAGTCCCATTGAACATTTTGAAGTAGGGGGTGCTGGGGATGAGGGGGTTGACAACACAATGATGATGTATTTGGTGAAAGTGTTCCCCCTTGAAATAAAAATCGACGGGTCTGAGCGATTTTCAATTTTTTTCACGAGTTCGGAGATTAGGGGGGTGACAAGTTTTAGCTGGGGCACCCTGTATGTATATTTTTTTTGTGATAATTGTAATAAACATTACAATAAACATAATTAACCATCGAATTTTGAAAGAGTTACTCAAAGATAACCAAAATTCCAGGTGTAAGTATTAGTAAATTAATTATTTGACCAAATCCAGTTAGAAGACAAATAATAGTAAATTAAAATTTTATTTTTCAGCTTTTGTATTAACTTTAGTGAATTGATAATATAGGTATTTAATATATTGTGCTATTCGCTGGCGACAATAGAAAAAACGTTATTTAACAGCTATAATTTTGTACATAAAATAACAAATGAGAAGCCAAAATCGATTCTGGAATTGTTTTTATATTTACAACTGCGATATTTTACCTGAAATAAATATGTCCTTATTTTCCTGTCTGATTAGATAAGGATATAATTTAAATATTTTAATTTTAGAAATAATTTGCTACCCAGTTTGTTTTTGTGGTCCTGTACGTTTATAATTAAAAGCCGCTGTTAATTTTTAAATAATTTAAACGGCAAATTAATTATATAGTTAAAATTATACCAAAACTTCATTCTTTTTTGCAACTGATCATATTTTAATTCTAGTCAGTTAGTATCTACTTATTATCAGCTTTATTTTATACTCTATACTCATTTTGTTTAATTTTACATAATATATATAAATAATAAAAATTAAAAATGTGTTTCTATTTCATTTAATGGAAGAGTTATTTACATGAGCAAAAGAAACTCGTAGTTTGTGTTTGAGAGTAATTTCAAATAATTTGCGTAATGTATACACTGTCTGAGAATTTTCTCTCAGGAAATCGCAAATTTGTGAAAGGTAAAAATGTATTTTAAGTAAAGTTTAGACGTTTTGTGAAAATTACGAAATGAAGGAAAAAGGTTGCTTGGATCAAAGAACGTTGAAGTCACTTTTCCAAGTCATTACAGAAATCCATCATAAAATATATGTCAATCAGTGGTGGCTGGTGGTAATTTAAAATGGGGGTTCAATTTTTTCCAATCATTTTAGCATTTGTATTTAGTTTGCTTAAAAACTGTGTGCTAAGCTAATATCCCTCACAACTTCTTTGGCATCATCCGTTTTAATACAATTACGATTTTTTTTAAGATTCCTAAGTCATGAAAATATGGCTTGATAACATCACGACAGTCGTACATAAAAATATCGCATAATGGTGAATACAAAAAGTTCGAAATTCTCAATGCTAAACAATGTTATTTCTGTAAGAGACAGTACAAAACACATGTAAGCTGTCTATATATGGATAAGTTATAATTTCAAATAAAATTCATCCGGCAACGTCGCAAATATATGAATGGTGTGCTATAAAATTTGTGACTTCCTCATATTAATTTTAAGGGTTTGTTTTGGTTCAAATAGAACCGCTGATTCCAGTTCTCAAATCCAGTGGACGAATTAATTGTTCAGGAACACGTCGCGAGTGTTATTTTGCTACTAGGCGTCAAGTGGAATTCCAATGTTGCCAAGTTGTAATAATTTTACGCAACTACCCGTCGACTGCTTTAAAAATCTATATCTTTTTACCGAGACGGTAAAAAAAATCAGCGTTTTTTTAGAAATTTTTATAACTTGTTGATTTACATTACGTTAGTTTTTAAAAAATATGGTAAGAACCGTTTTTGAGATATCTTGAAATAAATGCATTGCTTCTGTACATATAAACATTTTGATTGTTAATATCTCGTTTTAGTTACGTAAAAAAATACTTTCATTAACCTTATATTTCAATGTTATTGAATTCTTAAGAAAAACCGTTTTACGAGTGAACTTAAATGATCCATTACTAGAAATGGTATATTCTCTACAAGTGCAGATACTATTTTAATTTCTACCGTTTTTATTTTATCTGAAACTAACATTTTCAAAGAACTGTTCAATCTAAAAAAGCAAAAGTTTTACCTGTTTTGATTAGTTTTTAGATAGGACAAACTTTAGAGCTATCAGTGAATCCTGAAATATGCTCTTTAGCATTTCATTTTTTATATACAATACAATAGCCACTGAGCCATCCTGAGCTTTGCAAATCCAAGATAAAAATAATGGGTTTTGTTCCCGTTTGGGCCGTTAGAACTGTTCAAAACTCTATTTACAATACACCACACTATAAGTAAAAGCAATCGTATCAGGTAAATTCAAATACGCACTGCGAACCGCGAAAAAAATACAAAAATGGATAGTTTTTTTTATTAATCAATTATTTCAATTATTCGCTTGTTTGCGATTTTTTAGAGATAATTATTATATACGATTTTGATTAATCAATTACAATATCATATTGTTTTCAAACACTACAACTATTAACTAGTTGTACTGTGGTGGTAAATAATCGATTCATAAAAATAATCGAAAAGAAATCTATTATTGATATGATAAATAATAGGAAAGAATCGATTAACCGAAAAGAATCGATTTTCTGAAAATAATAGGTTAATCGAAAAGCATCGATTAATCGAATAGAATTGAATAATCGCAAAGAATCTAATTATTTTTAAGTAATCGATTAATCGAAAATAACGTTTATTTTAAATAATCGAAAAACGAGTATTTATTTTGATAATCGCTTGGTCCTAACGTTTTTAGTAATCACTTTTAGCAACACAATTATTTAAATGGAAAAAACTGTCTACTAAAACTAGTTAAAAAAGCTAAAAATACCAAAAAGGCAGAAATCTACTAAATGTGGCAACGTTGGGTTAAAGGCCCGCAGTCAAAATGACCTTGACCAAGTGCAACAACTAACGTTGGACCAAGCGAAGTTAACAAACTGTCTGAAAATGGCGAGCTTTCAAGCAGGCACACTGTTTCACGGATTTCTTGACCTCTTTTTAACCACAGACATTCGCGGAGACCTCGGATAATCAGGGTTCTACTGTATTTGGATCCTCACTTTTTAATTTGTTTACTAATACCTTATCACCAAGAGTAGATTTTCTGTCTATCCATTCTTACTCATATTTTTTCTTGTATTTCCTCTTGTTTTCATGAAAATTGACTTAAAATTTGCTTATACATTGTGTTAACTTTCCCCCAATGACGCCAGAAGAACGGTACAGAATAAGTGATGCTATTTATTGGACAATTTTGAGTGGTCCCCCGATTTGTATTATCCAAGATGACCGTAAGATGGTGACATTTTACTCATTTTCTTTCAAATAATTCAAACAATATCCCCTCAGCGCTGCAATACTATCTCGAATTTTAACATGGGGGATTCCATTCTAAAAGTAAGTGATCTATCTGTGGAAAGCCTCTTCTATCTTCTCTTGCGATAATATTTAAGTTTTTTCGCTCAGATATCTTTTCTGTCATTGAGTGTTGTTTTTTGCTGATTGAAAAATAGAGGCAAAATTTTCATTCTAAGGAAGTCTCAATATCTGAATTTTAATTACTTAGAGATATTAGGCCTTATCTTTAATTTGTCTTAAAACAAACTACAGGCATCGCATCCTAATTTGTCAGTAGTGGGGTAAAGTTTGCGCACTACTGACACACCTTCAAACGATCTTACTGGCTACTATTAAAGCTCAGTAGCGTATACTACTTTCGCTAAAATAAATTTTCTAGGATTTTTAAAACGATCACGCTCAGATTAATCACAAAATTTTAAGAAAATTACCTAAAATTTTAATCCTTAATAACGGTCAAATCAAGTCCGCCCCCGTTTCTAAGAATGGCTATCATTTGATGATATTATAGGAAATACCAGATTACCTACACAATGGATCAAACGCAATTATGTAAATAGGTTTTTAAGTACTACAGAACTTGTTAAAATTTATTTATTATCTATGAGCTAAAATGTATTCTGTTAAAAAAATTTATTGGGTGAAAAAAAAATGGTGATTTTGCAATTGATATCTTTAATATTTTAACAAAATGTGAGGGTGAAGTAGAAGTGGTGAAAGTCATCAGCATACAAATATCAAATATTAAAATAAGATAACGAGGATTTTTTAGAAATATGTTACAGGTCAACAAATACTGAATAACTTCTATTGTTGATGTAACTACTATCAAACAAAATAAACAAACTTAAAAGAGTTCTAAAAAATCGTCATCAAAATCATCACTATCGCTAGAACTATCACTGCTATCTTCATTAACATTAATAATAACTGTAGGAATTACAACGTCATCCATTATAATTTCGGGATCTAAATATTTATCTTCGACAGCTATTACATGTACACATCTTTTTTTTCAGTCTTCTTGGGTTACTGATTTAAATTCAATTTCAGCTAACATTTGTATATATGCTAATTTAAAATGAATATTCTTTATAGCCACGTTATTTTTTACTACATCCCAGTTCATTTCTATTGGAGTTAAGTCTGGGTGGTATGGTGGTAATCTTAAAACTGTATGACCTTGTTCGGAGAATAATCTATCAAATTTGTATTACTTGAATCTATTTTTATGCTGTTTTATTAATTTGTAAAGCTGTAGTCGTAATAAGGAAGGTTGAAATTCAATATTGTTGGACGTCAACCAGTTTATCATTTCAGCTTTTCTTGAATTTGAATTCGGAGCAAAATTTTCTATAACATTGTGATACGATGCATTATCCACAACTACAATACCATTTGGTATTAACAGTTCTCTTAGCCACTTTTCATAATTTTCTTGATTCATATCATTATGATAATCACCAGATTTGGCCCCAGACACAAACATTAATAAACTGTTAGGAATAAAGCCTACGTTACCACCAACATAAACCATAAGTCTCTTTCCTTTCGAAATGGTGGAAAACAAACCTTTTGCATTATCATCACCCCAATTATGTGATGATGTATGGCTACTATGTATATAAGTTTCATCAATATATACAATGCGGCGGTTTTAAGAACGAAAATATCTAATTTTTTTAATATATTCTATTCGTTTTTCCCTGATGTCAAGCAGTTCTATTAGAACATGTCTGTTGTTTCGCGTTTTTCGCCACTTGGACCCAATTTTTTTTAAAATAGTTCTTAATGTTGTGTAGCTCCCTTTCCACTCAATTTCCTTTTTTAATTTTTCACTAAGAGTTTTGACTGTTACGCGCATACCTTCTGTTTCATGAAATCTATGAACTATATCTCTGATTGTTCCAATATTGTAGGATGGAATGCGCTTTTTTGGACTTTTAAGCAATTGTTTAGGTATGCTCGACGTAGACTTTTCACCTTTTGATATCTCACCTTCTATAGTTATTCGTTCAATTGTTTTTACCGAGTATCCTGTAGCTTCAGCAACTTGTTCTTTAATGTCAGTGAGAGTTTTGGAATCATCGTTACAACACATTGTCTATAAATTTCACTATCATCGTTGTTTTTTTCAAAACTATTTGTTGCCGAGGAACATTTTTTCATAAAATATTCGAATAGATGAAATATTATTTCCTTTGCTTGACTACCTAAATGTTTCGGCATTTTAACACAAGTAAGTCACTACTCAAAAGAAAACACTACAAACAAATAAAAAATAACTCAAAATCTGCACGCTACACAAACACAAATTCAAGAAAATATTATCATCTACTAATCACCCCCGACAACACGGCTATTGTTTGCATCTCTCTTTAATAGTTACAGTAGGCGTTGACAATTGAAATTCGAGATTAACGCGCGTCCCCTCTTCAGACAAATTAATTTGCAATGCCTGTACAATTCGTTGTTTCATTGATCTAGCTTTAATGAGATACATTCCCAAATAGGAACTTCCTTGTGTGTCAAATTATATACATATTGCCTAGCAGAATATTCTAGTTTTTCTTCATTACAGACTACCTCGCCAACTAGCGACGTCGCTACAATATAAAAAGAAAACTTCTAGTCGGTAGAATCTCACCCATACCCTACCAATATTACCATCCTCTTTACGTCTAGTGCGAGTTTGTAGCAACCTCTGGAGAGACAAAACCAGACCACCACCGTAGGGATAGTAGCAAGTCCAGATATATAATTATTTGGAAATTTCAATACTGAACTCATAAGAGATATTACAGTTGTTTTTTTTAAGTTAAATAAAATTGTTAGGTTTTCTTTTTTAATTGCAAAAGTATACTGAATTTCCTTGGAGATTGATGAAACGAAACAGATGACGCCCAACTTTTCCTTCTCCTAAATACTTTTTTAATTTCTTGTTTTTTTTATGAATTAAATCAAATAGGATCGCGGTAATTCGACATCCATGGTTCTTCTGTTAAGTGGTTTTGAACCGAATCCCGCTGAGTTAGCAAAATAAATAACGAGGTCTGAATGCTTTTTCTCTCGAGAGTAAGAGTTACCTCTAACTTTTTGGCGCCCAACGTGGGGCAACTCATCTTTATTTCAAAGTATCCATGGGTTAATGCACTGTATATATACAAAATATCCCCTATGAACAACTGTTTGACTTTCATTTACAATTTTTAAGGTAAGTACTAACAAAAAAAAAATTACTCCTGTTAGACGTAATTTGAAAAAAATAATTTTGTAATTAAAAAAAAAAAAATGTTTTCGTCTTTTTTTATTAGTAGATACAGTGTAATCTTATATTAAAAATAAAATTATAATTCAATAAGTGACTATCTAAGCGCCTTATAACCACCAATTTTCAACAATATGACACATCAATTTTAATTGGCTATCACTTCTGCATATTGTCTTTAACATCTGTTAAGTCTGCTTTGAACCCTCTAAAATCGGCCACTTCGCTCAAAGATGGTGCTACTTTTAAAAGTTTTTTGCAGATTTTATAATGGTTATTTTCAGCTGCCCTATGTAGTGCCGTTTTTCCATCTGAATCCTGGATTGAGGGGTCAGCGTTTCTTGATAACAAGAAATCTACAATATCGCCTTTTCCTAAAAATGATTGCAAAAATTGGTATCTAGGTATCTATAAAAACACTATTAACAAAAATCCATTATATCATTAAATGCTAACGATTTCTTTTTATTTCATTTGTAGATGTAGATAATTGGTAAATTTTACCATATTACAATCAAAATACATACAAGGTGTCCGGGAAAATGTGGGAGGTCTCTCGGATTCAGATAGAACATTAAAAAATAAGATAAGTTCCCATAATTTTTTTTCCTAGCGGCCCTCCCTACGGAGATACGGCCTCCAAAAGGACGCCACTGGAAATCAATTTTTCTTGAATAACTTTCAAACTACGTAATATAATTTAATGAAAATTGAATATGATAAACAGTAGTAAGAACCTCTTAAAATACTGCCCTTAAAACATAATTAGCTTGTTTAGTTTACCAGGGGCGGACTAGGTTGTACATTTTAATACTGTATGATAAGGTATAACAAAAAATAAATTTTGATACCTTGAACATTAAGCTAGAGAAAAGGTAATCTTGAAGCTGCTGGTGATCAAGGAAAGGATTTGAATATATTTTGGTGTCGTCGGCGTAAAAAGATTTACTGCACTGAATGTGATATTGTATATCACTAGACTACGCCACAAAAAGTAATGGACCCAGAACCGAACCCTGGTGCACACCACTTACAACTGATTTTTTAATTGAGAGTGAATTACCCACTTTCACACAAAATTTTCTGTCCGTGAGGAAAGCTTCTATCCAGTTTTTTAGAACTCTACGGATTCCAAGATGTTCCAGTTTGAAGGGTACACGGTCAAAAGCCTTTGAAAAGTCCAGGTATAAGACGTCAATTGGTTGTTTGTTATCCAAAGCTTTCGTCCAGTCATTAACGCATTGAATAAGATTAGTCATTGTTGATCTGCCTTTTAAAAATCCATGTTGTTGATTAGGAATAACATTTTGGTACAATAGAAAAGAGGACATTTGTTCGCAGATTATGGATTCCATAACTTTACAGATGAGTGGAGTGAGACTAATAGGGCGATAATTGTTTGGGTCTAATTTGTAACCTTTTTTAAAAATGAGGTTGACTGAAGCAGATTTCCAAACAGATGGTAAGGTGTGCTATTTTATGGATGAGATCATAATTTGCGACAGAGGTACTGCCAAAACTCCTGAACGTTTTTTGAGAAAAAAGGAAGAAATACATACTAAGCCAGGAGTAGCGTTAGCCTTAAGTTTTTGCAGATGATCTTGTACAAATTTTGATATAAAACCAAGATAAGCTGAGACTTTGTGATTTAAATAATGGTAAAGAGACGACTGAAAGAGGTGGTTCAATAGAGAATACTTCAGAGAAAGTTTTTGATAAGAGTTCAGAGGTCTCAAAATTGTTTCTACACATAGTACCAACTGTATTTTGTAGTAAGGGGGTTGATACTTTAGATATCAATGAGGTCCTAATGTATTTATGTAGCTTTTTGAGGTCTAAACTGGCAATTATAAGTTCTTCATATTCTTTTCTGGCTTAAGCTCATTGGAGAATCTTCTGTGCCTTTGAAACTCGTCTACTAGGTTTGTGCATTTTTACTTTCGCCACAGCGTTCTTTGTTTCATCTTGTTACGATAAATTCTTGTTGTTACAATGTGTAAATAAAGTTGTAATAATGCTGGTGAAATTATCCCACATTTTACAGGGGTCATCATCATGAGGGCCAAGTACTTCTAACCAATTGACTGGTAAAAATTCTCTACACATCTTATCGAAATTTGTGATGTCTATGTCTATTAAGCTATCATTTTTTGAAGGAAATTCCATGTTAAACTAAATGTGGCAAGTTCTAACCAAAAAATTGGATATTCCTATAGGTGAGTCTATCTCTGGATCTGTTAATAGCTGCTCATCGTTGACAAATACTAAGTCTAGAGTAGAGGGCTTATTATTGAGTTGAAAACAAGTGGGTTTAGTTATCAGTTGATGTAGATTAGAGTTTAGAATAATACCCATAAATATATTTTTTGGAGTAACTTCATCAGATACAGAAGTTATAGGCCAAGATATATCATTAAAATCTCCAACAAGAATAAGGTTTTCTAGTGAGGACAGAAACTCAAAATTTTCAATAAGAGTTAGAGTATCAGTTAAAGAACAGTCTCCAGGGCGATAAAAACATGCCAAATTTATTTTGTAAGATTTGTAAGTTATTTGAATAGCAAGAGTCTCAAGTTGGAAAGAGAAAGGTTTAATGGCGTTAATGTGAAATTTTCAGTAATATTAAGTAATAGATAAATACACATTACATCTGTAAATAGAATAGCCTGGGATATTAACAAGAGAATCAGGACCAGAAGAGGAAAGGCAGCTTTCTGTGATGAGAATAATTTTTGGTTTGAGCAGTTGAACATTACACAAAAGTTTGTTAAATTTAGCTTTAAAAAAATGAGCCAGTCGTTAAAACAAGGAGTGTTTGCGTTACTGCCTAAAGTTTACTATTTTGGGGATTTCGTTCGTATATTTTATAGTAATATTTGACTCTCCATTGTTTTTTCTGTCTTTAAGTTTAGTACGAAGATCTGAAAGATACTTCCATTTCAATAATTGGGAAAATTCTAACTTTGAGTTTTAACACATCCTGTGTACAACATAGCAAATAAATGACGTCTATTAAAATTGTTTGATGATGTGAAATCAATTAAATATGTGTAATTACCTACAGGGTGTTTTGCTTTAAAAAAGTATAAATTTGGTCAGCCCCTCGTTTATGAACCTGTCTGTATATTTAAGAATATTTGTTAAATATGGTCATACAACTTTTAAATTAAAATTTTATTCGTATTTCCAGTAATAAAAAGATATCTATCAATTACGCACTGATGACACAAAAAAATTAATCGCTTGGCAACCCTGTAATATTTTTTAAAAACACTCTAGGGTTGAATAAAGTATTCCCAAACCATTATTGAATTTAAATAAAATACAAGATGTTCCATATAAGGTCGGTCTTTTCACCTTCAGATAAAGTGCCAGGTAATTTTTGTCTCCCAAGTAACTTAAAAAATAATCTTTTCACTTCTGGATAAATCTAATTTCTGAATTATAACTTAACTTAAATGCCTGATAAAATACTTCACTGATGGATAAACAGGTTAAAAACTACTGGATACTTACTATACATATTTACTTGAGAAAACAGAAAATTAATTATCTGGCAGAAAGTAACTCTCAGATAATATATCCGTCAGTTAGTTATCTGGAACTTTATCTGAAGGTGAAAAGACCGACCCTTAAAAATTAGAAATATTTATCTGACAGGCAAAAACGTAACACCCTGTATATTCAAAATTATTTTTAAAATGTCTTTTTCAAAACTTGTTTAATGTCTATAACAGAAATGGAAATATCAAGCAATTACTCACTAATGGGACACCCTGTATGTAAAAAAAATGCTTTCAGTAATATTTGTATGGAAAATGTATGTATTTAGTTCACCTGTTAAATATTTACAGCGGTGATACAATAGGTTGTACAAAATAACTGGAAAAAGTCTGTAATAACTAGACAGAAAAGTCATGTATTGGACATATCAGATTTTTATACAGTGTGTCTATTTGAGTATGGAAAACTGTTTTATTATTGTATTCATGAAAAAATGTATTCTTGATAAAAAGTTCTGCATGGTCCAAAACTTAAAATGCAATCATGCAACCATCAGATATAATTTTTTTTAAGCTGTATACTAGGTTTTTCAAAGTATATGTATTTTGCTTTAAAGTAAAATACCTTTATTTTTAATAAACCCCATATATGACTAATAAAATTTGATATATGATGGTTGTAGTTGAGGTTTTAGACCATGCTCGACTTTTTATTAAGAATAACTTTTTTATTATTAATATTAGGAAAAAAAGTTATTCCTATTCATAAAAAGTCGAGCATGGTCTAAAACCTAAAATACAACCATCGGATCTCAAATTGTATCAGACATATACGAGATTTGTCAAAAATAGAGTAACTTTACTCTTCAGCAAAAATCATATTTTTTACAGACCTCGTATACGATATTTGATGGTTGCATTTTAAGTTTTGGACTATGCAGAACTTTTTATAAAGACTAATTTTTTTCACAAAACCAATAATAAAAAACTTTCCCATATTCCAACTTAAGTAGACTTTACAGATGGCAATAAAAATCTGTTATTTATTGAAAATAAAATACTGATGGTACGAGTGTAAAAGAGAAAAATCCACTTATGTTAATTAATTGAACCATGTATGTTTAGTACATCTAAAATGTTTCCTAAATTCGTTGTCATCATATTCTTCAAACAGATAATTTCTAATGTCTATAATTTCTAATATTTTTTCATCAGGAGAGTCCAAGGAGTTTAAGTAATACATTTTAAGTTTCTTCATTATTTTCCTGATATTTGAGAAACAAAAAAAATGTTAAATTATGATCTGCATGTGTCAGCTACTTATCAAGTACATATCCCACCAAAATGACAAGATATTTATTCCATAACTCACAGAATGGATAACTCTTGTTATATGTTTCAGAAACCAAATTTGGCCATAAGTCATATAAACTATTTATTAAATATCATTAAAAACTACTTTTTTTATTTTACCTGTAGTAGCAGCACGACAAAGTGCAGTTACCCCTCCTTTGGTAACAGCATCCACATTGGCCCCATTTTCCATCAAAATCTCGCATACTTTCAAATGGCCATTTCTAGCAGCATAATGTAAAGCAGTATATCCAGCAGAGTCTCTCACATCAGCATCACCTTTATCTTTTAAAATCTTATTAACTCTTTCTAAATCTCCATACTGGGCAGCATACCAAATACCTCTTTCAAAATCCATTTCATCCAAAGACTGGGACGCCACTGAGTGTTTGTAACATTTGCAGGTATCATCATTATCACACATTATTTTTGGGTTATTTGGAATTCAGTCTCCGCAATTGTAGATTAAATGTTCTGTTCTCTAGACCTTAATAGTATACAAAAAGTGTAAATAAATATGTACTACAAAAATGTACCTGAGAATACCTAATTTTAAAATACAGAGATGTACCAAAAAATAAGGTACAGATTATATTTTTATGTCTAGTTAAAGAATTACATTTTTTTAATATAAAATGTGTTTAAAATGTTTCTTTTGAATGAAAGTGCTTTGATATATTTCAATATATCCTAGAAGTGCTATGTGTTTTGAAACGAAATTTTATTATTATTAATAAACAAGTTGACTGATGTGTATTGTTAAATTTATGTCATTGGGATTAACAATAATTTTTGAAAATGCTTGTATATTTATGTAAGGAAGTAATTCTGAAGATTAATCTGATATTGAAGTTATGTTATCTATAGTATAACAATGTATAACACTGTATGTTATACTACAGTATAGTAAGCTAAGCATAAGATATTTGAAATTTAAAAGTGGAATTAAAATTATTTAAATAACCTAAAGTAGTACTTTTTATGAAATATACATAACAAAATTAAACACTATAAAAAAGAAATTACCTATTTTAAAAAATATGAATACTTATACAATTTTAGATGATCCCTCATAAAAATTAATTTATTTGTTAACAACATTAACAGTTTTAAGTAGCTGAACATTTAAAAATAGATACATTGAAACACATTTTAATTACTCATTAAAAGTACACAATAATGAACTGAATTCTTTTTTATAAAGATATATCTATATAAATTGGGTAAAAAAATAACTAAATTTTTGTTAAAAAAGGCTATAAAGTATAAGTAAATATTATATACTTTTGTTTAAAATTATTGCAACTACCTAATATGTTTAAGTTACAGTAAATCACAAGGAATAGTTTAAAATATTATTCCTGAATTCATAAAAATAATTTTCAATTTTAAATCAGATTTATAATAAAATAGACATTTTCTGTAAAATCAATATTAAAAAAGCTTATCATAATACACTTTCAATCTCACATATACTATTTTTTTATAACTAAACTTCCAACGCACTACAAATGGAAACTAAGATCTGCATCAAATGATTCTGGCAAAAAAAAAATTACACCTCCCTTTGCATAGTCCAAATAACTTCAGCCTCTCCAGTGGTTGCGACAACTTTATATCCCAACTGACCTAAAGCATTCACAACTTCAACAGGAGGTGCTCTTAACATAACTCCATTTATAACTTCTCTTGCTTCATTTTGTGTATAGGAATATTTTTTACGTAATGCTCTAGTTTCTACATCATTTAAACCAAATACAGCACTATCAGTAGCATGCAGAGAACCTTTCACCACCACGTAAGCATAATTGCCAGAAGGCATAAGCACACTAGCAGGTATATCCTTAATATCCATGGTTATATATCTTCTGTAGGTGTTAACTTAAGTTGTTCAACAATTTTCTCGTCAACAGCAATAGTAGGTTCTGGTTCTGAAAATTCTTTTCTCATTGTCCACATGTATTCATTGTAATCCTGCTTTACACTGGTAGATGATGATGCAACTACTCGATACCCCAACACTTCTAGTGCTGTTAAAACAACACAAGGATGCACCATATACACTATTGTGGAATCATCACAGTAGCCACCAGATTGAAATCTTTTTAGTTGTTCTATATCGTCTGATTTTAAGCCAGAAACTAACACTCTCCAAGGAAATCTCTGACCATAAGCTGCCAAGTTTCCACGTATTATAATATAGGGCATTGGGAAAAAAGATAATCTATTTTCCTACCGGCTTATCACAGATTAAATTACAACACACTTTATTGATCTTGTATAGTATAATGTAAACACAATGGGTCATAAAAAAACACTTGATTTTATTAGATTTATTTAACCCAATGTGCGCAATATCTATAATGTAGGCGAATAGTGCGTGTGGTTTCTGCTTTTATTTTCAACCTACCTGTTGAAAAATAGGATTGGTATATTGTTTACATTGTACTGTAAAATAACTGCTCTCAAACTGTGTTTTTATATTATTTAACGTTTGTAATGAATAAATATATGTAAGTAAATTAAATTACTCAATTACTGGATTAATTTAAAAATGTAACATGCAACCTTGTTGTTTACTTTAGGTCTGGGTGGTAGTGACTAATGGTACTTTGGTTGGGTACTTTTATGGTGAGACATTTTGTGGGTGGATATGTAAATCGAATTAAATATCGATTTTTAAATGAAAAACGAATATGTTTATGCTGCGTTTGAATATCCACATCGGATGCATCTGAGATGTTGTGAATTTTTTATCACGTGATAGTGAATTAGATCTGAATGTAGATAATAATAAAAAAACGCTCTAGACTTTATTGGTCACGTGATAAAATGTCAATGACAGTAGTTTATACTTTTTAAATTTGATTTTTGAGACTACAAATCAACCTAAATTTGAAATCTAAACAAAAATTAAACAAACTAATCACTTTTATATTCATGCTAGCATAAACAAAGGATAAATTGACAAACTTGGCTTCACAGAACACTTACTTTCTAGCAAGGAACGAACATCTCATTCACATCTTATTTCAAATCGAGATGTAAAAAATGTAATGTGAACCGGTACATCTGGGATAAACAAACGCAGATGTAGTAGATGTGTCCGGTGTGGATAAAAAAACGCTCGAGATGTAAAAAATGCATCCGATGTGGATTCTCAAACGCGGCATATGTGTTAAACAAAGTTTAAATAACCGAAGATTAAGGACCGTTTCCACCGTTGTGTTAAACGAAGTTTAAAATGACATTTTTACATTAACAATGTCATTTTAATCTCCGTTTAACACAACGGTGGAATCCACAAAGCATGTATCTTCTAGAGACCCCACGCCAATGTTAAACTTTTAAACCAAATTAGCGCCACCTTGTGTTTGGAGCTGGAACTAAAATGACAATTGACAGATGGCGGTAAATTCAAATTGTAATTTTTAGGAGTAGTAGTTTTAAATTAAATTTTAAATGATTTCCACATAAATTATTTTATAAAATAAAGTATGGAACTAGTAAGTTCGAAACTTTTATTTTACAAAATAATTTAGGTCGATTATACCAAATTTGAAGAATTAATTTGTTATAAGGGGTCTAATGTGGAGAGTTGGTTCGGCATATTTTTATTAAATAAATATAAGATATATCAATAAATAATAAAATAGAACATTCTTAAAATATGTTTATTAATAAATTAAATAAATATTATTAGATAAAAATAAATACAAATAATAATACATATTTAACGAATACTTACTTGGAGCAAATAGATATATAATCTCAAATCTTTAAAATACCTATCAATAATGTAAATGTGAAGTAGAGACTAGGATATTACATTTTATTAACACTAAAGTTATATATTTTATAAATGTCTTTTTAACTGAGGACAAATGTAATATAGGTATTGTATTAAAAGGTGAATCCTTTTAACTATTCATTCAATGATAAATAGGTATTTTCCTTCCAAATACAGATGGTGATACAGATTTCGGAATCTAGTCCAGTGATAAATTGATTATCAATTAGTTGTTGTCCCCGTTTGTCTTTTTATGATGCAGATGCATGGTGAAGATATGGTGAATCAATGAAGTTTTTCTCGAAGTTTTCAACGTAGCACCAAAATTATTGCAAAACACAGTAGGAAATAAAAAAGCGAAACATCACAATTTTGCAAATAACTAAGACGAAACTATAAACAGAAACCAAAAGCCAAAGCCAACAAAAAATCACTAAAATCAGACGGAAAAATGAAACTAACCAAGAACATAAATAAATACACGTCACATCTTTGGAGTCTTTGGTTAAGTTTTTCTCCCATAAGGCTTAAAAATGGAGTAAGAAATCATAATTTCACCAGTGGCCCCATCTAGAGTTTGGAGCAAATAGCATAAAAAATGTCAGTTGTCGGTTTTGACCTTGGTCATTCACGTGGAACCTCTATGTGCTTTGTGGTGGAATCGGCCCTAAAATGACGTTGTTAGGACCGATTCCACCTAAGTGTTAAACGGAGATTAAAATGACGTTGTTAATGTAAAAATGTCATTTTAAACTTCGTTTAACACAACGGTGGAATCGGTCCTAAAAGCATGAAAGGACTTTAAATTGTCGAACCCAGATCGAGAGTATCGAGCATCGGTCTTTACATCGAGTAATAATCGAATAAAAGCTTTCCGGCAAGGAAAAATGACACTAGTCAGCTGTCGAAGTGAACTGTCACTACTGTCAGTGTCACTGTCACATCACAAGTTGAAGTGTTGAATATTTTGAAGAGGTTGAAGTCGAAAGTTTCGGCAAATAAATAAAGTTTGCGTAATTTTCGTCATCACCGGTCAACAAGGGTATGTGTAATTAAATTATGTATAATATCCAGAGATTCATATGAGGCGAGCATCATTGTGAATAAGTAAAAAGATATAGGACTGGTTGGTGGGCCAGTACGCAAGTGTTGAAAGACGTTGAAAGAAGTTCATTTTATTTGAAACAGTCATAAGCTTAGACCCGACAAACTGGCGACAAAGAAATTGATTTTTGAGAGTCTGTTATAAAATCAATTCAGTAAGTTTAGACCATACAAAAAATATGCAGAACGTAATTAATAGTGTAAAAGGAACAGCGCTAGCAGTGGGAGAGTATTTAACACCCGTTTTAAAGGTAAACAGTACGATTAAATGATAATTTTGGTTTCTTTTACTTAATTTATATATATTTAATTATAAATAAATATATTATTTTTGTATCTAGGAATCAAAGTTCAGAGAAACGGGGGTACTGACTCCTGAAGAATTTACAGCTGCAGGTGATCATTTAGTGCACCATTGCCCAACTTGGCAATGGGCAAGTGGAGATGAAGCCAAATCTAAACCTTACTTGCTAAAAAATAAGCAATTCTTGATAACCAGAAATGTACCCTGTTCAAGAAGAATTGAACAAATGGAATATTCAAGAGAAATGGAAAGAATAATAGGTAAATAAGGAATATTTTACTTTTAATGAAATACAATATACCAATAAATCGTTTCTTTAGTATCTGATGATGCTGATAATGGTTGGATAGACACTCACCATTATGATAAGGAATTGTCTTCATCAGTTGAAAATAAAATATCTGAAATGACATTAGAGAGTACAAAATCGGAGAGCATGGAAGAAGCAGCTCTAAATGATGAAAATGAGAAAGAAGATGAAGATGATGATGAAGAAGCTGCTGATATGGAAGAATTTGAAGAAAGTGGGATGCTTGAAGATGATCAGGTATAGAAAAATTAGAATTGGAATACCACAAATTAACATTGAATTGTTAGGTGTTTGCTTTTCTCAAACAATAACTGCCAACTATGCAAATGAATTGACATCAAATTTGCCAATCCTATATATTAAATCATGAGATGAATTTGTTAAGGCTATTAAAAAATTGAAATCTAATATGACAATGGGACCTGATCTACTACCTTCTTTTCTTATTAAAGACTGTGCATTCATTTTTACAATATCTCTACATACAATTTTTAATAAAATTCTATAATATTGTTTAAGATACAGCTTGGTTCGAAACTTGAATATGCATTTGAGATCTCAGATATAATGTCTATATTGACTTGATCAAAAAATTCAAAGAAAATTTATGAAATCTGCTTCTCCCATATTAGTACTCAAAATATTCAATTATATAAAGATTATAAACTAACATATTTAAAAATTTTGGGAGCAGTGAAACATGATTTTTGCAATAATTATATATTAAATTCTGATAATAAGCCAAAGACTTTGTGGAATATTATTAACAAAGAAATTGGTCAAAATAAAACAAATACAAAGCCAGAAAATGTAACTACTGAAGATCTTAATAATTTTTTTATTAATAATGCAGAAAACATAATTCAGAATCTAGATAAACCAGATATACCTGCTACTTCCTTTATAAATATACCACAATTAAAAAATTCAATGTTTTTTCAGCCAGTTACCTAAACTGATATAGAATCAATTGTAAAAGATTTAAAAAATAAAAGAACAGATGATATTGATGGATTTAGTGTATTTATAATGAAAAAAATGTATTTATTTTTTGTCTAAACCTTTAACTATAATTATAAATGCTTGTCTAACTGAAGGAATATTTCCTGATAGCATGATAATTGCTAAGGTCTGTCCTCTATTTAAAAAGGAGACCCTTCTCAGTCTTGCGACTTCAGACAAATTGCTGTGCTTCCCATATTCTCCAAAATCTTGGAAAAACTTATGTATAATAATCTAATATCATATTTAAATTCTTCCAACATACTCACGCCATTTCAGTATGGTTTTAGAAGGGGGCGATCTACAATAGATGCAGTATTAACTCTAGTACAATATATAGAATTTTTTTTTGAAAAAGCTGAAAACTGTTTAGGTGTATTTACAGATCTAAGCTCTGCTTTTGACTGTGTGGATCATTCAATTCTATTATCAAAACTGGAGAGGTATGGAGTACAAGGGATTTGTTTACAGCTTTTTGAATCTTATTTAACTGATAGATGTCAAACAGTCATCGAAAATTGCAAAAGTTCATTGATGCATATCAGGAGAGGTGCCCCTCAGGGCTCAATTTTAGGTCCATTACTCTTTTTGATATACATTAATGATCTTCCTGACTATATGCATTTTGAAAACCTTATCACATGTATATTTGCTGATGATACTTCTTTTTGTATTAATACTAAAAGAGGAACAGATCATGATCAAGTTTACTCTGATGTCATGATTCATATGTGGTCAAGATGCAGCAATTACTGCTTACTATGCTCTATTTCATAGTCATTTGACATACGGGACAATATGTTGGGGCATTGCTGCTGACACACATATCTCAAGAGTCTTTATTTTGAAAAATCAGCCATAAGAGCCAGTTGTAGACCAGTATTCCTAGAACTTCAAATTATGACACTCTATGCAGTAATAATCTATCAAAACCTTCTATTCATAAGAAATAATATTAACACATTTGTTTCCCACTCAGATATCCATAACTATAATACAAGGCACAAAGATAACTTAGTCCCTATCCAGTATAGACTGGAAAGGACAAAGAAATATTATATTGAGCTATACAATATACTACCACTTAATCAGCCTATAGATAAATTTAAACATGCATTAAAACAAATGTTATCCAATAATTACCTATATAGCTTAGAGGAATTTAAATCAATACAGATGGAGGCTGTCACTGTGGCCTCTGAGTGATTCAGTGAACTATGTTGTTGTAAATGTTTGTAAATTTCAATTTTATATTATTATATTTAAGTAAATTTTATTATATATATATTTAGTTTTAATTGTAATTTTATGAGTCATAAAATGTAATATTTTCTCAGGTAAATAAAGATATTGTATTATATTATTATTAGATGGCATTAACACAGTTTAAACTTTCTGATCTGACAAAACGTTGAATTACTCAGCAAATAATACTACCCTGGAAAGTTCTTAATAGTCACTTGTAGTGGATTTTATTTGTTGCACTATGTGTAAGTGTTCTGCACTAATCGCATTTGATTTGTTCAGTGTAGCTTCAAATATTTGGGGTCGCGACATAGGAGTCCATTTTGGACGCCATTTTTTTCGAAATAGTAGTCACATCTCCGAGCAATTACTACTCGGAGAGTCACATAGTAATCGCCATTGATCTGACAACGTGGCAACTTGTAGTCGCCAGGTTTACCAATATAAGAAAAAAAATCAATGTCATTTCTTTTTAGGATAAAATATTTCAATTTAATAAATTATTAATCTCAGATGTACATAAAATACGTCTGGAAAAGTAGATCACTTTCAATTTTGTGCTGTTTTAGTTTTGTTTATTTTAAAAGGTAATTGAAGAGATGAAGACAATTTTCTTATAGATGATGCATAACAAATTATTGCTCCCTTTTTTAGAGCTCCAGTCCCTTAAGTCTATTTATTTTAGGTATTTTTAAATTGTTGGTAGGTATTATTCACTTCATTTGTATGTTTTTAGTTAATTTAAATAATTTTGTGTAATATCTTGCGATTTGTTTTCTATACATTTTAGCATGTATTTGTTGTCTACATCTTACAAAGGATGGATTTGAAATACCTTTACAACAGAGGTACTTTCCTAAAACTGGCCGAAATTTGAAACTGAATACAGTTCTTAGAGAAAATCTCCAGTAAAAAGTGTCTGCATGCAGAATAACAGTAGCATAGATTAACAAAAGCTGACAAAAGAGTTGGACAAACCTTTGTCTAGCTTTTTTTAATATTTCAGGACAATAGTGTTAACAGCAGACTACAACAAAAACACCCAAAGTTTAGTAATCAAGCAAAATATTCCGGTATCTATATTTTTATTCAAAACTTTTGTGCTTCTACTCCAATACTAACCATATAGAAGCATATGCATTTTATAGTATTTGCAAGATTCGGATCAAATGTACCCACAATTTATAAAGATTATTAAACTAAAATAAAACATTTCAAATAACACCTGCTTTTATGTTAAATATGTTTTTATTAAATACATAAATTAGTCTCAACCATACATTTTTGTTTTGTTTTTACTTCTAGTGTAAAAGTGACTACTAATTCAGTCTTTCAAGTTTATTATTTATAGAGACCAGCTACTACAAAATATCTTATTGATGATAACTAATTTCTCTTTAATAATGGTTTTGCATTTATTAACATTTTACAGCACTTTGTTTATATGAAACCTCTATTTAACTCTTAATTAAATCACATTTAAATCAAGTAATTACATTTTCATATTCAACTTATGTATTCTTATTAGAACTTGGTCACTTTTTTTTTACTTTGAATCTTTTGACTGTGGTAACAGTCCATTCACCAAACCACAAAGTCACTTAAAAATGTTGAAAGAGAATGTCATAAAGGTAAAATTCCTTCTTCTATAATGTTTTTCATGCAATTTTAGGTTGTAAACGTTTTGTCCAACACCTTTTTTACAATTTATCCCAAGCAATACTATGAAAGATTTAAATCCTGGATTTACAGCATTCAGTTTTGAGATGAGTGCAATCACAATGTAGTTTAAGAGATAATTTTCACATGAACACTTATTTACCACAGCACAAACGCATGTACCTATTCATGTAACATTAAAATAAAGTTGAAACAAATTGCATAATTTGGTATATAAAAAAGTACAAAATGTTTTTAGTTTTAATTCGACATTGGACTACGAGGAAAACAGTGGTTCATTCCACTTGTACCATAATGACATTATTATGCACGATGCTCGTTCAAACTAACGTCAGAAAAGTGTTGCCAACTTAAGCTGACTACTATTTCCCCCCTAGCCTCAGTCACCCCCTCATCCAATTACTGGGTCTATGTCGCGACCCCCTTGATATACCAGCCCTGAGTGTAGCATATACTTTTGACAAGTATGACAGTTCGAATATATTGCGAGTGTGACACTAGTGCAATAAATAAAATCCAATCATAGACATCATGGAGACTACACAAGGAGCACGCACTCCATGTATAACAAGCGTACTGTGTTAAACAGAGTATTTTAAGAGGGCGCTAGTGTTCCATAAGTACCAAAATGGCATATTGCCGACTAAATTCTGTTGACAGAGAGTTTATCCACTCTTGACGTTGTGTTGGACTCTATTCAGAAACGCAATAAAAAGTGGAATATATTTATTAAATGAGTTTTTCTAGCATAAAAAAAACAATTACAATGCCATTAAAATATTTATACTCTTTAATTTATTCGATTTATCGCTAAATATAGTTACTTACTTGGGGTACTTTAAAAAATCCAGGAATCTTTAAATTTAATTCTTTACGTTGCTTCTTATCTGCTGCACTGCCACTGTTACAATTTTTCACTGCACACACTCTACCCATTTTTTAAAATGAAATTTTATTAAATACCTAATTAATTAATTATATTTATTTAATTTAGAAACATTTGACACGTGTTTACGTTAATTAAATAATCGGTTACTTTATTTTCACGCTAACTTCACATTTGTTTATTCCTCTATATTCACACCGGTACAAAAGAAAAATTAGCGACGTTAGTGGTGAAAAAAGAAAGCTTTATTTATACGATAAAGCGCGGACATACTCTGGCAAATGCCACACTTGAGTGCGTGCTCCTTGTGTAGTCTCCATGATAGACATCATTGATTTTCTAAATTATATTCAGTTGAAAATACCACGTGCAGGTCTTAAGACTTTATTTTAGTCTGCAAGAACAAACATTTTAAATTCATTCCCACTATATCAAGCAATTAAAGAGTACCATACCTTCCAAGACAGCTTGGATACTTTTGCTTGCAATAATTAAACTTGTTATTTTAAGTTAATGTTGTATAATAATAATAATAATAATAATAATAAAATGTTACATGTATTACTGAAGAAGAAGAAAATGTACTTAAAGATAACTTCTGGTGAATTTTTGTCTGACAATTGTGTTCTAGTTATCTAATCTACTATAAAAAATATATACTATACAGATAATATATAAAAGATTATTTATAGTGTTGGTTAACTTAGTCGAGGCAATGAAGCACTGTGCAAGTTGGATGGGAATGCGGTTTTTTGCATTCACTTGCAAAAATTATTTGTATCATTCCCCCGTAATTTCCGGGTCATACAAACCGGAAATTGCATTGCTGCATCAAAAAATGCATTCAAAAATTGCATTATTTGAAAGGCCTCTTGGATGATTACAAAACTTGTTAAATAAGTGTCAGAACTAGCCCAGATCGAATGCTCGGGGATTTTCGAGGTCGCTGATCACGATTATGATGTCTAAATTGACCCACAGCCGACCTGGAGCTCAGGAACGTCGACGAACGTCATCTTCGTGGGACTCTCCCAAAATTCACGCGGGGAAGGAGGGCATCTAGGCGATCGGGGATTTTTTGGGTCGCTGAATCCAAATATGACATCGGCGAATACCCCCCCGGACACTTGGTGCGCCCAAACCTCGACCTGGACGTCATCTCCGAGAATTTTCCTCACAATATCGACAAGAACAACCCGAAAATGATTGAGCGGAGTTTTTTGGGGCGCTGAATCTAAATTTCACGTCGAAAACGACCCCCTGAACACCTGGTGCACCGGAACTTGGCCCTGAACGTCATCCCCGAGGGGTTTCCAGACACAATTGAAAAAGACGAACCGAAAATCGTTCCGGGGGGTTTTTTGAGGCGCTGAATCTAAATTTCACGTGGAAAACGACCCCCGAACACCTGGTGCGCCCTAACCTGGCCCTGAACTTCTTCACCGAGGTTTTTCAGACACAATTGAAAAAGACGAAAAGAAAATCGTTATAGGGGGTTTTTGGGTCGCTGAATTCAAATATGGCATCGGCGAACACCCCACGGACACCTGGTGCGTCCGAATCTGGATGTCATCTCCGAGAATTTTCCTGACACAATCGAAAAAGACGAACCGAAAATCGTGAATAATTAGAATCTCCGATGTTTTTACAGTCGCGATCACAAAAAACTCCCCAAAACATAATTTTAGACATTCATTCATGTGTAACTCTCCCCTGGGGCCTTAGAAAAAGTTCATCTATTCTGGTTTGTCCAGCGAAACAATTTTTGAGAACGGGGCGCAGCTAATCCTGGCAATGTACAGTGCTCTAATGTCATTCAGGAAACCAAATATTCCTGACAAGCCAAAATGGGACCAGGTGCGAAATGTACAGGAGAACCGCTGCGACGGGGAGAGTAAATTTGGCCAAAATTCTCCCTACAGTAGACGCCATTCAACAACATCTAAAGAGGGTCTATTTTCAAGTACAGCAATGGCTGCACGGAGACCAGCTGACCATGGACCCAACAAAATGGGGGTGGAGAAAGGAAGGCGACACAACAGTGCCTGTACAGATGGAAGAAAAACCTGCGCCCAAGAATATTATGGAACTAATATTCTGTGGATGCAAAGGAGATTGTAATCTGAACACCTGTAGTTGCAGGAAGCACGGCCTACCTTGTAATCTTGCCTGTAAAATTTGTAAAGGTTCAACTTGCCTTAACACTGAAAGATATTCAGATGAAAACGTTAATGTGCCAGAGACAGAGGCCTCAGATGAGGGAGATGTTCCCCATATGAATACATCAGTCGATGACGATGAAAATGATCAGACACATTTGAGTTATTAATTAATTAAGGAATGATAAACTTACAGGTTCATTGTATTCGATTTGAGGCCAATAAAAATTGTTTTACCGTAAATTACATAAATATTGCGTTTCTATTCATTCTCTTTCTTTCCTCCTCACGTAATCTAGAATCAACAATTGCACACAGCTATTGCAGTATTGACGCCTCGGAGATGACGTCCAGGTCTAGGTTCAGACGCACCAGGTGTCCATGCGGTGTTCGCCGATGCCATATTTGAATTCAGCGACCCAAACCCCCCCCCCCCCCCTTAAACGATTTTCGGTTTGTCTATTTCAATTGGGTCTGGAAGAACCACGATGAAAACGTTCAGAGCCAAGTTAGGGCGCACCAGGTGTTCGGGGGGTCGTTTTCCACGTGAAATTCGGATTCAGCGCCCCAAATAACCCCCTCTAACGCTCAATCATTTTCGGGTTCTTGTCGATATTGTGAGGAAAATTCTCGGAGATGACGTCCAGTTTAAGGTTTGGGCGCACCAGGTGTCCGGGGGCGCACCAGGTGTTCGGGGGGTCGTTTTCCACGTGAAATTCGGATTCAGCGCTCACAAATAACCCCCTTTAACGCTCAATCATTTTCGGGTTGTTCTTGTCGATATTGTGAGGAAAATTCTCGGAGATGACGTCCAGTTTGAGGTTTGGGCGCACCAGGTGTCCGGGGGGTATTCGCCGATGCCATATTTGGATTCAGCGACCCAGTAAAACACCGATCACCTAGTTGCCCTCCTTCCCTGCGTGAATTTTGGGAGAGTCCCACGAAGATGACGTTCCTGAGGGGTCAATTTAGACATCATAATCGTGATCAGCGACCTCGAATACTCCCGAGCACTTGATCTGGGCTAGTTCTGACACGTATTTAACAAGTTTTGAAATCATCCAAGAGGCCTCTCAAATAATGCATCTTTGGCTGCAGCAAAGCAATTTCCGGTTTGTATGACCCGGAAATTAGGGGGGAATGATACAAATAAGTTTTGCAAGCGAATGCAAAAACCGCATTGCGATCCGACTTGCACGGAAAAACCCAGGAACTTTTTGCTTCATTGCTATTTTGTTAATTTTTGTAGACATTGATTTCTTTTGGTAGAATTGATGACTGATTTGTTTGTGATAGGTTTTTGTTGAATACGTTATTTGTTTTTTTGTGGTGTGGATGAAAAAGCATTTGAATTAGTCTGGGAGCTTATTCCTACAATTTCATTTATTTCTTGTTTTGATAATGTGTTGTGTTTATATTTATATTGTCTTTCCTACCCGTTGTTGGGTGGGTGTGTTAAATAAATTAATTAATGGTTTTAACCTGATTTACCACAATTAAACCTGAATATTGAAGAAATTTAATTTATCTGTCTATTATAGAGGGGTCATAAATTCCAAAAAAGTTAAGTTTAGCAATCAAAAAGAGATGAGTTTTCCTGGTCAAAAGCTTTTAAAAATCTATAGAATCGAAACTTTTGAATTCGACATTATGTTTAATAAGGAAAATCAATACAATTTTTCCTCAAAACATTATTATTTCAGGTACAACTCTATATTGAATTATTTTTATAGGTTGTCAAAGTGATAGAGCCAGTAGAACAAAATAAAAGCAGTGCTGAAGATGGTGAAATAATACATACAAGAACTTATGACTTGCACATTACTTATGACAAATACTATCAAACTCCTAGGTTATGGCTTACTGGATATGATGAGGTAATTAAAAAATATATATTTTGAGTATTGGTTTTTTTCTTAAAGGGTACCTACATTTCTTCGTTTCTCCCAAAATTGCTTGTTGTTCTATATTGTTGGCCTTCAAAAAATGAGGAGGTTCTCAATTCGTTGGTATATATATTTTTTTTATGTATGTTCAGCGATAATTCCTTAACACGGTGGTCCCATATAAATTTGGTCAAAATCTAATAATTGAATCCATTAGAAAATCCTCAAACTCTTCATTTTTTATATATGTTTATCGATAATTCTTTACTACCTTGTCAAATTTCTATGATTTTTTTTGTTAGTAAAGGGTTACCTCAAGGGTGGCCCCATATAAATTTAGTGAATATGTGGTAATGGCATCTGCTCGATTTTGAAGTCGGTCTTTTAAAATTACTTTTAATTCTTGTTTTTTCATAAACTATTTAGTGCAACACAAATCTAGCAAAATTTAGTCTGTCTAATTTTTAAAGGTCTTTTGTGGCGATATGTTGATTATTTTTGGGGACTTTGTATTAAGATAACCTAAAGTACCCCGTGCCGGTCAAAATTTCTGAAACTTTGATACTAGTAACCAAAAGTGTCTTTAATCAACCCTATGACTAGTTTTGAAAATTTCCCAGTTTTCTGGTATTTTTGTTTTCAAACTTATGACCTAGATTGAATTTATGTTGCATATCAAGTTTACTACATGTTTTAGTAATACATTATTACATACGTACAATTAAAAATACTTTTAATTACAGGGCGATTCACAAATGAATGACGGTAGTTTATTTGCAAAATCTTATTAATTTTACTGTGACATTAGGAAAGCAAATTTTCAAAAATTACTATCCAATAGGGTATTTTGGCGACAAAATATTGTATAGTACACATTTTTTATACAGGATGATTTATAGAGAGAACCACAACATAAAATTATTTTTTTTTGTGTGTGTCAACTGCTAAGGTTATCTTGCCTCGTGTTCTGTGTAAGCTTTGGTACAGTTTCCCAGTGCTACTTTAGGAACAGCACTGTTAATTAAAACCCAACAGTGAATGGTCGAGTGGAAAAACCTACCAAGGCATCAGAATTAATTTAAAATAATTAAATTAAATAAAAAAATCTCGACCAACGGTGGGATTCGAAACTGGGACCCTTGGATCCGCAGGCAGAGACTACCACTGAGCCACCCACCCACTAAATAAAATTATTATTTTAAGGAATAATTCAAAACCCTGTACGTGCATTTTTTATTTCAGAAACATGAGCCTTTATCGGTAGACGAACTTTATGAAGATGTTAGTAAAGATTATGTTCAAAAAACTGTCACCATGGAAACGCATCCACATCTTAGTGTACCCAAAATGGCGTCCGTACATCCTTGCCGGTAACTATTTTTTTTGTAGTATGCGCATTGTTTTTTCTGTTTATTTATTAGAAACAAAGTTCCATAACACATTAATATAACCGTTAAAAATTAATAGAATACAAACTAAGAAAGTATAAAAAACATACAAAATGTAAATATAAACAAAAATAAATAAATTTTACAAATTAACTTAACATGTAAGATTTGTATTTTTTTTTTCCAAGACGGAGAATATGAACAATATAAATATTCTGGTGTTTATTATTTTGGATATTTTTATTTTGTTCAAAATCGTGTATTTCATTTACATTTATCATAGTAACGATTTAGCGTGTGAAAAATCTCAATATTGCTCAATTTTACTTTTTCTCTGAATTTACGTTTTTATTTAAGAATTTACAAATAGGTAAATATTTAAGGATGTTTTGTAAATATGGATGTTACTGTGATAATGTAAATATAACAAAATATAATTAAAACCGAATAAATATGAAAACAAAGTTCCCGATCATCCTACCAGCCACAATGGTATTACTTTTAAATGTCTGGACTTATTTGGAGGAATTCCAAGCTTTATACCAGATTTTCACATTTTTCTTGATTTGTTGAATGATTTAAATTTTGTAGGCATGCCGAAGTGATGAAAAGTATCATAGAAACTGTAATGGAAGGTGGAGGTGAACTAGGAGTACACATGTATCTAATTATTTTCTTAAAATTCATGCAGTCTGTCATACCAACCATCGAGTATGATTACACGCAGAATTTTACCATGTAAAATTTGGTCTGAATGCAGCTTTCGAGTTAGATGTTAAGTCATAATTCGCTCCATAATTAACAGTCACAATTTTTTTGTTTTTATAATATATTGAAAGCTTTTAATTAATTTGCGGTGTTTGTATATTCCATACTGTAATATAACTTGAATTTTATAAATGTAGGTATGTAAATAAGTGTATGGTAAAACTCTATATAAAAAAGTTGTTAAATTTAAACATAAAAATTGATAAAATTGTAATTGTTACATAATTATTGTGTACTTTTAATTGTGGAGTGATTATAATAATTAATTAGGCATAAATTTTTCACAGTGAAAATAAATTAAGACAATTTTATTATGTAGCCTAAGATATTCTCATTTTTGTTGTATTTTCGCTTAAGAGTTTTATATATAAATAAAATATTTTGAGTCGTTGTTTTTACAATTTTCTTTTATTCTTGTTCACAACCAAACGCAGAGACTATAGCTCACTACAACTTTCAATATTGCCATACTGTTTGTTTTAAATCCAAGACTGAAGTAAAAGAAGCAATTGATTGCTCGTTCTAGGAGTTCCGATTCGGACATCGTCGTGGCAACATTGAAATGGCGGTCTCCTAATCGGGAGTATTCAAGTGCAACAAAAATCACAAAATATCAAGTCTCCTGTGAAAAAGAAAAACCTAGTAAAGTGACTTACTAGGTTTATGCTTAGCATCGATTTTGTAATAGCCATTGATGTCCTCTTTCGGTAGGTATTCATATTTTTTCAAAATTTGCTTATTTCACGGATTTATTTTACATGGAAAAACCTAGTAAAACGCAAATTTAAATATTTTGTTGGAAAAACCTAGCAACCCGGTATTTTTATGGATAAAATCGAGCAACTTTTTTTTTGTTGGTACATTTTTGTTAACTTTTGTAGGAAAAACTTTATAAAGTTTTGTACTAGGTCTTTCCGGTAATTGATTTATATAAATTTATTTTTTTTAAATTGGAAGTTCCTTTTATCATATTTTGCTATTTTTACACCCTAAAATAAAAATACAATGTTTCGTAACAGAGAGCTAGCAAAGTAATTTACTAGGTATTTCCACTTTTATTACATCGTCTTTTAGCTGACCCACTCAATTCTAAGACTCTTTGCTAGCTTTTTCAAATTTAAAGCTGCTTTAGGCGCGAAAACTCTTATTTAAAATATTTTCTTGAAAATGTGCTATTTTAAACTTTTTTACCTAGTTTCAAACAATTATTTTCTTAGCTAGCAAATATTAGCAAACTATTTTTTCTTCTGCATCACATAAGTAAAAAACATTTATTTTGATAGTCCTGTAATTTGTTTTTTCTTATATTTACAAATCGACTGTCATAGTGACATATATTTGTAATGGATGCGTATACGCACCTTGGCCAAAAACGGTATAACCATTAGGAACAAGAGTTGTTTTAGAACTATTGTCTGTGGTAGAAAATCCACAACAGCATAAAATATGTTTCAATAACTTTTTCACGTCCTTTTTGAAAGTTTGAAAAAAAATAGCTTTTTTGCAACCGGAACAGTGAGAGATAATCGAACCGCTAAATGCCCAGTTGAAGATAAAAAAGCCATGGCAAAAAAGGCAATAGGCTCTTATACTTCCGCATTTGATCAAAACTTGGGAGATCTGGTAACAAGATGGAATGACAATTCTGTAGTCACTGTAATGACAAATGCATGTAATGTTTTACCACTCATGCAAACAAAACGCTATAACCGGAAGGAGCACAAGGAAGTACTTATTCCTCAGCCAAATGAATAGAATTTATTCACTACGTTATATACAAACAGTACATTTGTAGCAAGTCACAAATAAATAAAATATGTTCCAAGAACAAAAAAAAAAAAAAAAAAAAAAAGGCCTTTGACTGTGTCTCTCACAGCATTCTGCTGAAAAAACTACAATGATCACACATGGAGTACCACAAGGTTCTGTCCTTGGGCCTCTACTGTTCATTATATACGTCAATGATCTAATTAAATATATGAACCCTTGCAAAACTATTCTATTTGCCGACGATACGACCTTTATCTCAACTGGAAAAGATCAATCTTGTTTATTAAATGCTACTAAGTGCAGTATTGAATTGTCAAAAAAATGGTTCTGTGCCAATCAACTTATGCTAAATGATACAAAAACTCAAAACCTTAATTTTGGATCTGGTAGTTCATCATCGGAACTTGACAGTGTCAAATTGTTAGGTGTAAAACTTGATAGTAATCTATCATGGACCTGCCATATCGATATGATTGCTAAAAGATTATCTAGTTTGTTGTTTTTGCTTCGGCGTTTGGCCTTAATTACCAATTTTCAATGTTTAAAAATGGTATATTTTTCATTGTTTCATTCCCAGATAGGTTACGGAATTATTCTTTGGGGTAATTCATCAGAGGCAATGAAATTATTTCGTATGCAAAAGAAAGCCATAAGAATCCTAGCGAATGTTGGGTACCGTGAGCACTGTCAACCACTCTTCAAAAAATTTGTAATTATGTCATTACCATCACTGTTTATTTTAAATACAGTTCTTGAAATTCACAAAAACAGTGCAAATCTACTAAAGCAGTCTGATGTTCACCATTATAATACCAGACAAGCTGGGAATCTAAGGAAACAAAAATTTCGATTATCTAAATCCCAGAAAAATTCACTGAACCTTAACTTATATAATATTTTACCATCAAATTTAAAATATTTAAACTTTTCCCAATTTAAAGGAAAATTAAAGCGATTTCTTCTTGAAATGTGCTTTTATTCAGTCAGTGAATATACAGACTATTTTAAAAATAAAAATAATACATATATATTTTAAGTTATGTTAGTTGTAATATTATTATTTGTTACTGTAAAATATTTGTAACTGTGCAATATTTAGAAACCTTTATTTTTTATTGTTCTTGGAACATATTTTATTTATTTGTGACTTGCTACAAATGTACTGTTTGTATATAACGTAGTGAATAAATTCTATTCTATTCTAAGCGTGTGTTCGGCATCTGATGACACATCATAGTAATATGTATGGGTCTATTTGAAATACCGTGATATATTATTCTATAACACGTGTTAACACGACACGTGTTAAATGTGTCCGTAGCTTTACTGGTGGTTCAAAATTTGTAGAAATAATACATTTTCAGTTGCACGCCATTGTGAAATTTGATATTTTCTTGGTTTTTTAAATTAGTTATCTAACTTTTACATCTCTTGACTCTTGATTTACTGAAATTCGAATCCAGTTTTAAACGTTCGAATTCATGTAAATTATCTGGTCGTTTTTGCAAATGCATTTTTTCAGTCTTCCGACTCTCGCTCGGAAACCGAACTAGTACGAGCGTAATATATAAAACCGGGATTGCCGAGTATTTTTCTACTTTTTTTTTCAGTGCTAAAGTTAAAACTAATTACCGTCAGTATCGTCATTTTTATTTTCGGCACCGACCATGTGAAAGCCGTAGAAAATATAAGGTAGAATTCTTTCATTATTAGGATTTAAATCGTTATTTATTATCTTTTGATAGAAATTAACAAAATAAATAATTTGTAATAGACCGAGAAAATAGCCTGTGCAAGGCCGAACTTTATGTCGTTAGGATTTCTGAACTTTCGTAAGAGAGGCCAGTCCAGCAATATTTTAGTCTGGTTTCAACGACGGAACTTCTTGAAGCCGAAATGATACTACTTAATTTCCCAACTTTGTAACGAATACCGTCTTGTAAGTTCTGAAGTTACGTAAGCGAAGCAAGTCCAGCATGATTGTAGTCTTATTTCGCTGACTTAATTTCTGAAAATCCAAGGTTCCCCGAGTCAATAGACCCTTCACTATTCTTGCAATAACTGAAATCTTTAATTCACTAATTACCATCGATCACGAGGTAACGTTACCCCCTTACCCGTCACCTACATCAACTGTAGTAAACCGCATCCTTTTGAAAATAATCCTTCAACAAGTGACTTTTCGCCAGGAATAATATTTTCGAAAATTCGATTACATTCACTGGGCTATTTTTTATTTATCACGAGGGAAATGAATATTGTTTTTTGACATATTCCGAGTGAAATATTGAGAATGTTAGAATGTCATTGGTCATATTCAACCTGTTGAATTTAGCTTTTATTTGGAATACCGTGGGGATAGCAGTCTTACAAATATTTATTTCATTTATTTCCAAAGGTTTCCGTATAACGCATTAATATACAGGGTGCGTTCCTAAAATTAGTTTAAAATTGCGGATTTAATTATTTTTATTTTATTCATGTATTCCTCGAAGCTTTTTTGCAAATTACCTCATTATAACCTCTACATTATTATTCTATCTGTTGCATCCTGTAGATAAAGATGGCATATATAATCACACATAAAAAGTTTAAAAAAACAAGTGTTCTATTTAGAATAAAAAAACAAAAAAGTATATTCTACAAGTTATTATTTTTAGTATTGCATTTGCCTTCAGAAAAAGTTTACTGGCGGTGGCTTCAATGTCTACTTTCTTTATAACCGATTCTTCAATTTAGAAAGATGCTTTCTAATTCTGCCTAAAGAGGCCTCTTAGATCAATTACAATAATTATCTGGATCACAAATGAAAATATAAAATCAACTTTTTGTATTAAGGGTTACTCCAATACTAATTCTTGCGTCAAAGCTCCATCATCTTCGATAGAATATGTAACCAGACATACTTCTTCCCCATCATTATTCGTTAAAAGCTGGAAATTTTGAATTGCGCTTCCCAAGGTGTCTTCTAAAATTAGTTCATCTGTAGTCGAAGTTTCTAATAAATCTAAGGTGGAAGACTGAGATATCCCCTAGAAAAATAACAATAGTAATTGCAATATTAGTACAGCGAAACTGCTTTTTTTGTCAAAACATAGTGAATAGATTTCAAAGATAAATTTTGTGATATTAGATGGTTTTTCATGAATCTCATTTTAGAGATAATTTTGTATGTTGTTAGTCAATCTCTTTATTTTTTATTTGTATCTACATTTATAATATCACAGAATAAACAATGTACAATAACAATTAATATCATTTAATTTAAGTTCTTCTTGAGTAGGCATTTTTAAATAAATTAAAATAAAATATCAATAAAATTTATATCGAAATAAAACAAATAATATTTCCTACGAAAAGACATAAAAAGGTTCTTTTTTAGATAGCAGTCAGCTCACGAAAACATTCAAATGTTTTTATTTTAATATATTACGAAAATCGGTATCAAAGTATGTGTTGTCTCGATTAACATGACAAAATCTATTATTAATCTAATATATTAGGATTTTAATGGATTAGCAACGATAACTTAAATGTAGGTGGATAATTTACTGTCTATCAAATTTGGCTAGCTAATCTCTCTCTATAATACAAATTATTCAAAATTTTAACTCTACAACTAATTTGGCAATGACATTAATAAGAAAATAAATTTATTTTACGGTTCGAAGGTACCAAAAAAATATGTATTGCATGTATTACAAAACACCATGTATATAATCGCAACATTTGAATATCATCAACGTTAGTAATTTCTTTTATTAACAAGTAAAAATAATATTACTACTTTTTACAGTTAAAACCCACCTCATTAAAATCTTGTTCCTCCATAGCTGAAATTTCAATGGGTATCAACGATCCATCCGGCATCAGTCCTTGTATGTTAGTAACATCATCGCCTGACGTTACAATAGGAAATGTCTGTCCATCTTGGGTTATTATTCGTATAGGATTTCCCTGTTGATCGACAAGTTGTGTAAGTTGAAAGGAACTACTAGAAGCTTTGGTTATAGCGTTAACATCCAATTTGTGGTTGTTATTACGACACTTTTGTATCTTATTGTGTTTTAGAAGGTTCGATTTATCTAAGAAAGAAAAAGATTCCAGTTATTCGTGATACATTTGGACTTGACTATAGTAAAGTTTAATGGGTACATAATAGAAAGAAAAAAAAAACAAAGAAAGGAAGAAAAAAGAATAGAATAAAAAAGTTAAAAAAGAAAAAGAAAAAAAAAACAAACAAAAAAAGAAAAAAAATTAAAAGAAAAAAAAAGAGAAAAAAAGGAAAGGAAAAAAAGGAAGAAGGAAAAGGGAAGGAAAAAAGGGAAGAAAAATAAAAGAACTGGCATAGTATCGTTTCAAGAATAATATATTCTATTACCTGCAAACGCTTTTTGACAATGTTCACATTTATACGGTTTCTCTCCAGTATGAACTGCTTGATGTTTCTTAAGAGCCCATCGTTCGGTAAAAGCTTTATTACATATGGGGCAAACGTGTGGGCGATAGTTAAGATGGCGTCGCACATGTAATTTGTAGGTATCCCTATGGAGAAAGCTCTTTTCGCATATTTCGCATTTCCAAGGTTTTTCACCTAAAAGTAAACGTAAACATGATTTAAATTGAAACTTAACAGGTTGAGTTTCAGTTCTAGAACGATAATAGTATTACCTGTATGCCTTTTAACGTGTATCCTAAGTTGCGAAGACGTGGTAAAATATGTCCCGCATATTTCGCAAAAAAATGGCTTTTCACCTGTATGTATCCTTTTGTGTTCCAATAAATTACCGTTCTGCGAAAACCTCTTTTGACAAAACTCGCACGTGTACGGTTTCTTGCCTTCGTGCCACCTCTGATGTAAACTTAATGATGTTCTGTGAGAAAATTTTTGGTTGCATTGTGTACATTTGTAAGGCTTTTCTTTTGTGTGAACTGCTTTATGGTTTATGAGGTTGCCTTGTGTTTTAAATGTTGCATTGCAGATGGAACAGACAAACGGTCGATCTTGGGTATGAACTATCTGAGAGAAAAAATATTAAAATTAAACCATGTGAAGAAGGAGAGTGGATTTTTGAAATTAAAGAACTGCAAATCCACGATCACATCACCCTGTAACTTCCAAAATCGTTTATTACTATTATTACTACTGGTTCGTTTTGTACAAAACAATATAGACATGAATTAAACATACCGAATTAAACTTTTAGTATAAGTCTATTGTAATCGAAAAACCATCTTAACTTAAAGCTGTTTTCGCGGTTCACTATATTAGCATTATCCATGTATCTTAGTTATTTATCATCAGTATAATTTCATTTCTTGCTGAAGTATTCAAAAGAAACACCCTAATAATCTCTAGTCTTTTAATTTTTTTGTTATACCCTAGTTTTTTAAATAAAAATTAAAAACAAATATTAAATTTTATCCATTTTGCAGATATCAATTTTTTGAAAACTGGAGTTTGTAGATATTTTCTATTTACAAGTTTTTACTAAAATCAAAAACTAATTGAGTTTTGTAGTAAACCGTTTTCCAATATTATTTTTATTTCGAACTTGTTAAAATATTTCCCCCTTTATCATATACCTACGGTAGCTTGGATTAATAAATATAAAGTGATTCGGCCAGGATCTAACTCGCTCTTTTGATTATAAAAATTTAGTATAATATCTTTTGTAAGTTTATATTTTAATATTATAACGTGTGATCCAAAAACAATGTTTCTAAAGTAAGTCATGACGCATTTTCGCCGATCCCAATGGGTTCAGTTATGGGAGCAAATTTCTCAACTTTGATTGGTTGGTACGGTCACGTGCTGCAGGCTGAAGACTGCTGATTATTTACATTTTACATCAGTTAAAATTTTTTTCCTATCCTATGCTTTTTTGGGTTAGAAAATTTGATTTTGATTTTTACAATTATTTAAAGTTGAATAAGTGCTGTGTTAATTACATTATGGAGACAAAAGAAAACAATTTACCCTCTAGGTACACATACAGAATTATGAAGAGTGTACAAAAACGACTTGTAGAAAACCTGCGACATATCCAAATTCTGGTAAAATTAATATATAGGGTTGATTTACGATGTGTACAGATTCAAGAGTACAAGGAGTTCGTTCATCAAAGAATACTAATTTCCCAGCAAAATTAAACATTATAATTAAGAGGTAAGTTTATAATTAAAGGTAAATTAAAGGTATATTGTGATTTTTTTTTTAGGTATATTGCTCATTCAAGAGCCAAGATAATAGATGATCTTGTGTTTCGGTGGCCCACTATTGTGACATTCAAAGCTTCTCACAATCACTGCATAATAAGTGCAGCAACTTTAAAATATCGGGACATATCAAATAAAACTAAAGAAAAATTTAAGTCACTTTTTCGACAAGGACATAATCCATTATCTGCCTTACATCGCTGAAAAACTGATCTTTTAATTGAAAATAGTGACAATTACTATCAATTTGCAGCTGATACACACTATGTCCCAACAATTTCAGTAGTACATAAACTTTTTGAAAAGGACTTTGTTCATGTTTATAAATGTTCTTCAGAAGAGATTATGTTAGAAAATTTAAAAACTAAATCGGAAGAATACAGCAAACAAAATATCGGAGGAACTGCAAGAGTTTTTAAAACTAAAAATGATAGTCATTATTTTGTTGTCTTATGTACTTCTATTATGTCCCGTACTCAAGAGAATATTAGCCAATGCCGTGAATTAGTAATGATTGATGCATTAAGAGGCAGGGATAAACAAAGGCATCGTATTTATTTTTTTATAACTCCAACACCAGCTGGAGGCTTACCAATTGGAGTCATTATTACTGATAGTAAAAAGGAATATGTATTTTATGAAGCATTACTGGAGCTTCGAAAAATTTTACCAGTAGATTTATTTTATAAGCAAAATTATCCAACAGTATCTTTGACAGAATGATTTAAAGGAACGAAAAACTTATTATTATTATTATTATGTCAATTTCATTTTTTAAAGGCATGTTGGACTTGGTTATGTGACCACAAACATAATATTTCAAAGGCCACCGTCAATAATTATATTTTTTGACAAAAAACATTGTATATGCCATAAATGTTTTTTTTTTGTAGTAATGGGATGGCATCAGATGCCATAAATGTTAATGATGCATTAAGGCAACATGCATCAGATGCCATAAATGTTAATGATGCATTAAGGCAACATGATATCCTAGTAGTGCCTTATGAGAAAAGTATCCCTTATTTGAAAAATATTTTATAGATTTATAGAAATGTAAAGAAGACTAGGCTACATGTTATCGTCAACGGGAAGTAACACAACTAATTATGTAGAAATTGTGTTCAGAATAATAAAAGACACTATATTAAACAGGGCGATGACCTTTAATTTGATACAACTAGTTGACTACATCTTAACTCGTTATGAAATCTATATGGAAAAATGGCTTATTGCTTTTACCAATGGTCGTTATCCAAAAAGTATGTTAATAAGAATGTTACCTATTGAGAATAATGTTCCGCACAAAGTTGAAAATATATCTCACTTTGATGGAGTATTTAAAATATTAATTCGAATTAGAACGTTTGGCGACTTATGATGAAAAAATTAGAAAACTTAAATTTAACTCCCAAAAACAGAGAATATTTATAGAACCTTATTGAAGTAACCTGAGAAAGCTTGGCAGAAGATAAAAATTTAATTAACTCAGTGCCTAGAATAATACAAGAAATTATTGATAATAATGAAGCTATAACAAGATATTCGTTATTTATTTCATCTGTTTCCAATGGTTATATGTATTTAAATTTTACACATTAATTTTAAATTTAAGTTACTCTTTTTGCATTAATGCTGTAATAAATATTTTCATTGCGTTTTATTGCTTTACAAAATTAGCTCTATCATTACCTAATATTTTCGTTGTGCTGACAACTTTGTCCTAGAAATTATAACCTACAGGGTGATTCACATAAGAACCGACATAGAGCAGGGGCATATAGGTGGTCCCAAAATATGGCAATTTAACGCAACTTACCTCTATACCAAGTTGCTTCCCTAAGGAGTTATAGGCTTTGAAAGTGAAGTTATAAATTTTAAAAAAAATCAATATCTCCGTTATTCTTGAACTTAAAGCAACTAGAGTTTAATTGAAATTTGTAAAGGGGGTATACTGGGTGGCGCACCATTAATATTCAACAGAATTTTGTTAACCCTTGATGGATTTTAAAAATCTTTGCTTTGTTTTGTGGGCAATTCAATTCTTAAACTTTTCTTACTCTAGTAATTTTTCGTAAAAACTCATCATTTTCATCAAAAACTCGAATAACTTAAAACGCGCGCTCTAGGTGTGTTATTTAAAATCATCGAAAATTCAAAAGTTGGCTATGAAAATAAACGTCAAACTTGACAATGAAGCAAGTAAGTTGTTCAATTAAGTAATTGTTGTTTGAGTGTTTTTAAAATGAACGGGAAGTTTTCTTTTAACGAGCAAGTTGACATGCTGTTAGTGCTAGGTTTTTGTGAAGGAAACTGTAGAAGAAGTGTAGAAGAATATCGTAGAAGATTTCCTAACCGTATCATTCCCCATAGAGAAACATTTTCTAATGTTGAAAGACGAGCTAGAGAAACGGGCAAGTTTCTCAATAATACTCGAGAACGTGCTGTCGCACTCAGGCCACAAGTTGAGGTAGCCATTTTAAATGCTATTCAAGATGATCCACATATTAGTACTAGGAATTTATCTCGACAAATTGGTATATCGCAGAGTTCTGTGCATCGAGTTATCCGTCGCAATCTACTACACCCTTATCATGTACAAAAAGTCCAAGAACTTTTACCCGGAGATTTGGTTCAACGTGTCAATTTTTGTCAGTTTATTCTACACCAAGATAATAACTTCCAAAAGAAAATTCTTTTTACGGATGAGGCGACTTTCACTCGCAGAGGTATCACAAATCTCCATAACTATCATGAGTATTCTGACGTAAACCCACATGCAATAACTCCTCGGCATTTCCAACGTGAATTCAAAATTAATGTTTGGATGGGAATTATTGATCGATATTTAATTGGTCCTGTTGTTTTACCGAATCGGCTGAATGGTGAAAATTATTTAGAATTTCTACAAAACACCCTTCCGTATCTACTTGACGAGGTACCTTTACAACTAAGGTTGCAACATTGGTTTATGCACGATGGAGCACCGCCTCATTTTAGTATGAACGTAAGAAATTTTTTAAACCACCAGTATCCCAATAGATGGATAGGAAGAGGAAATAATTGCCCACAACGTTGGCCCCCAAGATCACCTGACCTGAACAAATGTGACTTCTTTCTGTGGGGAACGTTGAAAGAATTTGTGTATTCTTCGCCCGTTGCGTCTCAAGAAGAATTATGGAATCGCATTATTCATAAATGCACATCTATTAGGAATAATCAACAGTTATTAGATAGGGTGGATTTTAATTTTCGAAGAAGAATAAATTTATGCGTAAGAGAAAACGGCGATCATTTTGAACAATTTCTTTAATTTATCGATAAACAATTGTTTGTTCTGGTTGTTGTTTAAGTTTTTTGTGTTTATTTTGGTTAGTTGTTAATCCCAGTTTTTCACATTTCAGTATCTGTACTTACTTTAAGTTATTTTGTTACGTATCTAAATAATAATTTGCCAGCCAATTCCTACTGATCACATTAAATGACCTACTTTCTTGTTTGACGTTTATTTTCATAGCCAACTTTTGAATTTTCGCTGATTTTAAATAACACACCTAGAGCGCGCGTTTTAAGTTATTCGAGTTTTTGATGAAAATGATGAGTTTTTTCGAAAAATTACTAGAGTAAGAAAAGTTTTAGAATTGAATTGCCCACAAAACAAAGCAAAGATTTTTAAAATCCATCAAGGGTTAACAAAATTCTGTTGAATATTAATGGTGCGCCACCCAGTATACCCCCTTTACAAATTTCAATTAAACTCTAGTTACTGTCAAGTAACGCCCTAAATACATCCACAAAGTGTACCAAATTTGGTTGCTTTAAGTTCAAGAATAACGGAGATATTGTTTTTTTTTCAAAATTTATAACTTCACTTTCAAAGCCTATAACTCCTTAGGGAAGCAACTTGGTATAGAGGTAAGTTGCGTTAAATTGCCATATTTTGGGACCCCCTATATGCCCCTGCTCTATGTCGGTTCTTATGTGAATCACCCTGTATAAAGTAGTTTAACATTTACACATTTTAAAAGATCAATTTACACTGCATAAAAAGCACGATTTCTCGTTAAAAGAGTTGTACCAGTTTTATATGACGCGAAGTGTGCCACTGTATATTAAAGCACTTTCCAAAAATCGGTTTCTTACTACAAATATACCAAAAATAAAGCCATCCAAAGCTTTCGCGCGGATATCAAGTGTATATTATCGAATATTAGTAATAATAACAACAATAATGTTTATTTAAAAAAATACGATCTATTGATTATTATTATATGTATAAAAATCCTTTACTATTTCACCTTAGAATATAATAAAATCAATTTAAATGTAGTTAGCATTTATTTAAAAAATAATTCCACTAGATGAAGAAAGAAAACTTTCGAATCCGTCGTCGAAGTAATAAATAAAAATATTCTCTGCAAAGAAATTACTATCAACACAATAGTTACAATATACTGACAAATTAGACCAGCCCGCGTTTCAGGTGGAGATGAATACCGAGATAAATAGGCGTCTCATTAGACTGAACGGAGAAAGATAGAATTATTACAAGTACAAAAACAAAGAGGGGGTTGCGTACAGAGATATTCTATGAAATGGATGAGGTACCTCTCAACTTCGACCGAACGGAAAGCGGTAGAACATTTATATTAAATGAATACTATTTAAAGAAATTTGAAAAACAATCGGTTTGCACAAATACAAGTTTTCTTTGCTGATAGAGCAGTTAACGTCTTTTGGTTCTTATTAATGTTTACACTGTATTGCTCCCATTGTCCTTCTTGTATCTGCCAGTAACTCCCTAATAGTAAATAAAGTTCCTCTCAAAGTTTCCTTTTCAGAATAAAAGATATATGTATAAATCAAACAACAAAATATTTCGCTATAATAAAAACTTGTTCAATCTTCCAACAATCTTTTCGATTTAATGTATTTAAAGCAGTGCGGTTTGCAAACTTTTTTCTAAGTCTGAAATAAAAAAAGTGGTCACGCCCCCCCCCCCCCCCCTCTCCCTTTATAGAAACAGAAACTATTTACAGAAACAATTTAATCTTATTTATATGAAAACTATATTTGGTATCACTAATCTACTCCAATATATTTTTATTTGAATTTGTCAAATATGATTTTTTTTTTATTTTAAAGCTAAATATTGTTATTAATACTTCAGGGCTCTTGCGAGCCCCCCCTTAATGTTATTTCGCGCTCCCAGTTTGAGAACCACTGAATTAATAGAGAGAGAGAGAGAGAGAGAGATATGCTTTATTGTCGTAAAAAAATTTACAAAAATTTTATAGACAAAGCGTGTAACTTAAATACTAAACATATTATAAAAATAACTAAACAGCAGAAAAAACAAACAGAAACAAACAGACAAAATAGGAATAACAATTGCAATGGATATGCAATATCCGTCATTATAATTATTCTAATTTAATTTTTAAATTTAAATTTAAACTTTAATATTTAATTATTTAATTAATGCCATTGTATGTGGAACTCAAATGTCTAAGGTACGTTATAAAATTCTGCTACTGTATAATATGGTCTTTCTAGAAGAAAAGCTTTAGCCAGTCTTCGGAACTTATCGTATGTATTTATAGATTTTAATTGCATCGGAAGGTTATTATACAATTTTTTGGCATTGTAGGTAATGGAATGTTTTAATAGGTCAGAAGTGGGCATTGTTAAATAAACATCAGTCTCTAAATTTCTTGTAGGATATCTACGAGTCGGTCTTTCGGATAAATTTTGAATGTGCTTGCGAACTAAGCAGACGGATTCGAAAATAAATAGAGCAGGAAGGGTTAGAATTTTGAAATTTTTGAAGTAATTTTCGCAATGTGTCCTACTACTTAAACCAAATACATAGCGGATTGCTCTTTTTTGCAGTTTAAAAATAGATTCGAAAAGGTATAAGCTACAAGAACCCCAGAAAGGTAAACCATAGCGAAGGTGAGATTCGAATAAGGAAAAGTAGGTTATTAATGCAGTAGAAGGAGTCAGCTCTTTAGAAACCGATTTAATGGCAAAACATGCGGAGGATAATTTTTTTGCTAAGGTATCTATATGAGCAGACCATTTTAGAGAATCGTCTATATAAAGACCTAAAAACTTGATTGAAGTCACCGTTTGGATCAGATTATTGTTTAAAGTTATAGGTTGTAAAGTACCTCTGTAAGACAATGCTACAGTTTTACTGGTGTTGAAACAAAGTCCATTCGAATCAGACCAGGACTTAATAGTCACTAGATCTTCACTTATGATAGATTGTAATGTCTGCATGTTAGAATTATTCCAGGTTACACTGGTGTCATCAGCAAATAAAGTAATTCTACCACTTATTCTTAAGTCTGTGATGTCTGTGATGTCGTTGATGAATAATAAAAACAAAATTGGACCTAATACTGATCCTTGAGGTACTCCACTGCTTATTGCTAGATTTGTAGAATCTTCACCATTCGCCCGCACCTGTTGATTTCTACTTTCTAGGTAAGTTTTAAACCATTGTAAAGGAGAAAGCATAGTAATAAACACCAAAGTTTGAAATACAAAATTTGAAACAAACAAGTATTAAAAGTAATTTTAAAAAACCGACTTCAAAATCGTGCAGATGCCGTCATCACATGTTAACCAAATTTATATGGGACCACCCCCTGAGGTATCCCCTTACTAATAAAAAAAAGAATCATAGAAATCTGAAAAGATGGTAAAGAATTATCGCTAAACATACATAAAAATGAAGAGTTTGAGGATTTTATAATGGACCCAATTATTAGATTTTGACCAAATTAATATGGGACCACCCCTGAAGTACTTCCTTTCTAGCAAAAAAAAAAAAACACTGCGTTAAAGAATACATAAAAAAATATATTACGAAGAATCGAGAACCTCATCCTTTTTTGAAGTCGGTTAAAAAGTAACGCAGTTTTTTAATTATTTACAATTTCTATCACCTATTATTTAATAAATTAATAAAACAATACCTGATGTCTCTGCAACAACTGCCTATGTTTAAAACTTCTATCGCACTTATTACACACGAACCGCTGATTATTATGTTCAGTTTCTTTGTGGTACAAAAGGGTACTGGAATGACGTAAAACTTTATTGCAAATATCACAAGTATATTTCTGTTTTCCATTCTGTTCTTTCAAATGAAGTGTTAATGGTTCTTGAGTGGAACCGTTTGTATCCGTAAGAGTATTTGAATGTTCCATGCTCGAATCTTGAGTATCTTCTATAGTTGGGATGTCTGTTATGTTGATGGCTTCAGTTAATGTTATAGATTCCTGAAATAAGGATATTTTTATATTAAACTTTAAAGTTCCAGAAACTTAACCGTTAAAAGTCTTAATTCTTCTTAAGCAGCTACACAATATAAAATCTGACATAAGGAGAAATAATACTCACTTTTGAAAAAGTCTTAAAACTAATTATTTGAAATGGAAAGCTTGCGAAAACTGTGAGATAGAAAATTAAGTAGTGTAAAAATGTTCTTTAATACAAATCTTTTTTGGAAACACGATTTTCATCATCATAGAACTGTAGGGTCCGATTACAATAAGAAGAACATAGCTACGTCATCATTTGGCAAAATAATTAATTGGCTATCGCCACCTACTGGGAGTTTAATGAAGTGTTACTATTATAGGAATACAGGAAATATTTTTTTACCACTAACAACTTACTTATTCTTTATTTACTGATAGGTATAAATCATATATATTAAATATTCGAATTAATGGTTATGACGTAGCAGTGTTCTTCTTAAGCAGATATACAATATAAAATCTGACATATGGAGAAATAATACTCACTTTTGAAACTTGTTCATCTGAGCGAACTTCACTTTCTTCGGTCTCTAACAAATCCTCATTTATAATTTCAATTTCGTGAGACTTCATGTGTAGATTAAAACTCATTTCATGTATAAATATTTTCGAACAAATTTGACATTCATATTTCTTTATTTGATCTTTCTTAAAATTTACTAAAAAAAATTAATTGACAATTAGACAAATTTAGTCTCAAAATAATTTCTTTAAGAATGTTTACAAATTATTATAGAAATAATAATAATAAAACCAAATGCTCATCGATTCTTTAGTCAGTACAATTTGTATAGCTTTCAATGATGACTGTTTTTAAGATACTAATTCTAATGGTCTTTATGTATACATAATGTTTATGCTATTTGTTTATTGTTGCTATAAAATTGCTTATTCTTTAAAGGTTGACATACATTTATAATATTATTTATAATCATTTATGTAATCAAGTTATTTTTAACATGTTTTAAAGTTCGAAAGTCAATTTTTTATAATTTTTTTTATCTATTCTAATTTTATTTATTTTTATGTTTAAAATATTTAAACTTTGTAATTTGAACATTCGTTCTCTTGTGACAAATTTTTGACTGTATTGCTATTACTGAAACATGGTTGTCTGCAAATATTGATACAAACACCATTTCAATTCCTGGATTCAATTTTTACTGACTTGATAGACAATCTAGAGGTGGTGGTGGTGTTGGTCTTTATTTAAATAATTATATTACTGGTTTACAATTAGTTGAATTTAATTTCTCTGACTTAAACTGTGAGCAAATGTGGATTAAATTTACGCTAAACGGTTTTCGCGTTTGCATTAGAATTATATATCAACCACCTAAAGGTAGTGCGTCCCTTTTTATTGATAGTATTGACTCTACTTTGTCGAAAATTCTGCCTACATTATTTGCGTAGGTGACATAAAAATTGATTTGTTGACAAATGATAATCCATCTTGTTTTAATGCTTATATCAATCTATAACTGAATCTACTAGAATAACATCCACTTCAATGATTCTGCTTGATCCTATTTATATAAGTAATTGTAGTTTAGTAAAAAATCCAGGTGTAAACCAAACAAATTTGTCTGACTATGGGTACTCCTTCTGTAGTTTGGAATTTTTAAAAATAAGAAAGACACCTAAATTTTATACGTTTAGAGATTTTAAAATTTTTGACTATGGCAGTTTTTGCAATGATTTAATAATAATGATGATAAAGTGCAGTTTCTCACAGAACAAATTATTCTCGTCATTTTTGACGAAATAAATTTTGAAACATCAAGACCATTGATGAAGGAGTTAATAAATTAAGACTTGAACTTAATGAAGGCTCTGAGCCTGAAAACTCCATTCCTATTAAAATGTCTAAAACAAAATTAAAACTGATCGAAAACTCTACAGAATCTGTACAAAATAAAGAAACAGGTAAATTAATCGTTAAAATAGATAAACTTGTCACCAAAACAGATAACGAATACAATTGTTAGCTTCCAGTATTTATTACATAAATATTTGCTAGACAATCCCTGTAGTATTTTTGGCTGACACAAGATATTCTAATATTTGGATGAGTGGACAGACGCAGTTTTAACAAGAAAGAAAAGGAAATATAGACCGGCATTGATTCATTCATGATTAGCTGTTCAACCATTATTGATTAATAAAGTTTATTTTTGTAAAGTGAATTTCTATTACCCCTTAGATAATACAATAGCATACATTCGCCAAATGAAATTCACAAAACTGATTTAAGACAGAGCGAAAGAATTAAAAATATTCCTTCTACTTCATACAATGAAGAACCCTGTGTACAATCACTTATTTGTACAATTCCTGAATCTTATAATGAGATAAATATGGGGACGATAAAATTCAGTGGGAGTAAGCAATAAATTCTTTGTTGATTAATAAAACATGGTCAATAGTCGACCGACCTCTTCACAAAAATATTGTTGATTGTAAGAGGATCTTTACCATTTAAACTGATGCTTATGGTAATCCACAAAGATATAAAGCTAGATTAATTGCCCGAGGTTTTAGTCAGCAATATTTATTAGATTATGATGAGACATTTGCGCCCGTAGTAACATTTAGATTTATAATCATTTTAGCTAATCAATATAACTTATTGTTACATCAAATGGACGTCAAAACAGCCTATCTTAATGGTATTTTGACTGAAGAAATATATATGCGTATACCGGATGGTTTTATAGCTAAACAAAATAAAGTCTGTAAATTAAATAAATCATTATGGTTTAAAACAGTCAGCAAGATGTTGGTTTATTCTTTTTGACGAAATATTAAAAAGACATGACTTTAAAAACTCTGAAGTAGACCGTTGATTATATTTTTTAAATAGAGGCCACATCAATAAAAATATCTTCATAATATTATATGTCCAGGATCTGTTAATAGCCACAGCTGATAGAAATACTTTAATAAGTTTTAAAAATTATTTGAGGAATCAGTTTAGTATGGAAGATATGCATAAGAATTAAAACTTTTTCTAGGTATTAGAGTGGACCGAAATAAAGATAGAATTACTTTAGATCAGAGTTCATATTTGAAAACCATTTTAAATAAATTTAATATTGCCGATTGCAAGCCAGTAAATACGCCATTGCCAAACAAATTAAATTATGCTGACTTAAATCTAATATAAATATTGAAGCTCCCTGTCGAAATTTAATAGGTTGTTTAATGTATGTAATGTTATGTACACGACCAGATATATGTACTGCCATTAATTTATTAAGTAGATACCAAAATAAAAATAATAAAGAATTATGGCAATGCCTTAAACGAATTTTAAGATACATAAAAGGTACATTAAAACTTAAATTAGTTTATAAACAAAGTAATGTTAATCATATTTTGGTTGGGTATGTAGACTCCGATTGGTGTAATAATGAGACAGATTGTAGAAGTACAACACTCTATATTTTTAAATTATTTGAAAGCTGTATAATTTGTTGGAATACTAAAAGACAAAATTCTGTAGCAGCTTCATCTTCCGAAGCTGAGTATATGACACTTTTTGAAGGCGTACGAGAAGTTTTATGGCTTAAATATCTTTTAAAAGATGTTAACCTAACTATAACAGAGCCTATAATTATATATGAAGAGAATAATGGTTGTATAGTAATATCTAATAATCCTGTGTTTCATAAACGGTCCAAACACAATGATATCAAATATCACTTTACAAGAGAATAAGTAAATAAAAATGTGGTAATCTTAAAATATATTTCAACAGGTAACCAATTAGCAGATGTTTTGACAAAATCTCTGCCGTTTCCTAGATTCCAGGAACTACGTTTCAAAATGGGCTTGATGGATATCCAGGACACACCTGATTTTAAAAATAAGATTAATTAACATTGTTTCTGGTCTGATTGGTATTTTTGGGGTTTTCCCAATCCTTGCAACAAATGTTGGACCATAAAAACTTTTCCCCAATATTAATAACACATAAGTTTAATTTTAACTTTACTATTAATTTTTTTTTAATTATTCATCCTTTTCTATTTTTGAGTGGGAGTATTAGATACACCCTTTATATATGTTTCATGTTTCTATTACAAAACAAAAAGGAGAAAATAAGAGTTTCATATCACATTCAAAGAATGTTGTCCCTTAAAACTGAAACTGCTAAAAAAGCATAAATGCATACTTTCCGATATAGAAATATTGTTGCGACATAATAAACAGAAAGCTCTTTGCTAGTATTTTAATTTATATTGTAGTTTTATTTGTGAATGCCCTTTTCCTATTACAAATCTAATATGAACAGACAGGAGTTGAAATCTGTTAGTAAGATAGTAAGTCAATATAGTCACCGCAGGGTGCTTCTTGTTTAATAGTATACTAAATCATCTTTTAGATGCACTAAATTAGACCCAGATTTTTGAATTGGTACAGGAGAAAAATTCTACTACAAACTATACCATTTTTATTTTGTTCTTCTTTAATTTACTAAGCTTTGTAAAATAAAAACGAATAAATACCTATTTTACTTTTTTGCTTAACAAAAATAGGTCTTCCTAAATCCTTCCCATATTCACTTTCAGTTCTACCGATGATAAGTTCAGTATATGTTTTAAATTGATCTCGAGTTTTAGACACATCCTTTACATCATCCAGTACACCCTCTTTTATTAATATATCTTCTAATTCCTTGCCCTAGAAATTAAACAATTTTAATTGAAAAATAATTATATATTTACATCTTTTTCGTAATGTTAATAATAAATAAGTATTAAAAGTAATTTTAAAAAACCGACTTCAAAATCTTGTAGATGCCATCACCACATCTTGAACAAATTTATACGGGACCACCCTTTACTAACAAAAAAAAATCATAATAATTGGACAAGGTAGTAAAGAATTATCGATAAACATACGTTAATTTTGTGTCAAGTATAACACCAAGATCATTAATACAATCATTTCTATTAATTATGGTACCATCTAAATTATAGTCGAATACTATTGGGCTTACTTTTCGGCTAAATATCACAGTATTACACTTAGATGGATTCAAAGGCAAAGTATTTAATTCATACTACTCATTAACTCTTTCTAAAGATTTCTGGAGTTCTCTGCAATCATCAATTGAACATATCTCAGCATATATTTTTAGATCATCAGCATATAGTAGGTACTGAGAATTATCTGATATAGGGGTCTATTCTGTAAAAATTCCTTTATATTTAACAAGTGGCAGTGTCTGTGAAAACCAATTTTTTCAGGAAAACATTAAAAAAATTATATCCTAGAGGTTCCAATCCGACACTGTGTGTAAGTCATATAATAATAATAATAATAATAATAATAATAATAATATAAAAGCCATAAAATCCCCTTTTTCATGTTATATATTCTCAATAAAATATCAAAGGATTCGACAGGGTTAACCACAGTTGCTTGATTGGTAATCTTCTGAAATGGATCGAATGCTTTATAATGAACTGCATTCAAATTGTTCATGTTTCTGGCTTCTTATCCTCTAACTTTACCGCTACATCTGGTGTCCCTCAAGGGTCACATTTGGGACTTCTACTTTTTAATATATACAGGGTGTACCAATAAAAACTCCCAGGCCGGATATTCTGGTAAGTAATAGAGATATTTTAATTCTGTAAAAACCAGTTCACAGAGCACTAAGAGAGCTTCTGTATTAGATATAAATTGATTTTAAATAGGTCAATATGTAGATGGCGCTGCTCACAATAAATTTTTTTCGATGGGAGAATCTTTCTTGTGTAGCGCATCTTGTAAAAATGCATTTTTAAGCAGATTTTGTTTTATGAACTAATTCGATATATCTAGCCATTTTTGATATACAGAGTGGGTCACTTAAAACAGTTTCATCCTATTTTTCAGCATTAATCATCGGATTTTAAAAAAATGCTAAAACAGGTCGATTTTTATTCCAAATTAAAAACATATTTACAATACAATACCTTAATTTGAAATAGGTTATGTACTATGTATGGCACATCATTGAAAAGGTAATGTAATGGGGGATTCAGAAATATTTCTATACATTGCGTTACTTAAATTTTATCGCCCTCTAGCGGGATAACAAACTACTACGTATTATAGAGTGTGATACTACAATGTGTAGTACACCATTAAAAAGGTAATTTTATGGGGAATTTAGAAAAATGACTGTTCATTGTGACACTTTTAATTGTACCGCCCTCTATCGAGATAAAAAACTACGTATTTTAAGGTGTGACACCTTAATTGAAAGCAAATTTAATTACTAATTTAATGTACCACATAACATTAATTAATAACATAATAATAATATAAATATCCATATTGCACTTGCAATAGTGTGAAAATTAGTCATGTATTATTTTAAACATTATTGCTTTTATTTTGTACAATATGGAAATATTTATATTAATGTTATGTGGTGCATTAAATCAGTAATTAAATTAGCTTTCAAATGAAGTGTCACACTTTATGTTACAGATTTTTATCCCGATAGAGGGCGCTAAAATTAAAAGTATCGCAATAAACTGTCATATTTCTGACTTCCCCATAAAATTACCTTTTTAATGATGTACCGTACATGGTACATTCCTTATTTAAAATTAAGGGGTTGGAGAAGTGGAAGGGAGGGGTTGACACATGACAGATGTCTGTATTGTAAAAATGTGTTTAATTTGGAATAAAAATCAATCTGTCTTAGCATTTTCTAAAAATCCAATGATTAATGCCGAAAAACAGGATGAAACTGTTTTGAGTGACCCACTCTGTATATCAAAAATGGCTAATTTATCGAATTAGTTTATAGAACAAAATTTGCTTTAAAATGCATTTTTTACAAGATGCGCTACATAAGAAAGATCCTCCCATCAAAAAAAAATTATTGAGCGCAGCGCCATCTACATATTGACCTATTTAAAATCAATTTATATCTAAAACTGAAGCCCTCTTAGCGATCTATGAACTGGATTTTACAGAATTAAAATATCTCTATTACTTACCAAAATATCAGGCCTGGGAGTTTTTATTGGTACACCCCAGGGTTACCAGGTTTTTGAAAGAGATGACGGACAGACAGGGGATTTTAGGGGAAATAGGGGGAAGTAAAAACGACTCTGTCTATTTTCATTTTTTTAATCAAAATTACTTATTTTGTATAACAATGACATCCAAAATTGTTTTAAGAATTCTCAATTCCTTTGCTTTGCTGATGATTTAAAATTATTCATGAGTGTTAATTCCTTACATGATTGTATTTGCCTTCAAAAAGACTTTGATAACTTGGTCCAATGGTGTAGTATTAATGGAATGGAATTAAAAACAAGTAAATGTCATGCAATCAATTTCAACAGAAAACATAGTCCTATTGAATATATCTATACATAACACTGGATACTATTACAGAGGTAAAAGATTTGGGTGTGATATTAGACTCCACCCTTTCTTTTCAAACTCATATAACGGCCTCAGTTAATAAAGCATTAAGAATGTTGGGTTTCCTTAGAAGAACTACTTCTGATTTTCATAATGTGATGTGTTTAAAGATTCTTTATTGTGCCTTAGTTAGATCTTATATTGAATATGCTTCTTCTGTATGGAATCCTTTTTATGTAGGTATATCTAATCCATAATATAGAACAGGTTCAAAGAAATTTTCTGAGCAGAAGAAACCAAAGGGATCTTAAAATTATTATGGTTCTCATTCTTTTATTCCTAGAGTGACAAGATCTGCTAATAGATTAAATGTAGAATCAGATTTTTCTAACCATTTATGCATATGTAAGGAGTAGATGTTAGATTTTTGTTTTTTAATATGTATATATTTAAATTAATTTATTATTATTTAGGATTTTATTACTATTTAATGAATGTGATATGTATTATCTGTAATTGTATTGTTTTAATGGTCTCTGACCCATAAATAAATAAATATATTAATCAGTTGCAGATATAGTGGTTTCTTTGTGCCAATTTATCAATTTTAACCAAAACAAACAGTAAGTACAATAAAATAATTTATTAATTTGTTTTTCCTTTGTTGTTACCTGTACAAGTCCATCAAATCTAGCTGGTGCTCTAATTTTTCTTTTCTTCCTACCATCTGTTCCTATTTCATCTTCAGATTTTTCATCCTCACAATTTTCCACATTTGCTGCTTCTGCATATTCTAAATTTTCCTGTTTATCCTCATGAACCACTTTTTTTGCCGGTCTACCTCTCTTTCTTTTAGGTCTATCCAAACCCTCTGCTAGGAGTTTTAGTCCGTGTTCAGCCAGGTATAGTGAGGAATTTGATAAATCTACAATACAAAGTCCAAAAAGTTTATAATTTCCGTTTTACAAATTTTTTAATAGTTAACTACTTTAGATATTCAACAATTACCTTAATATTAAGAACAAATATGAATGAAAAATGTTTTATTATAAAATTGATCTCATTTCAAACTTAATGTCATCGATACTAATTATAAAAACTAATTTTATAAAAACAAAATGAGTAAATTTAATATTAATTATCTGATCTAATATAAATATAAAGGATTACTATTTAAATAATCTGCTTCAAGCTGCGCAATTTTTGCCTGTTTTTCTTGTTTTTTGTACAATTCCCTCAATCTTGATTGTCCATTTACTATTAAATCCATAAATAATTTTGTGGCTTCTAATTGTATGTGACATCCTGGACAAATAATTTTTGGAAAAATATCATCTTTTTCTACCTAAATTTAAAATTTTAAAAATTGTTAATTTAAATTTCCCAAACTACTAAAAGAATCAAGTTAAGTACTAAATTGAAAAAAGTAACTTACAACGATAGGCAGATATTTGTTAATTAGCTGTTGTAAATTTGACGAATTTTCATCTGTTTCAAAAATATGTATTCCATTATCGTTTCTCTCGGCGCAAAGCCTACAAATATTTAAATCACATAACAAAATTGGTTCGTCCATTTTTATTTTTTGATGGTATGAAAAATGAAAACAAAAATACCCAAATCAGGTTCGCCAACATGACAACTGCCAACATGAAAATACAAAAGTACCTAGAATGAATATTGTAATTATCACGTGACTAGCTCAGAAAATATCAGGACCGATTTCACCGTTGTGTTAATCGAAGATTAAAATGACATTTTACAGTTCGTACGAACCTTAGACTAGGTAATAAAAAAAGGACTCATAACGTCGCTGAAAATCTTGTGCCATTTTGACACTAACGATATTTGACCAAAGGCGTAACATGTTGGAAATAAAAAAACGAACTTTTATTTATATTATTAGTACTTCATTGATCTTTTTAAGTATAAAGCAAGTTCAGAGAAAAAAAATATATTGAAATAAACTAAATGAAATCGTTTACATAATAAAATGAGTGTTTTTTTTTTAATTCTGCAAAATAAAACAATGATTTACATATATTACAAAAAGATTTATTTTTACTCAATAAAGAATGACACTACCCAGATAGCACAGACACGTTTTAGAGACATCTTAAATACGTTTATTCACGAGGTTCGTGACGTTTTGAATATCTACGCTAATATCCAAAAGATGTTTTAAAGACGTCTATAGGACGTACTTTGTTACAAAATAAGGCGTCTTTATTAGGACATCTAATTTTGTACGTCTTTAAGGACCGATTCCACCGATGTGTTAGATGAAGTTTAAAATGACATTTTTACATTAACAATGTTATTTTAATCTCCGTTTAACACAATGGTGGAATCGACCCTTAGACATCCAGTTTTGTACGTCTTGAAGATAAACCGTATTGGACGTGTTTAAGTTGTTTATTTACTTGATGGAAATTCATTTAAAAAAAATAAATAAATACTTGTCTACTATATTTAATACTGTTTATTATACATTAACTGACACAGAGTAAATATTATTTTACAGTGTTGGATAAAATAATTAAAAATACTTGTTACCATAAGAAACTATTCCAGTTTGGTCGATTTAAAAATGTCTTTTATGGTATTAATTTTAGCCAAAGCGTTCGTAACTAATGTCTCCGTAGCATATAATTTTGTTTTAAGGTTTTTCAAAAAAATAAGGCATTATTAAAGTGAGATTATGAAATTAAAAGGCAAATAAATTAAAACTTACCGTTTTTAATGATAAAGTTTACTAGTTCCGGTATACCACAGTTCCAATAATGGCAGAAGAAGGCAGCTAGAGGAAGAACACGACTCGATACGCGCGCGCGAGACTCCATTCAGCCAATGACAATGAAGACATGCGCTGCAGGCAGCGTTAAGAACGCTGTCGTGGCGCCATATTCAAATATAGTGAAAAGAGTTGAACGTCCACATTACCGACATATTTAAAACGTCCTAAAAATATCCCAACAAAGACGTTTTAAACATGTCTTGAGCAGGGCGTCTTAAAACCGTCCGTTTTACGTACCAGGACGTTTGGACGAAAGTAAGACATGAACTGGACGTCTTTAAGATGTAATGTGCTCTCTAGATATTATTAAATTAAGCTAGTAAGAAAAATTATACATAAATGAAGATAAATTTATTACTGACCCTTAACTAATACTAATTTGGTACAATAACAAGAAGTTTTAGCGAACAACTCTTTTTTTATATCTTTTAAGTTTTTGTTTAAGAACTTTGATTTGTCTTGTTTTTTTTTTCTTTATTCTTTTCTACCTGTTGTAAAAGTTATCTTCTAAGCCGTTTTATGCTAGGGCTTTCTAGGATAAATTCCTTATTTGAAGTTCTATTTGAAGAGCCTGGCTCACTACTAAGTATAGATGGCGATACCACTGTCGCATCTACTCATGCTCGACCCGCCCTAATTGAGTTCGATCGAAATTTGTGTCCTAATCACTCCATTAGAGACTGGAGTGGAGAATTTCCATTTATTGCTGAAGAGTCCTAATAAGGATGACTTTCTCCTTAGTGGGCAAAATCAAAGGCAGAGTGTTGAAAATATTTTTTATCTCTGCTATTTTTTTTCGACGTTATTCAATAATCATTGGTTACTTATGAACCTCTACTAAAGATACCCATAAAATATTTTGCTGAATATCCAAATATCTTCTATATCCTGGGATATAGACGGACAATTGGTTGGATATCCATATTGGATATATTTAATATCCACAAAATATATTCTGTGGATATCTCTGGGATTTCTTATATTGTCTGGAAGATACCCATTAGATATTTTGCTGGATATCCATTAGGATATCTTCTATATTCTGGATATAGACGGTCATTTGGATATCCATATTAGATCCACGGAATATTTCTGATATCCTGTACATAAATTGGATATCCACAAAAGATATTCTGTGGATATCTTTGGTATTTGGTGTGTTGTCTTGGTAGTGGGAACAGCTCCATTTAGTAAACGAAAACGAAAAGCATAAAATAAACAAACTTGGTGGGTAAAATTTATTACTCTGGAGTGAAACACGTACAATATGTAAATACCAAGTTGTATAACACCAAATAAAATGAAAAATATAAGAAATATTTTAACGTTATCCATTATCTCTTACCTTAAAAGATGCACACACATCTTCTTCCTCTCCAGATAAAGTGAAAACGACTGATGTTTATAATTTACCTGTAAAACGTAATATCTGCTTATTTCTTGCCGCTATAACTTTAACACTGATATGCCACACAATAAACCATTGTAATAAACCAATTATGAAATGTCGTTTAATTCAAAAATCAGAAATAAATACGAACAAAAACTTTGGTGTCACCGAAATGATTAGCACCACAATAATGGCGGCCAATAGATAATCGGCAACAAAATACTACGTGTGCTCGTGGCATTTCGGATGTGTCAATCCAAAAAAAATCAACGTGAGCCTAACATAAAAAAAGATAAAATGACATTTTAAGGCTTAAATTAAATGACATTTTACAGCATAAATTACAACAATTTTTTATTCCATATATACATACAATTATTATAAAAAAATACTTACAAAAAATGAGTGAGGCGCTGCCGAACTACGAAGAATTCGTCGAAGGAAAATTTACCGAAGCTCGTGTACTAGCGATAAAAAAGATGTTTAAAAAACACATGATTAAAGTTAAAAAGGTAAAAGGATCTACTGAACCAGATAAAATGGCAACCACGGATATTGGAATTCTGTTCAGAAAATTAAATTTTAATCCTACGAATTCAGAAATAATAGAAATGATGCGGACAATTGATCCAAGTAAAGAAGGAACCATTACTTTCTATCAGTTTTTATATATTTTATGGATAAAAACCATGTCTGGAGAGGAAGAAGATGTGTGTGCATCTTTTAAGGTAAGAGATAATGGATAATGTTAAAATATTTTTTTTTTACATAGATACATTCAGAAAAATTCCTCCATCTGTAGCACTGAGATAAAATAAAAAGGAAATGCTATGATGATACTTAATTGTCCGCCCTTTGCATTACATTTTTACGTCAATGTCAAACTCGAGATAGTGTAGGTATAGTCAGTTTTGGTGAGAATAAATACCATTTTTTTTTAATAGCTTCATTTAAACGATATAACATTTTTTTCATTCCGTCAGTCTTCAAATATAAAATTACTGACTTCAAATAAATCAAAGTACCACTCAATTCGCCATTTTCATTACACTTTTCCGTCACAGTGCGTCCATTTATCATATCGCAAAATAATATTTGTCATCTCTACTTTATTCTATCTCGATGATTTGTAGCAATTTTAAAATATATTTTTCAAAAAGTTATTCGACACAGATGGAGATGGTATCATTGCAGTAGACGATTTAAAAAGACTATTAACTAAAGTTGGAGAACCATTTGACGAAGAGGAAATGAAGGCTTTCGCTCTTCACGCTGATTCAAATGAAAATGGTTTAATTGATTATGAGGATTTTGTAAATAGGATGAACATAGAAGAGTCCGAAGAGAAAACCAAAGAAACTAAAGGAATTGAAGAGACAGAAGATGCGGAAGAACCAGATGAGGATTAACTATTTTTATAGTGTTGTAATTATACATGTTTATACTTAAGGTTGTTTTAATCAAAATAAACGTACATCCCTTATGATTTTACGGTTTTGCCATTTTTACCGATTTCGCGGAGAATGAGTGCAATATTTACCTTTCTGCCTTTGCCTAAAAACGTAAACGTCACAAAGCACCTACCTCTAAAAAAACGTTCTTGACTTCACCTTTAAAAATCGATTACATTTCTTATAATCGAATTAGTGTAGAATCGAATAAGACAAACGTCAAATGTCAATTACGGATGTGTGGTTAAGTTTACAATATGTTTACAAATTTGAGAATTTGTGTTGTGATTATTATTATTTGTTTGCAAAACACAATGTTGTTTTTAACTTTTATAGAATAAATTATAAACGATACATTTAATTATTAATCAACATAAAACAAGACAATGTCTTTTGAAGACAACCAAATTGATAAAATATGTAGAACATGTTTATCAGAAGGGAATACAATGAGATCAGTATTTACATTAGATGATTCCACTGGAGATAGTATACCCTTATTTGAAATGTTGATGTCTTTTACATCTGTAGAGGTAATAAAAATTATATTCTAAAGTTAAACTCTTCAGCGAAAGTGGTGGTTAAGTTACAATAGCTTCTAAAATCATTCATTGAATTCTTACTTTACAGATATTGGTAAATGACAACCTACCAAGCCAAGTATGTTTGCAATGTGTCCACTACATAACTAGGTCATTTTCTTTTAAACAGCTTTGTGAAAGGTCAGAAAATACTCTTAGACAAGTTATAAGTCGTAACTTATCTCTGAATTATGTGGAATTAAAGCCAATGCTTGCTTCAGACTCCATAAATACATCTCCAGGTCAAAGTATACTACAAAATGGAATTATATCAAATCAAAATTCAATTTCTGAAGATATAGTAAATGATGAAATCTTAACTCCTAAGGAAGATGCTTTGAAAAGTGTCGAGTCAATCCAGTCTTACTTTGAAAATCCAGGAAGTGTTATTTCTGAATGTAAAGATTTTGAAAATGTAGGAAGTGTTATTTCTGATTGTAAAGATATCAAGGAAACTATTGTAGATATTAAATTTTGCAACTTTTCTAATGTGCAATGTAAGTTTACTTGAACTATATTATTGATGGTGAAACCTGAAAAGTGTGTAGTTCTATATTTTAATGAATTTCAGATTTTAGGTTCAAGTATTAGCTAGCTGGGTATAATATCGCTGTCAAAAATTGTTTATCATCCTGTCATAATTTTAAAAACCATGTTTTGTCTTCTGTAAAATTTCTTAAAATGGAGTTACACTTTTTTTGGGTTTTGCAGTCAATGTAATTCCATTATCTTATAGATATTTAGTAACTTTATGAAACAAAAATATTGAAGATCTTGATCAAGATGTTTTGAATCAATAATCACATTTCAACATTTAAAAACCAAAAGTTTTAAATAAAAAAGAAAATAAATCTTGTTTTGGGATCTTCTAAATGGTGTAACTGTTATACTTAAAATAACACTACATACACAGTAATATAACATTCTGAGAACATTTTTCTGTAATATTGTGCTCATATATTATAAAATTATTTATATTGTAAATAGGCATAATCAAAACACTCCAAATTTTAACCGGTGATATTTAAAGTAAAATGAATAAAAAATCCTTATATTGTTAGGTCCAAAACTCTGTGGTTAAGACCACTAATGCATCTGAACTCCAAGACAGCATAATTTGGGATCATTGCTTATAATATTTCATGATTTAATTATTAAACAAGTCATTACAGAAAAGAAAGATTTAGGGGCATGGCACACTTATGGCCACCTCTTGATTTAAGATCTAGAAATAAAGGTTTAGCAACAATATAAACAAAAATGGTGGTGAGAGGAGGTAAATGAGGATGTGGTAACATGATTGGGCAGGTTTGCAACTAATAAACCAAGTCCATTGGAAATCAGTAAAATAGATAGCATGTGTAATACATGCAAGCATTACTTGTAATTTTGCCTAAGAATTTATTTGTAAACATAACAAAAATCAGATCTATTGAGTATATTTTTGAAAATTTGCAATTCCAGAGGTAAGTAGATGTATTTTGTTTTCGACATCATACAGGGTGATTCACATAAGAACCGACATAGAGCAGGGGCATATAGGGGGTCCCAAAATATGGCAATTTAACGCAACTTACCTCTATACCAAGTTGCTTCCCTAAGGAGTTATAGGCTTTGAAAGTGAAGTTATAAATTTTGAAAAAAATCAATATCTCCGTTATTCTTGAACTTAAAGCAACCAAATTTGGTACACTTTGTGGATGTATTTAGGGCGTTACTTGACAGTAACTAGAGTTTAATTGAAATTTGTAAAGGGGGTATACTGGGTGGCGCACCATTAATATTCAACAGAATTTTGTTAACCCTTGATGGATTTTAAAAATCTTTGCTTTGTTTTGTGGGCAATTCAATTCTTAAACTTTTCTTACTCTAGTAATTTTTCGAAAAAACTCATCATTTTCATCAAAAACTCGAATAACTTAAAACGCGCGCTCTAGGTGTGTTATTTAAAATTATCGAAAATTCAAAAGTTGGCTATGAAAATAAACATCAAACTTGACAATGAAGCAAGTAAGTTGTTCAATTAAGTAATTGTTGTTTGAGTGTTTTTAAAATGAACGGGAAGTTTTCTTTTAACGAGCAAGTTGACATGCTGTTAGTGCTAGGTTTTTGTGAAGGAAACTGTAGAAGAAGTGTAGAAGAATATCGTAGAAGATTTCCTAACCGTATCATTCCCCATAGAGAAACATTTTCTAATGTTGAAAGACGAGCTAGAGAAACGGGCAAGTTTCTCAATAATACTCGAGAACGTGCTGTCGCACTCAGGCCACAAGTTGAGGTAGCCATTTTAAATGCTATTCAAGATGATCCACATATTAGTACTAGGAATTTATCTCGACAAATTGGTATATCGCAGAGTTCTGTGCATCGAGTTATCCGTCGCAATCTACTACACCCTTATCATGTACAAAAAGTCCAAGAACTTTTACCCGGAGATTTGGTTCAACGTGTCAATTTTTGTCAGTTTATTCTACACCAAGATAATAACTTCCAAAAGAAAATTCTTTTTACGGATGAGGCGACTTTCACTCGCAGAGGTATCACAAATCTCCATAACTATCTTGAGTATTCTGACGTAAACCCACATGCAATAACTCCTCGGCATTTCCAACATGAATTCAAAATTAATGTTTGGATGGGAATTATTGATCGATATTTAATTGGTCCTGTTGTTTTACCGAATCGGCTGAATGTTGAAAATTATTTAGAATTTCTACAAAACACCCTTCCGTATCTACTTGACGAGGTACCTTTACAACTAAGGTTGCAACATTGGTTTATGCACGATGGAGCACCGCCTCATTTTAGTATGAACGTAAGAAATTTTTTAAACCACCAGTATCCCAGTAGATGGATAGGAAGAGGAAATAATTGCCCACAACGTTGGCCCCCAAGATCACCTGACCTGAACAAATGTGACTTCTTTCTGTGGGGAACGTTGAAAGAATTTGTGTATTCTTCGCCCGTTGCGTCTCAAGAAGAATTATGGAATCGCATTATTCATAAATGCACATCTATTAGGAATAATCAACAGTTATTAGATAGGGTGGATTTTAATTTTCGAAGAAGAATAAATTTATGCGTAAGAGAAAACGGCGATCATTTTGAACAATTTCTTTAATTTATCGATAAACAATTGTTTGTTCTGGTTGTTGTTTAAGTTTTTTGTGTTTATTTTGGTTAGTTGTTAATCCCAGTTTTTCAAATTTCAGTATCTGTACTTACTTTAAGTTATTTTGTTACGTATCTAAATAATAATTTGCCAGGGCGGCTGTCCTCGACAATCGCTAAAAAAACGAACCGTTTTCGAAAGTGAGTGGTTGAAAAGCGAGTAGTTTTTGAAATCTATATTCTTGACTGGCGTTCGATAAGCATTCGTTTTTTAAAACGTGTACGTTTTTAACAAGCAAATAATATATCTGGCATCACTGTAAACTGTCTATATCGCTGAATTCAAGTAATGTGCAGGCCATAAAAAAATAAGGATTATGTAATTTAATTACAACAAACCAATTGTAAATTTATCGAATGATGATTTTTTCTAATCACATAATATATCAATGTTCAGGATAAACTGAATCGTTAATCATTGGCGGAAAAACAGCTATACGGGTGCTGTCAGTGTAACCTATAATTCTAGGAAAATCGTACGTCATAAAACCTAGTTTTTATGATACAAAATTAACTTAAAAACTTTGCTAATCTCATTCAGTTCTTTAATATCTTGTGGCAATTTTACAAAATTGTTAAAATTTCTGGACACAACGTGTGATATAGAAGAGCTTTGAACTACCGCTTGCAAGAAACCGCAAGCAAATTATTATCTATAAATAAAACATACAATAATTAAATTCTTACATGGTAAAATATAAAAAATATTCATTCAATATCCATTAAATTAAAAAATTGAATTCTGCCTCTGCATGTCTGAATCTTTATGTTATGTTGAGAATGGGGTGTTAATACACTGCGACCTAAAAGATCTATTGTGCCCCCTTCTGTCGTCAATGCACTAAGGCAATGTCTCAATGCCTATAACGACCCTTCCAATCCTATTTTCTCAAAGAAGTGTACGATTTGAAGTGGCTTCAAGTTAGGTAAATCTCTGCTTTTAGCATTCTTATCTTCCAAGTTTTCTAATTGTACTAATTATTGTATTAATTGAAAGAAATTCTCAGCTATTTTAGTACTGCAAACCATATTTATAAGAAATTAGATACTTTTGTAAGTATTAATAAAACGTAAAATTTGTTAAAATCAATCAATATTATTAAGCATCCTAAAAGTGACATATAAGTGACATTGATTAAATCCTTGAAAACATGCACGTTTTATCACAAACGTGTGAAAAATTCCGCTCGCTGTAAAACACCCGTTTTAAAAACGTACACGCTTTTAAAACGAATGTCGAGAATAGCGAATAGCTCGCATGTTACTAAAGCGTATACGTTGTTTAGAAAACGATTGCCGAGGATAGGGCACCAGCCAATTCCTACTGATCACATTAAATGACCTACTTTCTTGTTTGACGTTTATTTTCATAGCCAACTTTTGAATTTTCGCTGATTTTAAATAACACACCTAGAGCGCGCGTTTTAAGTTATTCGAGTTTTTGATGAAAATGATGAGTTTTTTCGAAAAATTACTAGAGTAAGAAAAGTTTAAGAATTGAATTGCCCACAAAACAAAGCAAAGATTTTTAAAATCCATTAAGGGTTAACAAAATTCTGTTGAATATTAATGGTGCGCCACCCAGTATACCCCCTTTACAAATTTCAATTAAACTCTAGTTACTGTCAAGTAACGCCCTAAATACATCCACAAAGTGTACCAAATTTGGTTGCTTTAAGTTCAAGAATAACGGAGATATTGTTTTTTTTCAAAATTTATAACTTCACTTTCAAAGCCTATAACTCCTTAGGGAAGCAACTTGGTATAGAGGTAAGTTGCGTTAAATTGCCATATTTTGGGACCCCCTATATGCCCCTGCTCTATGTCGGTTCTTATGTGAATCACCCTGTATATAGTTTTTAAATAAAAATAAATATCAGGATGGCCATTAGTAATGACTAAAACTTAACAATTCGTGAGTTATAGTCAAATGGGTGGCCAAAAGTAAAATCTCATGTTTGACTTATGGCCACTGCAGTTGTTGTGTGGGTTGAGGGGTAGATAGCAATTGAGTTTTGTAGCTAATAAATAAGATGAAATATCACTGACATCTGACAGCAGTGGTAGATTCTCATATATAGCAGTGATTATGTATGCAGTTAGGCAAAACATTAAAACCTGGCGATTTTATATTGGTACAATTTAGTGCCTGTGGTAAAATAAGATCGACCATGTATAAATATGTTGCAACTGTGCGTCAAACTATGGAAAATGGAATAGAAATCTAGCGCTTAAAAAGTTCAAACAAAGAAAAAACTACTTTTGAATATACTGCCCTTCTAAGCCAAAAAAGCGGTATGATTTTGAATATTAATTTTGAAATTCTTGAGTCATAAATGGATGCAGTCATTTAGCTTAGTAAAATGGCGCATATGCCTAAGCCTTTTAGTAAATATAAGTGAAGTAAGTACCTATGTAAATTTGTCTTAGGTTTTTTTTAATGTTCTGATTGAGATTTTGCTTTTTTTCTTGGTTTAACTGATGCAGAATTTATCAAGATTTCTGATCTGTTAAAAAATTCGTTTTGTTTTTGAGATACCGCATTTTGGCTTAGGAAGGCAGTATATTAAAAATGAGAGTTGCACTGTTTATTTTATTACAAGTTTCTATAATATAAAATTTTACAGTTATAGATGCTGACTTACAAACAACAATAATTATGCATTAAATTTAACTTACTAGAACAGAAAATTTATTTTTTATAGAGTTTTAATGTTAGATAAAGAGTTGCTACTGTTATTTTTTTTTTGACCCCAATTGTTTCATTGTAAATGTTTTTTATGGGATACTAAACGTTTAGAAAAGTGGCAGCATATATTTCGTGCCTAGTGCCGATAAAGCACTTTCTAGAGATGATGCTGTTCAATACTTTTTAGAAGATATGAAATATTATGACACTATTTTTACTGATGGTACTGTTAGCAAAATAAAAAGGGGAAAGCTGAAATTAAAGGATGAGATAATACCATGTACATTCCCAAATCTCCCTTTATATTTGTATTACAACAAAAAATCTCTTTTATTTTACTCTTAAAACAATATATTGGTTCAATTCACAAAAAAAAATTGCCTCAAAATTGTACTTTCAGCATTCAAGAAACCTTTTCAAATTTGGTCATACATACCTAATTTGTATTTTATATAGATAAAATTAAATAATTTATCAATTAAAACATGCAGGACTTATTTAGAAATAAATACAACAGTATGTTCTGTGCTTTATTTAGCTATAAACAAGTTAATTTTTAATATTTTGACATAATTATGTATAATTCCCATAAGAAGCCATGTATTTTGAACAGTGTATGCAGTACCAGCGCCCATGCGGTTAATTATAAAAGCTCAATTAGCATGCGTTTTTGGGACCGTATTTTGAGTATGCCGATTCGTCTTCATAGTTCTAACATATGTAGTACAACTGAGGCATTACACATTCAACAGTAAAAATCCGTCGATGTGTAAATTAACTTTGAATTTCATATGACCGTTTCCACCGCGCCCACAACTTGTTCACTGCAAAAAAGGTGCCACTTTTAACTAATCTTTACACTTTGTACGAAACTTAATATGCAAAATGTATCCTACATTGCTATTGGCATTGCCAAACTAAAAGTAAACGATTCAAAATTTCAATATGTTATACATAAGCGTTATCCAGACATTAATTTTATTTTTAGTTTCTAATGGAATTTCATTAGATACAGGCCAGCTAAATATAATTCAAACTATTGAAAATGATGAGTCAAAAAGTATCAAAGACATAAAAAAGAAAATAACAAAGGATGAAACTGAACAACCTATTTACCCATGTGAAGAGTGTATTTTATGTTTTACAACAAATTCCGATTTAAGAGTAAGTTTTCTAATTTCCCATTTCTTGTGTATTTAATAATCTTTTTGATTTAAAATAATTATAACTAGAACTACTTGAATATAGTGACGAGTTATCCACATTTAAAAAAGAAGAATCGTACGCTCTTACATGCGTATTTTTTCCCATGGCTTACTTTAGGAACATTCTTTATGGATCACTCCATATTTTAGTATTATTATTATTATTTATTTTAATTAAAGGAAAAGGAAAGACAAAGTATTAACCACAAAAATTATATTACAAGGGCGACTATGTAGTGTATAGTTGCAGTCAGTGATCTTCATCAGACATTAGAAGGTGGTTAAAAAGAACAAATAATTAAAATCAAAGGCTACTCTTTAGCTAAGTTTAGTCAACATGTCTTTATTCTTGAATAATTAATTACTTTCTTATTAACAAAGATAGATAAAAGTAATATTAGAAAGTTAAAGACAAAATGTTAAAAATAAAATTTAAAGAAAAAGAAACAGAAAATTTTCATATATGACATTTTTTGTTTGCTAATTAAATTAAATGTACCTAATTGAAATTATTTTGTTTGTTTTTTAAGTACAAAAATAGTATTAATATTAAACATTTAACATAACACTGTGGAAGTTTTAGTGATTTCCTAATATTTTAGATTGTTATGTAAGATAGTAGCAAATGCAGCCAATATATGCTTCACTTGGACAAACTGGCATTTAATAATGTGTTGTTACTTAAAAGATTTTGCACAATGGTAGATAATAACTTTTTGCAACAGATGTCGCCTAGAACTCATTTTCGGTAAAAATGTAAGGAGGTATTGCCGGATCATGGATGATATGTCTTATGGCCCACTTTTGTAAGACAAAGACTAGTAAACAACTCGGAAGAACATGTTCTCCAGAAACTTATAGCATATATCAGATGGGATTCTACCAATAAAAAGTATACACGCCTTGCAACCAAAATATCTAAGTTGTATACAACAGTTATTACTGAAAAACATCCAGAAGACAGCTTCTTGCACAAACTATTAACATGGATTTCAAATTAATATTTCTGGTCAATGAATAAGCCAAATTTGTGTCCATCCAACTGAAATTATACCGATATCGCCACTGAATGAGACATTATTTGTTTATGATATATTAAGACATGAATAATTTGAATTACACCATTTTTTAATCTTAATAATGTCGTTGTTAATCATATTAGACAATTCTTCAATATTCTCACTCCCAGAGTATCTTTAAATATGGCGAAGTATCCTTTTATATTGACAATATCATTAACATAAATTAAAAATAAAACAGGTCCCAGTACGGATCCTTGAGGAACCACATACTGAATCGTGAATCGTAGCAAGCGTTGATGTTTGCTTATTGAAAGAAACTTACGGAATTTGACTTAAAGTTTGTACAGAAATAATCTGATGCAGTATTTTTGTGAGTAGGTTCTTTAATATGCGCAGTTAGATTATAATAATTAAGAAATTTTTGACATTCGAATCTACAAAAATTAGATAATCACTTTGGCACCCCTGTGGTACTAGAACAACATTCTTAAGTAGCTAGTTTTACAAAGAGTAGTAACCATTGATTTTAATTCTTGATTTTTCCACAATAATTTTATCTTATTGTGGTTTTTTACACCTATTAATTGTTTGAATAAAGATAATTTCCTGACGGTAGCAGACTTTTATATAAATAAAAATTTCCTTGGTTTAATCGGTCTAATGTTTTTATTTTCTATTGTTTAGCACACTACATATGTTTCGGAACATACAATTTTTCCATCTTCAGGTGCAGTCAATTTATAAAAATTATGGGGACGAATGCAGTTTAAATTTTTTTAAAATAATAGAACGCCATCTTTCTATTTCACAGCGTGTGCATCAGGTGTATTAATTGTTATCTTGCTAGTGGTTTTCTTGGGATTTAGGTGTTAGATTAAATAAAAATGCACTGTTTTAACTTTGTATAGCTCTCGGTATCTAGTTTGGACCTTCTTCAGTTCTAATTGTTTATTTTGATATTATTATTTTTCTTTTAAAAATGTTTTGTTTTTGTTTTTAATATGTTAAGCATATGACTGTACAAATTGTTTGGGATTTGCAATTTTGAAAAAGCGACAATGGTTTACGGGGGTAATTATTTTTTTTAAGCTTGTTTTATAGTTGAGCTTTTATATTTTTCATTTTAATTTATTTTTTTATCATTACATTATGATAATATGTATCTTAACTTTTCTATTTTATCTTTCTTAATTCTCAACTTTTTTCAATTTTTCTACGATTTGTTTTCGTAATTTGGTATGGGTATAGGGGTTTTTCATTTTCTAAATTTTATATTTTATCTCATCTTTTAGAGTTTTCCATTATTTTCTGTTTTTAACCACCTTTTAATTCCTTATGATGGTCATTGACTGAAACTATAATCGCCTTTGTATTATAGTATTATAGTAATTTTTGTTATTAAGACTTTACATTTTCTTTTCCTTTATTGGACATTCTACATTTGAAATATGGATAACCTTCCTTACATTTATTTTAAGGCTCACATGAAAACCCACTCAAAAGCCTGTCAACATATTTGTAAAATCTGCAACCAGAGGTTCTCTAGTGCTAGCACCCTCTGTAGGCACACGAAAACCCACAACGGTGCCAAAAAGCACTTGTGCAGCGAATGTGGTAAAGGTTTTACAAGGTCGGATGATCTCACAAGACATTTACGTATACATACAGGTTAGTAAAACCAAATTCAGTAGAGCGTCGATAATTCGGACGTCAAAAATCAGGACCGTCGTTAATCCGGTTTCAATTCTGGTGAAAAACGAAAAAAGTGAATACGTATATGAATATTTGTCAAACAAAAGCTTTGATGCGAAAGGTTGGGCGGCGACTTCGAATAATAATATTAATTAATGATTTTATTTATCTGCTCAATTATTTAACCACAAAAGTGAATTATTAACAATTTTAGCAAGTTCTTTTTTTTTGTTGTGATTTCAAATGACTTTTTTTGATTATTTTCGAAAATCTGGACATTTTGATAATCCGGACAGAGTCCGGTCACAATTAATCCGGATTATCTTCGCTCTAACGTAATTAAAATATAGATAAAAAAAAATGTTGGAACAACGTACCTATCTGAAAATATCTAAGATTTGCTAACAGCGAGCTGAAACATTTGTATTAACGTCTATAACAAAAAAATTATAATTATAATTTAATTTCAAGGGCACATTAATAAAACCGAATTGCATTATTGTATGATTATCATCCTCTATTATATTTTTTTATATATATTTTTAAAAAAGGAAAAAAATTCCATCTCAAACGTGACCAAGACGTAAAATAAAATACAACATCCATATATTCGTTTCACTTCGAAAAACAACTACTCCTTTGACACAAAACCGCAACAGGTATTGAATTATATCTAAAGGGAAGATAGCAGCCTTTGATTTTGCTAGGGAAAATGTCATTCTTGGACCAGTTTCTTCCTTATTAGGACTTCCTTATTAGCTCTCAATTCTGGCCTCTAATGATATTAACAAAGGCACCAAGTTCACTATAGTCTATTTTTATGTATGAGAGAGTATTAAAATAATAAAGCGTTCGTAATCCATAGGCGTATCACTTGTTTTAGTAGACAGTTAAAATATTTTTTGAAGTTATTCCTCGATTATACACTTATATTTTCACCTAATTAACCTGCTTATAACTTCTAAACAGCTGAAGGTAAAAAAGTGCAATTTTTTCTAAAATGATTTATTTTTCCACAAGGTATGTTAAGAACATTGTGTCAAACGGGTTATGTAGGTATAAGGGTTTAAACTTTGACTTTTAAACAACGTTACGTTCATAAATAATAATTTTAATATAAAAACTACTTCTTACCTACAAATCCAAATCAGAATCGAAATCAAAAGATGAACTGTCGCAACCAATATTTACAATGAGTGACTCGATCATTTCATCAGTAATATTGTCCAACTTCCACATTTTCTCTTCTTCTTTAATCTTATGATTTACTGCCTTTTCCCAGTTTTCAGGCTTCACATTATTTACAGCCTCCAAAAACAACTGTTTAACATCACTCATTTTAAAAGAATTATTTTTTCTTGAAACTTCTCCCTTTATCTGTGCCCATATCAGTTCAATCGGGTTTACTTCGCAATGAAATGGTGGTAGATCACCGTCATCCCACGATTTTTTTGCAATTTCATCAATTTCATATTTTTTGAATTTCTCTTTATGAAGGGAACACAAATGATACAGTTCTTTTCTCACAGAACCGGGATGGAACTTAATATTCTTTGAATTTAGCCAATTCTGTGAATCTTTTTTTAACCACTTGGTTGTGGGCATTTTTTCTATAAGTCTCGAGTGATAAATTGCATTATCCATTACTATTATACAATTCTGAGGAAGATCTATAATTTGTTCGAACCACTCTTTAAAGACATCAGCATTCATGTCCTTATGGTAGTTACTGGTACGAGTAGATTCAAAAGTCAATAAACCACCTTTAACAAAACCGTTTGAACTACCAATGTGTACTATTATTAGTCTGCGCCCCTTTCCTGATGGTGGATTTAAACCAGTAGATAAATTATTTAAAAAAGCCTGTCTTCGACTTGTAACAGTTCCATCTTGCCAAAATTTATTTGGTTTATGTCCCTCGTTGATCCATGTTTCATCTAAATAAAATATATTTCTTCTTTGGTTTCTCATTTCTTTTATAGTTCTTAGGTAATTTCTTCTCCATACTACAATATCGCTTCTTTCTATTAAAATAGACTTTCTGGAATGCTTTTTCCATAGAAAACCTATTTCTTTTAAAAGTTTCCATAGTATGCTTCGACTCATTTCAGGGTAATCCTTATTATCTCGAACCGTGGCAAGAACTTTGTCTACTGTCGGAAATTCTTTTCTAAAGAAGAACGCATGCACTTTCCTTCGAAGACTTTCTTTCAAAAGATTTTCTAATTGAAATTTTGGTTTTCCTGGAGCTTTACATGCTGTTTGAAACTCGCCACATTTCTCTTCTTTAACAACTCTGTAAATCGTAGATTTCCCAACACCAAGCGTACTACTAACTAATTCCACTGTGTCATCAACACTTTTACATAAATGTTTGTCTGTAAATGATTTAAAACAATTAAATATTAATGTTTTTTCATTAACTGTTAAAGGACCGATTTTTTGTCGTTTACCCGGCCCTTCCAAATTTTCCATGATCACACTAGAATTCACACTGCACCTTGCAAGTTGCAACTAAACGACATTTAGTAAACTGTCAAGAATACACAATTTTTGGACCTCCTTACTAAATGGAAAACCTATAATCGCATTTTTGGTGAAATTTGTTGGGAAGGTATTTATCTACTTATAATTCGATTACTGTAAGAAATTCTTGGAATTAAAATAAAACAAAATTGGCAAATAGGTACTTATTGAAAATAATCTTAAGATACGGCTATGTAATCTTTAATACACAGGGCTTTTGGCCTGTCCAAACCCTTTTCTTTTGTTCTGTACAGCTTATGTTTATAAAGGACCAATAAAAGACCCAAAACTTGTAATAGCTCAGGTACATTTATTACAATTTTAGGAAATATTTAGATTATTCTGTAAAAATATTTAAAATGACCGTACTAAGTTTTGCATTAGAAATGCTGATTTATTACTCTCTCATACATAAAAATAGACTACAGTATACAATAACGTTGATTACAAATAAAATAAGTATTCAAGTAATGAAAATAGTAACATCTGTTCCTAGTAAACAAAATCAAAGCAATATATTTTTGTTTTTTCTTGCTTGGCGAAAGACATATTTTTTCACTAGCAATAAACTATTAAAAAATATTGTATATTAAAGAGTAATAAACAAAATTGAAATACTTTTGCCCTAATATTTACATTTTCCATTATTTTAGGTGAAAAACCATTTAAATGCGAAGAATGTGGTAAATCTTTTGCACAATCTTTTAGGCTGTTAGAACATACCAGAGCACATGCGAATCAGAAGAGTTTTGTATGTTCAGTTTGCGGTAAAGCTTTTTCGAGGTACACTAGTTTATGTGCTCATAACAAGACGCATAGCGGTATCAAAACACATGCTTGTACCGTCTGTGGAAAACGGTATAGTATTTCTATATAATATATATACACATTGACATTATTTAATTATGATCAAATTGTTTATAGCACTCTTAATTCATTATTAAAAGATTTCAAACCAGTTGAAATAATCTTCATAAAAATTTATTTGCCTGATACACTTTGACAGATTAAAAGTTGACATTTAGACGGTGAATAATTTGAAGTTTATATCATTTAGACAGATCCTACTTTTAAGTTTACCAGGCTTGTAAATGTTAAGGAAAGTTCTTGCATGTGGCTGTTGTGACTTAAAATTAATGGAAAATTGCATACAGAAATCTAGGATCTAGTTAGATTATAATTTTGATTTATGTATAATTTTCTAGGTTATGCAGTTCGGGATCTTTAGCAATACATATGAAAACACATACAGGGCTTAAAGATCACATATGTCCTTTTTGCGGAAAAGGTTTTACTTCTCCTAGTAACCTTATTATTCATAAAAGAACTCATACTGGTAAGAAAATTGTATTAATCTCCTCATATTCATGTATATGTACTCATTTTTTAAACACCGTGAATGTGTTTGATTTAAGATTTGTTCTGGTTCTCCAAAAAAATGTCCGAGTATTAGGTAATTTATCGGTTGTTGAAAGTTTAAAAGTTGTAGAATACGACGAATACTCTGTATACAATGAATTAGTTTAATATAACGTATTTTCAAATAATTACTCTTGACTTGATTATTTTAGTTGGTGAACTACCGTTAAGGTACCTACACTCAATTGTCATTGATGACTTTGTGAATAAGGAATATACATCTAACCAATATCTATACAATTTCTTTTTTATTTTTGTAAAATATGGACCAAAGATTTGCAAACGTTGATTCTTAATGATACATGAAAATTATATAGGAAATATGGACTATATTTTTTTCATTAATTTTTAAATATTTAATTTTACGTATACGAAATATTCGATCCAATTCTGCATTAATTCATCCTGCATTTTAAAATAAATAATTTTACAATTTAAAATATAAAAATATTCAATTTATTTCCGCATCGAATCACCCTGTATTTTAATATTTGTGACTGGATCTATGCGCACCGTTAGCGGTCAGGTTCTGGTGGGGGATTCTTTGGGGAAAGCACACGTTCTTTGAAAGAAGAAGAGGTGCGTCTCTTCTGCTAGAATCTTCCGACGAATAAAGTAGTGTGGTAAATTTTGTTTTAGAATGGTGTATCAGTCTGTTTTTCTAGGATTCCTCCTGAGGATCGTCTCAGGAGTCTCATTATCTAACGTAAATACAATTATCTTGTGATCATTCAATACTCTCCAGTTTGTAATGAGATCTTTAATGCTCGGTGTACTTAATGTAATATCTAATACCTCACTTCCTGCCCTTGTTATAAATTTTGGAGTATTCCCAATATTTTTCACAAAAAAATCCTTATTAAAAATATATTCTAGAAGTTGCTCACATCTTTGATTGGTGCCATTGAAGTGGCTTCAAGTTAGGTAAATCTCTCTCTTCTATTTGATATTCTCCTAGATATTGTGCCCTTGGATTCTGGAGTGCTACACATTCAGTTAGGATGTGAATGGAGGTTTCGTCCTCCTCCTCATAGAATCTGCACTCACTATCCTCTAATACTCTCAGTTTACTTAGGTGTCCTTTTAGTCGGCAATGCCCAGTAAGGATACCTGTTACAATACGTAGCCTGTTCTTGCTCAGGCAGATGCAGGCTTCCTATTTCTTCTGGTTATATTCACCCAGAAGTATCTTGGCCTGTCTCAGCCCCTCCAATTATGTGTTTTCGGGATGTCGTCTCCCGCACATACCTCCACTCCATTCCAGTTGCTCAGGTGTGGGATTTTTGCCCTGAGCCATTCTGCTAACTGTAGGGTTTCACAGTCGATTAAGACCATTCCTGGCCGGAAGTGGATGCCTCCGAATTGGAGCTTATGTTCCCATCCAGCGAACATCTCTTCTACTATGGCTTCTTCCACCAAGCAATCTCCAGCGAGTCCCCACCTTTTCGGGGTTTAGCCAGCGGATCGCTGGCGATACGCCAAAATGAATCTCTGACGAATCGCTGGCGACCGACTATGCATACGGGTGTAAGATTCTACTCACTAGTAGTGTATCTTAGAGTCTAATTATTTAGTTACACTACCGTCAAGGTATAACATTAAACCGTACTATATTCTGCTTTTTTCTAACATCACTCAAAAGGTTTGAGTCTATTGAGTCTTCTTATTAGATTAGCATTGTTGAGGAGCTGGATAACCTCAATTTTCCTATGTTGGAGCAGTCTATAGTCTCCACTTTAAGGTTCCTATAAAGATCAATATTGCCACATTATCAGGGTGAATCGACGATGTTCCTCCTCAAGTATTATACTTTATTCCTGTAACTTTAACTTTATTCTGGTAACTTTAAATAACTTAGATGTTACTTTTATTGGCATATCCCCAAAACTTGGTACCATACGTCCATACGGGTTTCAATATCTGCCTGTAAAGCAGTTTGTTGTATATGGATAATTTGGAATTTTTTCCTAGCAACTAATACATTCTTTTGTATTTTATACCAAGCTCTTCGCGTTTCTTTTCAAGTTGGACTTTCCAGCGAAGTCTAGCATGAAGTGTCATACCCAGATATTTTGCTGTATTGTCAAAAGAAATCTGAGTATCGTTTATTCAAATAGGAATATATTTATTTTATTTATTGCTGTTGGTATGGACAGATTTTGCCTTCATTGAATTTTATTCACAATCTGTGGCTTTCCAGTTGACATTGTGTGACATTTGTCTTGATGGCATGATGCTAATAGTTCTTTCCCTTTGATTGTTGTCAGTCTAGTTCTCTAGTATGTTTCGCATTAAAGTCTTCTCCCAGTAAATCAATGCATTGATGCTTCCTTATAGCAAGCTTTGGTGGACTATATAAAGCTGTGATCACAACTTCTTAATTTTTTGTTTTTATTTTTTTTTTATTTTTTTAAATTTTATTTTATTTTTTTTTATTTTTTTTTATTTTTTTATCATTAGTTTTAATTTAATTTTTTTTTTAGGTGAAAAGCCATATGTTTGTTCCACTTGTGGAAAGGGTTTTCCTGATCTATCACGTCTTACTGTCCACACAAGGACACATAGTGGCGTGAAACCTTATGTATGTCCGACATGTGGTCGTGGTTGCATAAGCTCTTCGCAATTGAAAAAACATATGAGGATACATACTGGGGAAAAGCCCTACCAATGCGAAATGTGTCCTAGAGCTTTTCCCAGACGAGATGATTTGAGGATACACATCAAAACACACACAGGTATTGTACAAATTATAATTTTCAGTAATATAGTAGAATTAATCAATAATAGTTAGTAAAAGAATGCCAGGAAAGTGTAACAGAGTTGTCATGTTACTGCTGACATCTGTCAAAGAGATTTTCCGAGGAAATGTTTCCAGTGGCGGTGTTTAGATTTGAACATTTTTCCTAATATTCATATAATAAATTAACATCCTGTATGTGAAATAAATTCTTTTATTTAAGAAAATGTTTATTAAGTATTTTAATCTAGTTAAGAATCTCTTTGTATAACACATTTCTAGTTTATGATGAGTAGCTACAATTCCAATTTTCAAGTTCCTATCTTTAAAAAAAAGATACTTCTATACAAACCTTCACCCCCCGTTTCTCCCCCTTAAAATGTAAAAATCCAAAACACTGAAATACCCCATTGTTTATTTATGCTCAGTAGCTGTAATTCAAATTTTCATGTTTGAAAAACAAAAACAAATCTATACCACGGGAACTGTACTTTTTCCGAGATAAAAAGTAGCATATGTGCTATTCCAGGCTACAATCTATCTCTGTGCCTAATTTCTTCCAGATCCGTTTAGCCGTTCTGGCGTGATTGAGCAACAAAAATCCATCCATTCAAACTTTTACATTTATGTAGTAGTAGGATGTAAATCACTTTATCATCCTGTATAATGGAAACTGGGAGGTTTACATGAAAATTATATTTAGCTTTTCTTAATAATTAGTTTGGATTTAGTCCCCCATTTACGGAACTTTATTCTGAAACTAATATTTGGTTACTGAAATGAAGTTAAACATTATATAGGGTGTCTCAGAAATATTTTCGTTTATTAATCTGGTCGCTGGCGCAATAGGCACATTCCTAGGCAATAGGCACTGTGGTCGACAGTGTTAAGTTTTAATTGCAATGCAGCAATGTATGGGGCTGCAATGCACTTTTTGTATTCGTGTGTTTTATAAAAACAATGATTCTTTTATTCTTGTACGTCGTTTGTACAGAAATTATTATAACATAGCAAGAATGAAAGATATCTCAAGTGCAAATCTAATTTCCAGTACTTTCAAACTTTCTTAACCAATATTTAATTAAATTTACAGTTGGGACATCATTCATTCTTGCTATGTTATAATGATTTCTGTACAAATGACGCACAAGAACATAAGAATTATTGTTTTTATAAAACGCACGGATACATTGTTGTCCCGTAAATCGCTCCATTGCGACTAAAACTTAGCACTGTATATCACTATTTTCCAACTGCCTTCTTTCTCAGGAATGTGCCTGTTGCGCCAGCGGACGTATTGATAAACGAAAATATTCCTGAGACACCCTTTATTATCCTACTCTTGATATGACAATATATTACGTACTAATTACATAAATTTTAACTTTTATATATTTTCAGGTGATAGAAGCCATATATGTACATTCTGTAAAAAAGGTTTCTATCAAGCTTCTACCTTAAAAGTGCATATGAGGATTCACACAGGCGAAAAACCGTATTCCTGTCAAATCTGTGATAAAGCTTTTTCTCAGTCTAATTTACTTTCTTGTCATATACTTCGAACTCATTAAAAGTCGTTTTGTCGGATCATTTGTAAAAATAATTTACTTCAAGGTGTGTAATGACAAAATATTATTAATGTTAGTGCCCAATTTTTTTTTTTTTTAATGTTTACTGTAAACTGGATAACTTGATATTATCGTATTTTATAACCAACAGAGACATGCGTTACTTATACATCTACATAATGTTTATGTTAGAAAGAAATGGAATGTCATTATCTCATGTTGTGCCTATGATAACATAACTATCGGACAATAGTCACAAAGCTGGAGTTCTCTAAACTTATTATTAATATTAATAAAGCATTATCATCTTTAGCCTCCAATATCTCAAAACTCCAATTTGGCGCTTGGTTCTTTTTAAATAAACATAGTCCATTTGTACTGCATTTAATTGTACTTCATCATTATTCTCTGAATTCCATTATTAATGTGAATATCATCATTAACCTTCAATTCAATAGCATCTACATTTACCTCAAAAGGTTTACAGAAAGCCATTTCGTACAACAAAAATCAAAATTTAACAGAAACACCGAAAAATAAAAACAAGTTTAGCAAACGCTTTAAGAAACAGCGAAAAATTTTCTGAAGAAATTTAAAAATTAAATTGTTCAGTTACTTTTCAAGAATCGACTGACTTGACATTTTGTAAACAACGGTCTGTGATAGTGGGTTAGAAGTTTTCACAATTCGTCTTCTCCCTGAAGTTCCTTACAATACAATAAATGATTGTTTGGCCCATATCGAATTGTGGTAATAGCAAGTTTGTAAAAAATGTGTATTTTTACTAATGCGATTGATAGAACCTTTCACAAATGTTAAATTAATTTATGGTTCTATCAAAAATTACCCTAAACCAATTTTTGCGTTTTAGGACCATAGAAATAGTATAGAAAGCCGATTCCATATATCAAAAATGAAACCATAAGGAGAAAATAGTGTGCCGGAGCTCATGCGTATAACGGTGCTGGCGCGAACAGGACCGGTGCAAGTTTTTTATTGATCGAACAAATAGTTCGCACGATATTTCAATCATACATTTTTAGAGATGATTATATACAAAAAACGATTAAAAAAATTTCAAGTTAAGGTAAATATGGTTCTGACAGTCCTTATTAAGAAAGATATGGCATAAAATATGAATTAGTTAATTTTCGGCAATCATTAGTACAGTAGTCATGAGATTTTGCTTGTGATTTTAAAAATACTTTCCAGAAAAACCACGTGCTCCGGTTTTGACTACGTTTATTATTAAATAGCGAAATTATATACAAAAACTTTAATCCACAATCTAAATTAGGTACTATCACAAGAAAATCACTGTTACAATAATTAATTACTTAACCAAAAACTAAAATACTTTTTAGGTACCTACGTAACAAGAAAGGAGCTGGACCATTTATCCTAATATTGATTTTCTCTCTCCCTACGGTAAAACTTAAAACAATAACAAATTGCCTATCTACTAGGGTCGGTAACTAAACGTATATACATAATGGGCGGATTTTGTTTATATAACTATGCATATAAATATTTACAAACAAAGATACTTTTCCAAACAGGCAATCATTAGTACTGTAGTCACGAGATTTTGCTTGTGATTTGACATCTTATTTGATAATATCATTTGCTACAACTAAATTTAATCTGGGGAGTGCAAAATAGGGCCCAGGAATATTCTGTTCGATATTTTTTTACATTTTGTCAGCCGAGACTATGAGTCGTTAGACAGAAAACCTTTCATGTTACCATTTTCAATATAAATTAAAAAATTAAAAAATACTACTACATTTACTTGGTACATATTTTATTTTAATTTTGAACCTTTTTAAAAGGGTCTTTCGGTTCCATAATAAAAATTAGTTGCTGCTTACTAGAAACATTCTATATAGCCTAAACCAATTTATAGTTTGTTTTCGATCAATTTAATACAAAGATTTAAAGTTTTTAGTCGATGATAACATTCCACACCAGCACATTGCAAACCTATTTTATAAATAATAGGAATAAACTTGTAAATCATTAATTTGGTAGTTATCTCACTCATATGATTTTTTTGTTTATATGAATATTTCGATTTCTAAATATATTTTGGCCTTACAATACGAAGCGTTTTGTATCTACCACTTTTTTAATGAACGATGAATGTTGGCAGGCGTGTACCTTTTTCGGAACAAGAGGCGTTTTAACGAAGGAAATGATTTTCGAACTATCTAGTTAGTTTTCGGAAAAATAGAAAACGTTTGAAGAAAGTTGTCAATAACAGTTTGTCGTTCATGTGTTTCATTTTGATCAGCTTTCATACTAAATTGCGTAGAATATTTTTCCGATTCAAAATCGAGATTCTCGATATTTCCACAGTTTATTTATAATACCTTCTAAACTGGATTTATCTATCATTTTATATACTTTATAATATATGTTCATGCCCTACTTTTCACTTTATTAACAATTTTTTTTTAACATACTTCAAAATGGTAGGATATTCTCAATTCGTTGAAATATTTTTTTATGTATGTTGAGCGATAATTCTTTACCACGTTGCCCAATTTCTAGGATTATTTTTGTTAGAAAAGGAAACAGTTTTATATACATTAAGTCAAGAACTGAAGATGGGATCCATAAGAAAATCATTAACATCTTTATTTTTAAAGTAGGTTTTTTTTTTAAATTTCTTTAAACCTTACTGGTTCGAACGCGGTAAGGAATGAAGAAATGTAAATAATTGTTGTGCCAGTCAAAAAGCGAAGAGGAAGTACCGATTAAAATATCGAGTGACAGAAGAGTTCCTAAGATTGTTGAGATCGGGTTTATGTTTTAAAATGCCTTGAAACCGATATCGATAATTTCTCCCCGTCGCTGGGCAGCCTGTATATAAATATACAGCTCTCTATTTACATAATTATAATTCTTAGGTAGGTTTAGATTTGCAGACATAAATCTTGTAATAAATATAACAGCTGCCTAATACATTGATTACATTTTCATTAGCCAATGTAAAAATGTCTTTTATTGTACCTAGGATTTGACTAAACACTACACAAAACTAAAAATAAAATGCCACTTTCATCGTGTAATTAATGCCGCGTTTGAGAATCCACATAGGATGCATTTTTTACATCTCGAGCGTTTTTTATCCACATCGGACACATCTGTCCCATTACATTTACGTATACTGAATCACGTGATCAAAGATTTACTACTTACTACATCTCAGATGCATCCGATGTGGATTCTCAAACGCGGCATAAATAATAAACTACAAACGGTCCTGTAAGGGCAGTGTCATATAGCCTTGAAACACCGGATTTTAGTGCTATTGCCAGGTCAATATTGAATTTGTAGGTGAATCGCTTATTGAACATTAAAAATACGGTATTAATGACATTAATACGGTATTTGTATATATTTTTGGGAATGTAATTACACATAAATATTATTAGTTGATTATTTAAATGTGTATAAGTTATTTTGTGGCGATATTTCGTAGATATAAACTGTTTAAATCATATAATTTAAAAATTAATTAATTTAAAATTCTTTTCTGTTAGGTATGTTTAATATATTTGGCAACACTACAGGGACAAGTCATGCATATTGCGCAAGCTTCTAGATACACTATTTTGCGATGTCAGGCGCAGAGACGCGTTTTTATGCACAGTAGGTTTCAATTTCTGCTTAAATGTTATGTTTATATTGGTCTTCTATATTATTTCTATGTTTAGGACTCTTCATAACTACGAAGAAGATGTGTAAGGTTAAAAAAAACTAACTACGCTTATTTTAGTTGAATTATTCTATGAAGTAAATTACTTCATTTATTGATCCGACAATACGTAAACCTATTGTAATGGTAAAATAATGTGTATTAAATGTCCCAAGACTAGTGTGTTCCAGACACAAAATACATAAATTTTATAAATATGTAATGTTAGATAAAAAATATAATTTATTTTAAATAAAATTAGTTTTTCTTTCTTCTCGAGCCGTTATGGTAATGTATACAGGGTGGATCAATAATTTCGGCTAGGAGCAAGGCAGCCAAACTGGAAGATCGGGAAACAAATTCCAATTCAGTATTTCTAAAATAATTTCAACTGTACAGGGTGCTCCGTAAACACAGAACAGGTACCAAAGGTAATTTTAGTAAATACATTTTTTTTTATTTAATTCTATATTTAATAGGCTTTTTCTATGCCCATGTCAATAAACGTTAAAAATCGCACTATCAACATTCCTTGTAAATGACATTTAACAATAACATGCACGTAATGAGATCTCATAACATACACGTACGTTTTGACAAGAAAACTTAAATTTCTTTATTCAAATTTCAATCAAATTTTTGTCCACATACGACTTTATTTGGTCTATTTACATAAATTTAGTCATTTAAAAAACAAAAACTTTTGGCATTAGCGAGATACATTTTGGATTAAAAGAGTGATGTCCCTAAATGTCGGCAACATATTATACAATATTTCAAAAAATATGTTGCATTTTCTTAGCATGCTATGGAAATAAACGTCATGCCTTTTATATTGTCAATTTTTGTAACAAAATATGATTGTATCCGAACATTTTCTCAACTGTACCTCCGAATATGTTTGTTAGCAGTGAAAGTGATGAAATTATGAGCACTCCACCGGAAATTTTAGAAAAAGCTCAAGCTGCCAGACATAATTTGTTACCGCTAAAATCCAAAGAAAGGTACGAAATAACCTATCGAAAATTTATGGATTATCGTCACAAGCATAACGTAAAATCCTTTTTTGAGAATGTTTTAAGTGGCGGTAGAAAAAGTATAGTACGTTACACGAGTTGTAAGTAAACCATTACGCACGAAATGCCCCCCAAAACACGCCCCTCCAATGATTTTCGGGTTGTATTTGGCGACCTTGTCAGGAAAATTCTCGGGGATGACGTCCAGGTTAGGGCGCACCAGGTGTCCAGAAGATGTTTGACGATGCCACATTTGAATTCAGCGACCCAAAAAACCACCGGGCGCCGAGTTTATCTCCTTTCCCGCGTGAATTTTGGGAGAGTCCCACGAAGATGACGTTCAGGACCAGGTTCCGCTGCACCAGGTATTAGGGGGGTCGTTTTCGACGGGAAATTTGGATTCAACGCCCCAAAAAACCCCCCATAACGATTTTCGGTTCGTCTTTTTCGATTGTGTGAGGAAAACCCATGGAGATGAGGTCCAGGTTCCGGTTCACCAGGTATTCAGGGGATTGTTTTCGACGTGAAATTTGGATTAGGCGCCAAAAAATACCCTTACAATGATTTTCGGGTTGTTTTTGGCGATCTTATTGTCAGGAAAATTCTCGGGGATGACGTCCACTTCCAGGTACCGGTACACCAGGTGTCCCTGGGGTGTTCACCGATGCCATATTTGAATTCAGCGATCCAAAAAAACCCTGGGCGCCGAGTTTCTCTCCTTCCCCGCATGCATTTCGGGAGAGTCCACGCAGACGAAGTCCATCGGCGTTGCTGAGATCCAGGTCGACTGTGGGTCAATTTGAACATCATCATCGTGATCAGCGACCTCGAAAGCCCCCATGAACCCGATTTGGGCCAGTTCTGACTGTTATTTAAAAAGTTCTTTAATCTTCCAAAAGCCGTCTCAAAAAATGCATTTATTGAATGCATTTTTGGCTGCAGCAATGCAATTTCCGGTTTGTATAAGATAAAAAGTAGGGACATTTTTTTCAAAAAAT